TCAGTACAAATCGGCAATTTCATACTTTAACCCCTATTATTTTACATTTTATTCTATTTGAAAAAAATCAAGTAAAATTAAATCAACTACAATCAATTAATATCACAAATTGTAGGCGCTATCATCCATGTCTCCATCGTTCCAACAGGTAAGATTGTAAGTTAACGTGAGCCTACCTCAGTTTAATACAAAACGGAATTTCACATTGCCAGTCAAACAAATGTCACCAAGTATATATTTGTTATCAGTACTAAACTCTCAACTTACTTATAAATTCATACATAGAAACGATTCTCTTCTTTATTCTGTTGGTACATGGGTGGAAGTCCATTTCTTTCTCATTTATATATTTTTTCATTCCAGAGATTACAAAGACATTATATACGTCTCTTACGCAAGTAGCAGAAGTGAGGACGTGTAAAGGATGTACGATTGCACCACCACACGTCCACCCTAGGTAGCGTGCGTGTGATTCTGGACTTTTAAGTAAATAAACCTGGAATCCATAGAAAAGTCCAAGATATCAAAGACTTTCAAAAATTACAGTCTCCACTGTGAGTTCCACTGGTGTTATGAGTAGGCGTACCGCTGCTTACTGCCAGGTTCACAACTTATTCGTCCCGTTACTTGACGTCATAAAAATATAATTTACAGGATGTAAAAAGACCCCTAAGTTAAGTAATTTTTATTTATTAATTTAGAACTGTTTACTAAGCAACTGACGTTACTTTTTTAATATTAGCGCGAAAATAAAAAAAATAAAAAAGTTGGGTGAGGTATATTTTTTGAAGATGGAGAAAACAGAATGTCGAGTATTCCGTTTCTCATCTGCAATTACAAAATTAGAGCATCAAAACTTTTAAAAGGAGATTACGTAGAAAATAAAACAATACTTTAAAAAATTACATGTTTTTTTCTTAAAGTCACGGACACATCAACCCACACTCGTACATCAGACTGGGGCACATTAAGCAAAAATAATTGCTGGGAAACAACTTACAAAAAAAAAACATACGTAATAGGTTATTTTAGATGCACTATTTACACGTTCAAACAAACATTCTTCTTTCAACAGACATTTTACTTTTAAAAAATAAGATCTGTAATATGAATATTAGCAGTCCTCTTCATTTATTGGTCCATGGCTTTATTATACTCACCATGTAGGGCTTCTCGCCTTCAACTACATGTCCATTTAAGATTCTACGTTGGGAATTGGATACTGAAATTGAAATATATGTATAATAAAATAAACAAAAAATTTTCACAAATGATTTCATTCACTCATTCGATCACTAACGATCGATGTTGCCTTACTAACTACACTACTTACTTACTACAAATATCATGTGCCATCAATTCGCCATTGAAGGGCAGAATACCAAGAAATTGTAATGGCAGTTGAATAGTAGCTTGATAGCTAGCCACTAAGATAAGCCACTACTCTTAACTTCAAACTGAATAATAGAATACCGGAATACGTACAAAACTTACAAAATCCTGTCACTGACACTCGACAACGATTCGACACACATCTGAGATGTCTTAAAATTTAGCAGACAGGGGTCCTGGGTAGACATTTTCTCCCTCTCTCTACCCTTGACTTTTTTCGAAAGAAAGAAAAAGTGAGTAACAGTGGACATTCCCTTCGAAAGAATTAAGTACATAGTAGCTCAGTAAAGTAGTGGCAAGCCATTACTTCAGAACACCAAACATACAAAATCCTGTCACTGAAACTCTGTCGACACTCAATTGAGATGATTTAAAATTAACAGACTTGGAAACCAGGTGATCGATGTGGTTATCTGACGTATTGTTATTGTATATATTTATATATATATAAATTTTGAATTGTTACATACATATTTTAATCAATACTGGGCTTCGTCAACAGATTGAAAATAAAAAAAAACTGGCAGTTGCATGAGATTTTTAACCTAAAAAACTAAAAATCTGACCTAAAAAAAATTCCACCCCGTATCGTGACTGGCTCAAAAGTCCCCATTATACTGACAACATTGCCTCGTTGAACGGCAATGGGCACTTACTGAACCAACGATGATCCAGAGCGGTGATCGCAGCCCCTATCTCTGAGTCGGCGATCCAACTCTTTAAGCAAGTCCCGAGCTTTCGAGCCCCAGAGCCCGCCGTCTCGACCGCGACCGATACGAAGACGTACATCGGCTCCAAGACAGAATATTTAGCATGTTTATTATTATTATGGTAATTATTAAAAATTGAGTCTCAAAGATCTGTCAAGTGTACGCAACATATTTGATAATACAAAAGCCAACAATATCAGAAATACCGGTAGAAATTAAACCGAAACTTAGAGGTAAGTAAATTATTACAATGATTATAACCATGGTTAAACACAGGTACTTACAGCTAAACATAAACAAGAAAACCATCCATTTAACTACATTAAATTGCTCCATGTGTTAAAAAACTACTGATTAATATATTCGTAACCATAAATTACATGTTACTAAAATTAACCATAAACTTATTATCAGTCAAATTTGGGATATTGTGGTGAACAACAAAAGGCACTTATACATTTTTTTGACTCAATAAGGATTCAATCATCGAACAGGTTTTTAGAAAAAGTCAAGTTTTATCTTTACGAGTTTCGTCAATTTAAATTTGCACTCGACTATAACGTTAACAAATTGAGTGGTTCATAATACTTTCTCTGCAACTTTACTTTTGTATTTTATGAAAAAATGAAAACGTTAACATTTCTTCTATTAATTTCTTGTATAGTGAATAGTAAGTCTAATTTGTACTTAATATTACTATCGACGCTGTGTGATTTTTTTGCACGCTCAAGTACTATGGATACCCATGGCATTAACGTATAAGGTGCAATGTTTGTTGTACCGCCGAAGTGGATACAAATTTCTCATCTGTAATTTATTTTGCGTCGTCATTCTATTTCAACACATACAGGTTTCATTACATCCGAACCTTCGCAACCTACTCTCATTGATATTAGGGTCTCGATTTTTGAATATCTTTTGATCGAAGTCATGTGCCAAAAACAGAAGGACGTATAATTCAAAAGTTACATCATTCAAATACGCGTTGAGTGATCCTGCATCAGCAGTTTTTCCACAGAGTTAATTTTAGACAAAATAAATGACATTTGTGAAATAACGATTTCAATTATTTATGTGTAAAGAGATGCAAACTACGAACATTTTTAACTAGCCAACATATTCCAGTATCGTATAGTCAACGCAAGATCAAAGATGGTAAGGAGGTATCGGGAACGAAGAATTACGTGGTGAGGACATTAAATAATATATATTAAATACTAATTTTTGTGCTAGATAAATTATGAAAGAAAATCTTTCTATACAGCCAAAACTAGGTAAGAAACAAATAAATCTAGAGCTTACAATAAAAAGTGGTTGGAAGTACTCTTCTAGAACAACAGAAAAAAATTAAATTGTGCAAAATTTAACCGTAAAATAGTGTATGTAAGGAAATTGTTATACATATACTCGTAGTTGACTTACGAGTTTTTTTTTGTTATAAAGCAAAACAAAACCTTATAACTAATTACAATCTAGCCATTTTACAAGACTAATAAGCAATTTTAATTTAACATATTTTCATAAAATAAGTAACTTACATATAGAAATTTTCCATCGACAAAATATCTTTTAATATTAGTTAAGGGGAAGACTGTTCGTGTGTTCATAGTCTAATTAACACTGGCACTAATATTTCTTTTATTCACTATAATTAACTACACTAACTCAAAAGGTTTAGTTCTTTGTAGTCTACGTACTATATTTGTATTGTCTATTAGCTGTATAGCCTCACTATGTTCACGTGATGATGAAGTCTATGTTCGTGAGCTTCGGCGTACTTTATTATCACTTTATTAACAGGCTCTATATTCAAATCACGATGCAGATCCTCATTTCGTATATACGAAGGAGCACCCATAATTAATTGTCCTCAGTATTTTATTTTGGAAGCGTTGTATTGTTTGTATGTTGCTTTTAGCGGCACAGCCCCAGAGTTGGATACCATAGGTCCACACTGGCATAAGGATCTGTTTGTACAATAATATTTTATTGCATACAGATAGTGAAGAGCATTTGCCAAATAGCCAATACATTTTCTTTAAACTTATGTCTAATTCTTCTTTTTTCTTCTTGATGTGAGCTTTCCAGCGTAGCTTTACGTCGTTCGAAATCGAACCGCACGCGACCCAACTGTTCTCATCGGAAATTCGATGAGAACAGTTGGCTCGCCGTAATGACCCAGATAACGTACGTGCATAGAGCAAGATTCGACTAAATCACGTTTATCGTTAAGGCAAAGTCATTTCTCAGCTTAGTCATGGCAAGCCAAGGCTCACCAACTATTAAGTTGAAAACTGAAACAGAGCGCCTATTGTATCAGCGTCTCTGCGAAGAACAAACAGAAAATCAAAGTATGCAACAGCTGGCTGAAGAAATGAGGAACGAAATTATTGGTCTTCGTGAACAATTGAAGAAGAAAAATCATCCTTCAAAAGCCCAATTCAAGCGAAACTTGCATCCAAATCTACCTGAAAAGTACTAAATACAGCACCGACGAAGAAGAACTAGCTAGAGAAACGGAATGGATACGAGTAAAAAGTAGGAAAAAAAGAAAACTGAACGCGTCATCGAACATTTCACAAGAGGAAACAATTCAAACGTCCACGATAAAGCAAAAGCAAAAAAAGTTCCGGCACCACCGCCAATAATTGTGGATGACTTAGAAAACTACCAAAATTTCTATGACTATTTATCCGATAGCACAGAAAAGGATTCATTTATAATGAAAATGCTAAGCGTTGAGGCCGTTAATATTAATGCAACTAATGATGATGCCTATAGATCCATTACCAAGTTGCTCACGGAAAAGAATTGCCACTGGCATTCCTATGAAAATAAGAAAGATAGGCCAATTAGAGTAATGGCAAAGACATTACACTTCACGTGTAAACCAGAAAGAATTATTGAAGACCTACAAACAAAGGGTTTCAATATCATAGATGCAGCACACAAACTACGGTGGAAGAACAAAGAACCACTTAACATGTTTGTGCTGACATTCCATCATGAAGAGGACATAAAAAAAATATTTGACCTGAAATCCATTCTAGGATGCAAAGCGGAGATACAAGCACTGAGAAGTTCTAAACTTATACCTCAATGCAAAAGGTGTCAAGCATATGGGCACACTCAAAAGTATTGTAGCAAAGAACCTAGATGTGTTAAATGCACAGGAAAACATCTTACCAGAGACTGTCCAAAACCACCGGACTGTCCAAAGCCTACGATACACGTAGGCTTCACTTCCGACCACACACACACACACACACTTTAGACCACAGTGTATACACACTGTGGTTAACAGCACCCAGCAAACTACCGAGGGTGTATTGTGGCTAAAGAAACACAAAAACTCAAGTCAAAACCATCAAAAGTACCAGTACAAAATCAATCAGGGCTCATGAAAGTTCAACAACGTACAAACATCACTACCAGTGCTGTTAGTAAAAATACTATGTCTTATGCACATGTAGCAGGCAAACACCAGTCAAAAGATAAAACGCAACCGAATTCCGACTTAGATGTGAAATTAAATAATATCTTGAATTATTTAGCATCATTCGATACACGTCTGAGACTATTAGAAAGTAGCACCATATCAGCTACACATAAAACTAAAAAATGATGCGTTTAAAAATCGTGACGTGGAACTCCAATGGACTTCTGAATCACCAACATGAACATCAGTTAGTCCTAGAAACAGAAAAAATAGATGTGTGTCTGATTTCTGAGACGCATTTCACTAAAAAGTCACACATCACATTCAAAGGATATAAAGTGTACTACTCACTACACTGACAATCTGGCGAAAAATGGCAGTGGTGTGATAATAAGGGAAACCATAATACACCACGAATTATACAAAATAGGAGATAAACGAATTGAAGCTGTAACAATTCAAGTTTTTTACTAAGACATCTCTTCTTGCTATAGCAGCTATGTATTGTCCACCTAAGCATGGACTGAAAATAGATAATCATCAAAAACTTCTTGACAACCTCGGAGAGAGATTTATCATCGGAGGCGACTTCAATGCTAAACACGTTAACTGGGGATCAAGAATGATAAGAACTGAGGGCAGAGAGCTCTGGAACGCACTAGAAAAAAAGAGATGTGGGATTATGTCAACTGGAAAACCTACTTATTGGCCCAGTGGTCCTAATAAAATCCCCGATTTACTAGATTTTTATATTTAAAAATATTTCGCCAAATTACATGGCCGTCAATGACAGCTATAATATGAGTTCCGATCATTCTCCCATAACTTTAGAACTCAGTGAAAATGTTATTTAGAGAGAAACAAAACCCTCTTTAGTCAACAAGAACTGATTGGGCAAGCTTCAAACGGGATCTAGATGATCTTGTTAATCTCAACGTACCATTGAAGACACCATAATAGCTAGATATGGAGGTGGAAAACATTGAACGAAAGCAGAGGAAACTATGGCATCAGAGTAGGTCACCAGATGATAAGAGATTGCTGAACACTCTTACGAAAAGATCGAGGAGAAAAATAAAGAGCTTTAAGGATGAGCCCATGAAGACTTATACAACATCTAACAAATGATCGATCTACAGATTACTTACTCTGGAAGGTAACAAAAAACTTGAAAAGACCGATAACTCAAGTCTCTCCTATTAGAGGGTCAAACGATACGTGGGCCATAAGCAATGAACAAAATGCCAAATCAATCAGAATCTACTGATTTGGTTCTAGGAAAAATAAACTCGTCATAACAACTCGCTGGAGAAATAAAACTTGTCACCCCGAGGGAAGTACAAAGAGAAATAAAAATGAAAATTAATAAAAACAAATGTCCTGGATACGACCCTATTTCTGGTGAAATTCTACATAATCTGCCCCAAAAAGCAGTAGTAAAACTGACTACACTAATAAATGTCGCCTTTAGATTAGAATACGTTCCTGAATTGTGGAAAGTTGCAGAAGTAATAATGATCCCGAAACCAGGTAAACCGCCTCATGATGTCACGTCTTATAGACCTATCTCATTATTACCCATGATGTCAAAATTATTTGAAAAGCTTTTACTCAAGAGACTGAAACCAATTCTATATGAAAATAAACTTACACCAAATCACCAATTCGGTTTTAGAGAAAGTCACTCCACTATTGATCAAGTACACAGTATAACCAATACCATAGAACAGGCAATGGAGGAAAAGAAAGTTTGCTCGCAATCTTTTTAGATGTTGCACAAGCTTTTGATAAAGTTTGGCACGAAGGCCTAATTCATAAGTTAAGAAATATACTTTCATATCGACATGCAAATCTTCTGGAATCCTATTTAACCAGTAGGTATTTCAGAATTAGACAAGAAAACGCATAAAAAGCTAAAAAAATAAAAGCTGGAGTGCCACAAGGAAGTGTCTTGGGTCCAATTCTTTACCTTTTATATACAAACAATAAAAAAATAAAATAAAAAAAAAATTGTTTATTCAGTAACATAATGTACAGAGAAAACTAAAGACTACTTATGCGATTTAATGTAAAAATAACACATGTACCTGAACTAGGAAATTCCTGTATTTCAGGTAAAAAGTACTACTAATTATAAAACGTGGATACTATTAATATTATAAATACTTTTTAGGAAAATCTTATGAAATAAAATTAAACAATTAAACAATAAATTGCCAATCAAAAAAATGTACACTTATACAAGACAAAATTTATTTTACGATAATAAATAAATTCTCTGTATCCTCATAGGACATATTTTGAAGAGCTTCTTGGAGAATTTTCTTTACCTTGAAGCAACAGAAATTATAAATGGAATATTTGGCGTTAAATTTATTGTACAAAAATGGTCCAAGAAACACAAAAAATCTTGAAATAAAAGTATGTTTTGATGATATATAAATAACTAAATATACCCGAAATAATATACCCGAACCAATTGACAATACCATTGCTACTTTTGCGGATGACACAGCAATTATGGCTGTAGGAAACAACCACCAGGAAGCGGTCAGTAAAGTTCAAAAAGCCATTAACCCATTCCAGGAGTAGACCAAGAAGTGGCGAATAAAGCTAAATGAAACTAAATCAGTGGACATTGACTTCAGTTACAAAAAAATTGACTACTGTCCTACAATGGACAGTAGTCAATTTTTTTTTGCGTAGGGTACGCAAATACCGCCAAATATCTCGGTATGACCTACGAGTATATCAATTTCTAGTGGTGCACAGTGCTAGAAATCGCTAAGTATTGTTATTATTTTTCGTTCCTTGAAACAATTTAAAATTCTTGTCTCGTTTCGTGAATGTTAGGCTTACAGCCAGCACCATAATAATAATTGAAAACTGTCAATAAAACGTAACAAAACAATTAAAATTCTCAGGCTTACCTTCTAAGAGCAGAACAATCACCCCAAAAATATGACGCTTGGATTTGTGGGGGTGCAATCGTAAGTCCATCTTTCATAGTGACATCAGCAGCTTGCGTTGAAGATGTGGAATTTATGTACGCCATAGCTGGCACAGGCCATTACTACACTACAGAAACTATTCATCATGACAATTGTGCCAACAAGCTCAAGAAAAAGGTCGTTTTGACTTGTGTACCAAAACGTAAGTGGTTACTTTTTACTCCTTATTGTCTCAGCAGATCCTCACAGTACAAAATGCGCCTTCGGATGACTAAAGCTATGACGTGACCTCAAAGCGACGGCGTAAGGAGTAATATTAGTGGCCCGGAAGAAGAAGCTATGCGTTCATTTTCGACCATAATAAATTTAATTGTGTATATTGCAGATTACAACTTCTCCTATGACAAAATAGAAAAGTGGGCGTACATAGACATAGCAGCAGTGAAAGTGGAATCGCCATATGATTTCACTCTAACTGAACCTATACCCGAGTGCAGGGACTCTCCTGAGCAAAAAACATGGGTTCCAAACAAAATAAAAATCAACTTCGAAGTCAAATATCAAAATCCTGGAAATGATGCCTTAATCCTCGGCTGGGGGCATACATCGAAATGGCGAGCGGTTGGTAAAATATATTCTTTATCAGTTCAATTCATTTATTAATTGCATCATTATGTACATAGCTTCAGCTTATGTATTAAGTATATCTACATAGAAAACATATATTATGAACTCTGCAGGACACAGCAACATAGGAATAAACAGGTCACCGTTACTGAAATTTGTTGTCTAAATGTTGTTATGGTGGTAGTTTTTATTAGTGTTTTTAAGTGTATGAATTTATTTGCTTTATTTCCTTATTTAATTTACTCGGGTAATTTGTTGTATATTTTTACTGACATGGCGTATGGGCTTAACTCAAGAAACTTTAATTTTGATAGAAATTTCAGTCACTATTACGTGATTTTTCCGTTTGGATGGCGTTGGGACGCGTCTCCCAATTTAGTGTAAAATTGTGGGTACTTTTACATAAATTTGCAAGTTTCCAAAATATAAATAGATATCGGCGTTAAAATTTTATGTTTTTTAAAAAATGGTTCAATGCTCTCTGCTTTCAATATATTCGCTAGTATACTAACGTACTGTTTTTGTTTACTAAAGAGGTAATTTACAGTTGTACCACAGTGTAAATAATTGGTTAGACTGTGGAGTACTATTATCTCACAGTATGGTGCCGTAAGATAGCCATGTGCAGGCGTCGTAAGCATTGAAGGCGTTTTGGAAATTAGTTAATTTTATTTCTTTTAAGGAATACGTAAAGCTATAATAGCATTTTTTTGTACGACTTGTTTCTAAGTCGCATTTATCAAATTAAATGTATTGACGATTCCTATTTTTGTGTGATTTTCATGGTGTCGCCATCTCGGGTCAATGTAGAAAAACTAACTTTTCTATATTGTCTCGGGTCTAGGTATTTGTGGTACTGTTGTTGTTTCCGATTTCCAAAATACAAGAGCTTGAGCTACTTACTTGGGAATCAGCGCAACGTATGTGATGTTGTCTAATATTTATTTATTATTATTATTATTAAGTTATATGAACAGTTAATATTTACTGAGGGTTTTTGATAAAGTCTAAATTCGATAGTTTTGGGTTTTTATTAAGTTAATTTCTAAATTGTGATTCAATAATCCATGTTACGATTGTATCTAGTGTATTATGAAAAATTTGATATAATTTGTAAATCAAATTCTTTTTGTTGAAATAATGTTATGCGTTATATATGTTAGTACTGTGATATCGTCCGCGAAAAGAATATATGAGTCAGTTCTTACTTATTATTTTTGAATATATAAATTAAATAATATGCACCAAATGACGATTCAATTCCTCGTGGTATCGAATTGTTCATATTTTAGTAGTCCAGTCTGATTTGGGTTATAAAGAGTTTCAAAATTAGGATTTGATGCTTTTAATTCCGAAGCAAGTAAGGTGGTGGCGCCAGTGACCGACAAGGTCCTTGTTCGATATCTTTTTACAAATTCATTTCTAATAAGATTTAGGACAAAATTATGTATCTTAGGAACACGTTTCTTATTGGTTCATTATTGGTGAGTGTCGATTGCTGGTTAGTTAATTAGTGAATTTTTGGTGTTCATTAGTGAAGATTTAGAGAAACTCTAGTTTTGGTTTGTTTAGTAATAATTAAAATAGTTTTTTATGAAGTATAATCTTTCTTGAGGATGATATCTGTCAAGTAAACTAATATTGATATGTATTATAAAAAAGTTAATTGAAATTTAGACACACTTTTCTTAAAATGTCGATCCATGGTATCAACACCGTAGTAAGATCGTGTAACAACAGTCAAATAAGCCAAAATATACCTTAACACGTAAACCCCGTCTCACGTTAAAGAATGCAAACTGGCACTTTTTTAATAGTTAATATTGTACGCACTGTACGTAACGAGTTTTCGTGGTTCGTGTATCTCTAGTAGTTATAGTCGATGATGATATCATCACCCTATATCATCACACAGAATACATCACACCTCCACTCGTCACGTTCACAGCCAGTTCCTTGACCTCTTTATAGCTGTTCACTTTGATGTTCTTTTAATTGTTCACTCTTGGTCTTCCTTACTCTTTTCCCTTCTATCCTCCCCTCAATTGTCACTCTCATAAATTCGTCATTACGTAACAAGTCGACTATATGCTGTAGAAAAAAGTATAATATATTGTAGCTCATGATTCGTTTGTAAAAAAAAACCATTGGATTCTTTATTTCCCGCGAACTTGGGATCAGTTGACACTCAGTTGACTCATCATCACTTTCTATCAGGTGAGATGGAGGTCAAATACGCACTTATTTTATTTAAAAAATAAAGCTATTTGAAAAGAGCAATTTCAATTTGAAAAGAGAAAAACGCCTTGAATTAAAAAATAGGAAAATCAACCATTAAAATAATTGCTCATTATACTAAAATTAAGGCGCTATTTATAAAAATGAATCTTCATACGTGAACAGCCACCCTTAGAGGTGGTTGATTTTCTTCAAAATTAAATGTGACCACTATGGAGGTACCCTCTTTCCAACAAAAGAATCATGAAAATTGGTTCACAAATACCGGAGTTATCGTGTAACATACACACACAAAAAAAAAACATACAGTCGAATTGAGAACCTCCTCCTTTTTTTGAAGTCTGTTAAAAATGACGTTTTAAGGTGTCCAATTGTACATAAGGTAAAAATGATTATTTGACTTTGCGTTGCAAAAAGCTTACTCACTTTTTTATTTTAAAAAATGACATTCATCATAATGCCGAATTTGCGAAATTCAAATCTGACGATTGTTACATGCTCCAATCCAATTTAAGCATCCAATTTACACATACTAAAATATATTTAAAAATCCACAGGCAGACGATCCACATGATTACAATTCAAAATTTCTACAGTATGGATCGACGTTGATACAAAACAAAACGAATTGTAAAAACTATTATCGCAATTTGCCCCATCTTCAGGCCACTATTGATAAGTACATGATTTGCACGTTAATGGCAGGAAATATTGACGATGACGGTGAATTGATTTTCACGCAGAAACCGGACGCTGATGGTTGTTCAGACGAAGACAAGATGACCGGGACGGTAAGTACAACAAACTCACATTCCACAATCAACTTTCAGTGTGGCTGGAGCTTTTTGTATCGTGACGAAGATGAAAAGAGAAGCTACACAAAAAAACTCGTAAATTGAAAAAAAATCCAATTTGTATCATACATTGATGGATATTTTTTCCAGTGTAAATTAGAAAGGTCAGATGAAGAGTTTCGAAAAACACAACCACCCCTACCGATTTCAATTTCACCTGTTCACGGATTTGGCGATGTCACTGTCAACTTACGGCGATCTATTCAGAACAACACACATACACGACGAATAACACGTACAATAAAACGACGAAGTGGAATATGCCAGGTAGATTCTGTTTACAATTGCAATATTTTTTTTAATACTTACAATACATTTTCAAACGGTGATGATAACTGATCTAAAGAGACTAGTATATATCGATTGCACTGATTTCCATCAAACGGTACCGTTATACAGATGCTAGCGGTCAACGATAAAGTCATTTAATAAATAAAAGAAAGGAAGCAGACAAATAGAATACAAAGACGAATAGAAATAAATAGTCGCTTATTAAATAATTACAAATATAGAGATATAGAGTATCCCCTCTGCATATTTTGAATAACAAATACCTTAACCACCGATAGTCAGTCTTTTGACTTTTTTTTACATTGGCTTATAGAATGATCACGGGGGCCCATTGATAACGTGGGTTGGTTCTCACGAAGTGCTCATTGGAGTCGCCTCGGTATTTCGGATTTCCAATAAATCAGAATGTATCGGTCCATACCTTTACACGAGCACACAATGCAACGGGCAGTTTTTACAATGTGTAATCTTTGAAAACGAACCGAAAGATGTTAAAGATGGCGACGAAATATTGTAAGTACTGCTACTTTTCTTGCCAGTTATATCGTCTGTCTAGCCTCTCAATTTATTCATTCCTATATTTGTGCTTAGGAATTTTAAACATTCTAAGAAATTTTGGCATAAAAAGCGAATTGACACTTTCAGACGCCTAAAACAAAAAGATATTTGCGACGTGACTCCAGCTGAAAGTGGGTTCGAGATCATTAAACGAAGAATTTCATGGAAACATCATCCTGACGGGTAAGTAAACAACAAATTGCACCCTAGTGTAATAAGGCCACATCTGCAAAATGACAACTTTTCAGGAGAGACACTTAAAGATTCCACAAATTTTTATAAAAAGGAATGATTTACATTCTTCTTGTACTTTTTAGACCCGCCGAAAATGAACTGGAAGAAGAAATCTTTGAACGGCCACAAATACCATTATACAACTTCAATAAGCACTTTAAGTCAACGAGAACATCGTCTATGACTAATCAAAGTGGTAATGGAATCGGTGACAATGTTCAAAGAACAGCAAAAGCCGGGACATCGGTGAAACTAAAACCGTGACTACATTAATAGTATGAAATTACATTACCACATGGTAGTGTAATTACATATAAGTGTAGACGCCAAAACCATTCCTTTTATAAGTCTTTAATTTAATGCTTTTGTCTTTTGTTTTTAATTACCTTTTAAAATATTAAAATGACGTACGTTATACGACTACTTTCCATCAAAATATAAGTTACAGTCCTTGGTATGAATATGTGGTCCTTTTTACTTACCTGTTTTCATGAACCAGGGAAGTGTTAAAATGCACATGACCATCTATATTTTATTATATTTAGTAATGGTTGCAACCATAGATATAGGAAAGAAGGGTGCAAGCCCCAGTCAATCGCGATTATTTGCCGACGTCGAAGTGGGTTCTTCAGGTAATGAAGATATAGTTGTTCCCGCTACGTTTGTACCTAACACGCTGATAGTGTAGTAGAATAAGAACGTATGTAGTGAAATAAGTATGATAACTGCGTACAGACGTCGCAGCGCAGGTGCACACATTTGCATAATCTAAGGGTATCACAGCACTGGTCGTCCAAACGCGCCTTTCATAATTATGCGAATGTGTGCGTTGCGTACTCTAGTACAGGCAGCTTAGGTTTTGTATTTAGAATTGTAAGAATAATAGAGTGTTGGTGTCAAACAGACATCTAAGAGTTCTAGAAGAAGCTTCCATGAATCAATAAGTAAAATACGTAATAAATGTTTATGAAGATAATCCCAGTTTTATATACAAAAGTATCTCTCGCAATGCTACCAGAGCTACGTCCTTTGTTATAGTACATATACAAGCCGCGCTGTTACTTTGTATGAAATTACCCTATTTTTTTATTCTACTATGTTCATAGGGCTACTGATGCCAAGTAGGAGATAACTATTAATGTACTCATCGTACCTACTGCCCACTCACACATGTACAAGCTCGATAGCATCGTGCACAAGCCGCTCTTCAACGAAGGATACTGCGAGGAATCTCGCAGCAACACGTCCGTTACCTCCCACGATTAGAGCTGGCTGCAAAGCAGCTGGATCTTGAGTGAAGCATCGCTGAGACTGGATTATAAGCAGAGCCGCGGGATAACCGAAACGGCTACGAGGCGACCAATTACGCCAGTATCATCTACGTGAACCAACACGGTTCCGTGGCTGATTTTGTCACCCACATCCAACCAGATGCTCACGAGCCAACCGACGTTACTATATAAAACGTTACGTATCTCAGTGCTAGTAAATACCTTTCAAAATTTTGTACATAAGGTTGAACTGAATTCCAAAGGTTTACGGCAAATCTCCTATGGATTGGCTGTTTGTTAAACGTTAGTTCTACGATTCACAAAAATCGTTCACAGTAGCAGAAAATCAAGTCTAAGCTCAACTATGAAAGAAGCGGCGTGGGAGGCAGTTTGCCTTGCTATCGTGATGGCTGTGGCGATGTCACTAAAACCTACTATTGTCATGCAAGAGTTGGATAGGCGTTTTGGATACCCAAAACAGATTGTGTTGCGCAAGGTAGTAGACGTATGCCCCTTAGGTCAGATAAAGTTACACTCATTTATGTGTCGCGGAACGAAACTGACTATTTACGTTTACTACAATTATTTGGAGCGCTAATTACCAAGCTTGACCCATTATTACGCACACGATGCCTTTATTTGCCGTGGTGTACGCAGCCACTGCTCCGCCATTTAGCACGGTAGATCTGCAGATAAAGTACGACACATCTATCGAAGTGTTTCAGGTGCCGCGACAGCATACCAATACTGTGTCAGATGTGGACTCGGCCCCAATAATGTCATTAAAATCTGGTAGCGAACATCACTGCAAGTCTTGTCTTTTCTATGCCCTATATTTCTATTCCAACTTCGTTTGTACCCAGTTTTGTATAACTAATAATTTAGGAATGAAGAACGAATAGGAAGAAATAAAAAAACAGTGCGTCATTTGACACATACATTGACGACTTCCGTAGCCGAGTGGCTTGTACACCGGTTTTCATGGAGTCGCCATCACTGAGGTCCCAGGTGCAATCCCCGGCCAGGTCAATTTAGAAATAACTAACTTTTCTATATTGTCTCAGGTCTGACTGTTTATGGTACCGTCTTTGTTTCCGATTTCCACAATACAAGTGCTTTAGTTTACTTACTTTAGAATCAGAGCAAGATATATGATGTTGTCTAATAATCATATATTATTTATTTTTACTTTTACAACAGTCTTTTGTAGTGTAGAAAAAAGACAAGCAAAATAATACAATACATTTGCACCAAAAAATCATATTAATCGACTACCCTCTTCGATTCGAAGGAATTTTTGATTGTATCCAGACAAAAATCTTTCGTGGTGCTTATTCGACCACAGCCAGTGGAAAAAGTATAGTCTTTCCCACGACATATAGAAAACAAGTTTAATATTGTATAATGTATGTTTTGCTTTAATACGTAACTTTTACAAGTTGTAGCAATTAGGCAGTTCCATTGATTTATTCAGGTTATTTGACAGTGGTCTAGCACATCATTGATATCATTAATAATTAAAAAGATGAATCTCAAAAATCTCACAACTGTGTAAAGTGCGTCCAAATGCCATCAAGTATATAACCAGAAATAGAGACAAAGTGTCATTAAATTTTATTTGAAAACTATTCTGCCAAATCATTACGGTGACAACTGCGCTCCGATTGGCCAGCACGAATTCAAAACAATTGACGGATGTCGTTAACTGTTTCACTTCAAATCGACAAATTTAACTTGAGCTTGCTATAATTGACGAAAATTGAAATATTACATATTTAATTACCGATGAAATGCGTTCCATTTGTTTTGTAATTAGGTGTTCTACTGTTTTTCCCACACCACCGAATTTTTATTACAATAAATACAGAATATTTTTGGAATATAAGAAGAGCTACACACAGATCAGTTGTTGGCGCTGTACTATTTCAGCTTTCTAATTTGTGATTTAGACGCAAACGAGAGTTGATATTTAAAAATGATTATAAGGCCCATGTGCCTGATGATAATGAAATTTGGGCATAACACTTACAGCTCTACATAAACAAGAAAGCCATCAGTTTAACTATTAATAAGTATATTAAAGTGTTCCAAATGTTTTAGCAAAACAAATTGAATTCACAAATTCTTTTAATCTGTTTATTTTTATATAATACTAAGTGACGGGAACAAGTTGTGTGCCTGATGGTAAGCGAAATGCCTGTCCATAACAATTGCAATGCCACTCAATGCTTTAAATCGCAAAGATCTGAGGGGCACTGCCACTGGCCTGTCATCCTGAGACATAAATTGACAAGTCCCATGTATCTGTGATTTCACCAGCACCCTTACCCTTCGAAACTGAAACGCAGTTACGTTCACATTACTGCTTGACGGCAGAAATAGGTAACTTCCCTGCACGAACTCATTCACAAGGAGCTCTACTGCTACGAAAAGATTAGCGCCATACAGCCATATATATATATATATATATATATATATATATACTCACAACACTCAACATAGCCCCGCACTAGGGAAATTTGTGTCGCGGGTGCCATGGACAGGCACATAGATAACCACAAATTACACCCAAACTCACGAGAGAAATAAATGTAGGCCTTACAAATATTTCTCCCGGCCCGGGAATCGAACCTGGGACCTCTGCGTGGCAGTCCGGCATGATAACCGTTCAGCCACAGAGGCAGTTAATAATATTGAAAGAGAAAAACGCCTTGAATTGGAGAATAGCAAAATCAACCATTAAAATAACTGCTCCTTATAATAAAATTTAGGCGCTATTTTTAAAAATCAATCTTCATGCGTGAACAGCCACCCTTGGAGGTGAACGATTTTCTTCAAAATTAAATGAGATCATTATGGAGGTACCCTCTTCCCAAAAAAAAAAAGAATCATTAAAATCGGTTCACAAATACTGGAGTTATCGCGTAACATACATACATACAAAAAAAAAAGAAAAAACGTACAGTCGAATTGAGAACCTCCTTCTTTTTCGTCGGTTTGAAGTCGGCTAAAAGAGTCAAACAAATTATCTTTACGAGTTTCGTCAATTTAGTTAAGCACTCGTCTGTAACGTTAACAAATTGAGATTCATAATACTTTCTCTGGAATTTTATTTTAGGATTTTATGGAAAAATGAAAACGTTAATATTGTTTGTATTAACTTCTTGTATAGTGAATAGTAAGTTCTAATTTACACTTAATATTATTGTCGACGCTGTGTAACATTTTTGTTAAGTTTGTTATGAACGCTCAAGTGCTGTGGCATTAACGCACAAGGTGCAATGTTGTTTTATAATTGTAATTTATTTGACGTCAGCATCTATTTTAACACATGTATAAGTAACTCCATTTGATTAATATAGCCTTTAATTCAACTAACCCTTCCGAACTTCCTGTCAGTGACTTCTAAATTTCTTTTGATCAAATTCATGTGCTAAATAAAGAACAGCAGCAGCTTTTCCTCAGAATCGATTTCAACAAAATAAATGATACATAAGTATTATACAAGGCATGAACCTTAATAGAAAGAAAGAAAGAAAGAAAGAAAAATTGTTTATTTGGTAACCATAATACAAATAGAACGTGAAAACAAAAATTAAAATAACCTTATTATAACATTTACTTAAAATAAAACAGTATTATATTTAAAATGGTACCAAAAAGGTCTCCACTCAGCTTATTTGTAACGAGACACATCTCGTTACGCTGATTTTCAGTGAAGCCAACAATTTATTTATTTAATAAAGGGCCGTTTAGATGGAAAGAGTTTAACACACGCTTGTCGCGAGAAATCGTACGCTACTATTGCAAGTAATAATCACCATAAGATTATCGTATCATGATATTCAAATATCTACAGACAAGAACTAAAATCTCGCCTATAATTATGTCATACAAAATGCGCAAATAACTTATCGCCCATCTAGTGCGAATGTTTACACTGCTATATATATAATGAAGAAATTCTTGCTTTCGAGTTCTTAACTTGTACAAATACATTCTCATGTGGCATTTAAGTTCATTATGAGTATGTTCATTATGTTTGAGTACGTAATTTCCCATTTGAATTAAATGATTACTACGATATTGTTCTCAAAAGGACACAAAAATGTTCTGTGTCCGTTTTTATTCATTTTCGTCTTGGAAGAAATAATTAAAACACTCTCGTGCAATACACTCTTAGCAGAAACTGCTTAAATACTTGAAATATAATTCTCGCTTTCAAGTTGAGTTTAAGAGACGTTCCATAGTGAATAGAGAGGCGATTGTCGCTCACATAGTCCAGCGAAAATCGTAAATGTTTACAGGAAGAAACTTTATATATTTTTATATTTATTTAACTTTTTATATTCTTTTGATAATTATATCATCGAGACGTGAAACTCTCTCCGTGTAAATAGGCCTTAATTCAAATTCGTTATGTGTAAATAGATACTGACTAGGAACATTTTTAACCAACCATCAAATTCCAGTATCGTATAGTCAACGCAAGATAAAAAATGGTCAGAAGGTAGCTGGGCCGAAAGTATATATGGTAAGGACATTAAATAGTACATATTAAATAAAAATTTATACGTTACATAATTAGAAGCGAAAACCTTCCATACAACCAAAAATGCCATAAGATAACAAAAGACAAAATTGTTACAGAAACTATATCTCAGGGAAAAAAAGAAATAAATCTATCTAGCTAACAATAAAAATTAAGGCAGGAAGTGCATATGTAGTAGAACACGAAAAAATTAAATTGTTAGCCTTGTAAAACAGAGAATGTAAAGGAGTTTTTTCTCTGGGTATTGATATACGAGTATGTCAATTTCTTGAGCGCAATGCATCCATTGACCTACCAACAAAGTCAATGAGTGGACTTTGTTGGTAGGTCAATGGATGCATTGCGCTTGAAAGACGCTTAGTGCGTTGTTATTATTTTTTAGTAACAATAAGTCTAAGTTCGCAGAAATACAATTTAATTACATTGTTGGAAACAATGGTAAATTCTAATCTCGCCTCGTCGATTGATATTGGGTGGGCAGTGATGCTGTTAACATTGACTGGTCGCAACTTATATGCTTTAAGTCTCAAGAGATACTGGAAACCTTTGACTGTAACTTTATACGTTTATACGATGTGCATGCGCCTTTACATGCGGTTAAATTTGTAACGATGCGACTTCCTTCTTCGTCATCCCATCTTTTTATCACCTTTTCTCTGATTCCTGGCCACTTATTTTCAAATTTTGAATCATTCTTTAATTCCTTTGCCTCGTCATCCTCACTTTGTTTCGTTCCGTCGTCACTCTCTCTCTCTCTCTCTCTCTCTCTCTCTCTCTACCTAACTCCCGAAGCGAACAGACGTGCTATCTCTCATCGTACTAAATCACAAATACAACAGTTTCGTAAATACGTTTAACGATGTAACGTGTTTATAAACATGCATCACACAGATTTCTATGGAAAAGTTCATAATGTCGACTCTTCACTCTCCAGGACTATCCAGGTTACATTACAATCTACCGGACATGCTTAAGCAGTGCCAGCTGTGCGTAACAACCCTTTCAAATTGACGCATCATCCCTCGTCTTGGCTCATTGGAGAAGCAAAGCGCATTTCTAAACAAAAAGCTGCGACCAAAGCCAAATATACGTTTAGGCCTACCACCGGGACAAAGGAGAATGCCAAAACCCGCCAAAATCAAGTATCGTTCGCCATACTTTCTACAATAATATAAATTCTAGTTTGAATCTAGATTTATGTTATAAACTAAACTTATAGAACCTCATTATTAATATTAGTGTAAAAATAGTAATTTCATCACTAAATACATGAAACTACAAAAGTTACAAATAAAATGTTGCCAACATCAGAATAAAATCTTATAGATTCTTTAATTACACTACAAATCCAACTTTCATGTCAAATTTCAACAATATGTAATACTATTTAGGACATAGGTAAGAACCTTAATCGTAAATAAAACATTTTTGTTTATTAAAAAAAATCGTTCAATTATCGATTACATTAGGGAAAATCATATATTGCTGTATGGTTGGCAACACTTGTCTGACATAACATAACTTTTTTAGTAGCAGTAGAGCTCCTTGTGAAAGGGTTCGTCCAGGGAAGTGCTGCCACCTTACCTATTTCTACCACTAAGCAGTAATGTCAGCATTACTGTGTTCCGGTCTTGAAGGGTAATGGTGCTGGTGAAATTACAGGCACATGAAACTTGCCTACCTACGTCTCAGGGTAATGGGCACAGTGACAGTGCCTCTCAGATCTTTGCGATTTACAGCTCTGAGTGGCACTGCAAGTGTTATGGACAGACGTGTAGCTTACCATCAGGCGCACGACTTGTTCGTCCCGTCACTTGATATTATATTAAAAAAACTTCTTAACTCAAATGTCATGCGCATGCGACTATTCGTCACGAGTAACAATTTGTCTCCGCTCCGATATTTTTACACCACGTATGTAACTCACTATTTCAGTAGGTAAGTATGCTAAACCTTGAAAAGTTGTGTCATCTGAAAGACAAATAGGCCAGAACCCATCAATTGAAATATTAATAGGTTAGTTCTAATTTAGTTACTCAGATTGAATACACGTGCAAGTGCTATCTTTATAGAAGTGTTACTTGTTTTTGGCGTACTTTTAGAAAAAACTAACTTTAATATCTAATCAAGCAATGTTGTCGGGAAAAGAGCAAATCCGCGTATGCAATATTGGTACAAAAAGCGCGTATCTGCACCAAACCAAATTTCACAGGAGAAGTTTAACGTTATTGCTTTGTTATTTCAATGGCTACGACTTTCGTTTTGCACAGTAAGTATTAATTTATGTTGTCTACGGACTGGTAGCAATAGTTTCCCATAAATCACGCTAATCTGGTTGCCACGACATTTACGCGGATTTGATTTAATATCGGAATCATATTTTACTAAATTACCAAAATGGACACTCATAATCAAATGCTAGTTACGCGTAATTGCACTATCCCCGACTATATGACCCATCTCTGTTGGATCTGGCCGAATACAGTAGGATATCTTGGCATTCTCCTTTGTAAAAATACTCAATCACTGTAATAAGGCGTATAGGAACGCACAATACAAACACATTCATAAGTCTGTCGAAAATGAGGAACCAGCTAAAGTTTGGAAATTTAGATCTGAGAAATGGAATTGGAAAACAAGCCTCACCTTCTGATAACCTCTACATGAATGTCTCAAACAAATATTTATCATTGATTCATGATTTTGATACTATTTCGGAATTTAATACTTTGAATTTTCATTTTTCTTTTCCAAGTCTCGATCACTCCCTTAACCTTTATTTCTGCCTTGCCCAGCTCTGCCCAAAAACTGAAACGTGGTCTTTATTGAGATAACATAATAATTTAATTTCTCAGGCATACCTTCTAAAAGCAGGACGTTCACCCCAAAAATATGACGCTTGGATTTGTGGGGGTGCAATAGTAAGTCCATCTTTCATAGTGACATCAGCAGCTTGCGTTGAAGATGTGCAATTTATGTACGCCGTAGCTGGCACTGTTCATTACGTTAACACAGGAAGACTTGCTGAGGACAAATGTACTAGAGCGCTCGCGAAACGGGTCGTTTTGAGTTGTGTACCAAAATGTAAGTGGTTACTTCTACATTATAAAGAATTTTCGTCGTCATAGCCAGACCAGATCACCACTAAGTACAAAGTGATGGCAAATGACGTGATCTCAAAGCGACAGTTGTAAGACATAATTTTAACATGGATGGAAGAAGAAACTATGTTTTCGTTTTCGACTATAATGTACACATGATAAGTGTGTATTGCAGCGTACGAGTTCTCCTATGACAACATAGAAAAGTGGTCGTATATAGACATTGCTGCAGTAAAAGTGGAATCGCCATACAATTTCTCTTTAACCATACCCACACCCGAGTGCAAGCACTTACCTGAGAATGAAATATGGATTCCAGACAGAATATATATCAACTACGAGGCCAAATTTCAAAATCCTGGAACTGATGCCTTAGTCCTCGGCTGGGGGCATTCGTCGAAATGGCGTGAGGTTAGTAAAATATATTCATTATCATTTTCATAAAGATGTACAAATTTCACTATCAGATTTTAATGATGCACTTGGTTCCGGAGCAAATAGCAGGGTCGTGATAGCAACTGTAGAGTAAGCCAAAATATGCATACATCTTAATGTATGCATATTTACGTACACCACGCCAGTTCTTTAATTTTTGAAATTGTTAACATTTTCCCTGCTGGAAAGAAACGTAATTTAATTTCACCAGCCCCCTTACCCTTCTAAACTAGAATGCAGTAATACTCACATAATTGCTTGGCAGCAAAAATAAGTACGGCAGCAGTATTTGCCTGCATTAACTCCTTCACAAAGAGCTCTATTGCTACAAACATGGTGCTACTTGCTTCTACTATTCAGCTGAGGCTTACTCATTTTCAAAAAGGCAAATCTGATCGTTCATTTACAATATACTTATAGGAACAGCAAGACACTTAGATTCAACTTCTACTTTAGGCGCCTCTCCAACTAGTGAAGGTTGGCAGTCCGCTCAGCATATTTATCTTTATTTTTGGCGAGTTGGGCGGCACCCGCTATCTCAGTTCACTCTCGTATGTTCCTCATCTTTTGTTCTATTACCCGTTTTCCTTTTACCAGTAACTTTTTCCATCATTATCAGTTGCAGAAGCTCGTATCTGTCATGCCTAAGTATCTAGATATGCAACTTGTCGCTGTTTGATGGTCTGCAAAAGTTTACGCTTCCAACTAGTCCAACAACAAGTTTCCAACTAGTCAAAGAACTTCGTCATTGGTGACTTTCAGAATCCATGATAACTGCATCATTCTTCTTTAGGCCCACATTTCAAATGCTTCAATACGTTTTCTTTAAGGTACTCTTTTATTGTCCAAGATCACATCCGTATAGAAATATTGGCCAGATGTAACACTGAAGAAGTCGAGTGCGCAGAGGAACATTAAGATAATGCATAATACTTTCCTCATAGTATTAAAGGCTCTCCTGGCAAATTCATTGCGGGTTTTAATTTCAGTTTCACTGTACTAGTCTTCAGTAGCTATGTGCCGGGATATTTGTATTTGCAAACCCGGTGAAGTCCTTGTCCTGCGTCTGATATACTGGGCTGATATAGATTCTACAGTTAATAGTATTTTCATAATTTATGTATCTGTCGCTGTTCTAATCGACTGCATACTGATGCATAAAGTGTAGAATTTAAACACATATCTAGTATTAGACAAATGCTATTATAATTTAAATTAATTTTATATTGACAAACTTATGTAGATAGTTATTTAATTAAATTAAGTTTTTTTTTTGTTATTTTATGTATTTGACTGATGATAGATAATCGACATGTTATTTTAATCTAAATTGTATTTGTTTTTATTATTATGTTTTGTAATGTGTAAAATAATGTAATCCCTAAAGTAGCGACTACGTACCACACCCCTGCGGGGTGTCATAGCAATAAGCGCCAATGGAACTTGTATTGCTGTGACTTGCATTTTAAATAAATAAATAGATACATTTACAATGCATTGTCTTTATAAACAATTCATGAATTTTCAAAAATCGTTTATAAAAGACGCCTTTAGATTAGTTACTTCCCATGAACAGGGTACATTGCCTCTACCATGAGTTTACTGTGACAGTTCTCGCTAGCGACGACGTAAAATATTTGTATATAAAATATTACTTCATCTCGTAACCGCTAGAGGCGCTGTATAATTTGCGATACAAAATTGTGAAGTAATTTACGCGGTCGCTAGCGATTACTGTCACAGTAAACTAATGGTAGAGGCACTAACTAGTAGGTGCTTATGATGGGGTGCATGGAGAAATCATACGACTATAATATTAGATACGTTTCACAAAATTTGACGATTGTTGTCTGCGCCAGTTTATGCATACTAAAATGTATTTAAACAATCCACAGCCAAGCGATCCAACAGATCACAATGAAAAATTGCTACAATATGCATCGACCTTGATACAAAATAAAACGCAATGTAAAAAGTACTATCGCAACTTGACCGATCTTCAAGCCACTATTGATAAGTACATGATTTGCACGTTAGCGAAAGGAAATATTGACGATCAAGGTCACCTGATAGTCACAGAGAAATCAAACGTAGATGGTTGTTCAGACAACGACAAGAAAGCAGGAAGAGTAAGTACAACAATCTCAAATGAGTGACGGACGTATGTTTCTGATTATAATTAATCTCTTTTTTGTATCTTTGTATTTTTTTATTTTATAATATCAAGTGACAGGGATAAAAAAGTCCTGCGACTAATGGTAAGCTACGTGCCTGTCCATAACAGTTGCAGTGCCACTCAGAGCTTTAAATCTAAAAGATCTGAGGGTCACTGCCACTGCGCCCGTCACCCTGCGACATAAGTTGACAAGTCCCTTATGCCTGTAATTTCACCAGCACCCTTACCCTTCAAAACCGGAACGCTGTAATGCTGACATTACTGCTTGGCGGCAGAAATAGGTAAGGTACTTCCTTGGACAAACACAAGGAGCTGCTACTAAATATTATATTGTAAATGTTTTTCTATTTTATTTCTATTCTAATCCCTTAACAAAGTATTTACGTTTTTACACAACCCGTATGTATTTACGATGCAAATAAATGGGCATCTATTGGGCGAGCTCGACCTACTTTCTTCTCTCATCTTTGCTGCAGGGTTAGGTAGCGGTCATTTAATATAAAAAAAAATTGAATAAAGACATAATATCAGATAACAATTCTATTTTATTATATGATACCAAGTGACAGAACGAACACGTCGTGGGTATATTTGGTGGTAAGCGACACGAAATAGATACGGTGACAGTTGACAGAAATTGTTGTAGATAATGAGCTACATTTTTTTTTTCTAGTGTAAATTAGAAAGATTAGGACCACCACCACCACCGATTCCAATTCCGTCTATTTACGACTTTGACGATGTCTATGTAGACTTTCGGCGATCTATTCCGAACAACACACGTATAACACGACGACATGGAATATGCCAGGTAAATTCTGTTTACGATTGCTATTTTTACAAACGGTGATGATAATTGATCTAAAGAGCCTAGTATGTACCGATTGCACTGATTTCCATCAAACATTATGGTGGTGCGAAATGAAAATGTATAATACCGATAAGTAGTGGACTGTATTTTTGCGATTTTTAATTACATTAAGGTTACTTGTACTACGAGTAATTGCACTTGCAAGTAGCTTCCTCTAAGGACTGGAACCAGTAAATAGTAGTATGTTAGAAAACTGAAGGCCCGTGCCTCTCCAGGACCAGACTTAATACCGCCTTTCATGGTTAGGGATTGCATCTCTGCTCTTGAGGTTCCGTTAATGCATTTATATAACGCAGCTCTTGAAAACTCCCACTACCCCCAAGCGTGGAAAGTGTCAAGAGTGACACCAATACCCAAGGAAACTTCCAGGGTGGATATCACGTCATATAGACCAATTGCGGTTCTGTCGGTGTTCGGAAAGGTGTTTGAAAGTATCATCGACTCACTCCTAAAACGGAAAATTGATGCATTGCTCACTGACTGCCAACATGGTTTTCGGTCTTCACGATCTACTACTACCAATCATATAAATTTCGCAGACTACATATTATCAAAATTAGATGACAAAACTCAAGTGGACACAGTATATTTCGATTTCAAAAAAGCATTCGATTTGGTAGACAATGACATATTACTCTCAAAATTTGCGGAAATTGGATTTAACCCTAAACTTATAAATTTTTTTGCTAGTTACCTCAGAAATAGAAGGCAATATGTTCAGATTGGCGGGTATCGTTCGGAGCCTTACTTTACTCTATCAGGAGTTAGTCAGGGGAGTACCTTGGGACCTACACAATTTCTGATTATGATCAATGACCTGCCTACAGTGGTTCAACATTCAAAGTGCTTACTTTTTGCTGACGATCTTAAACTTTACATCGATGTAGAAGGACCCGAGGATAGCGTTAGGTTGCAAGATGATATCAAAGCCGTGGAACAGTGGGCACTAATGAACCGACTTCAGTTTAATCAGTCTAAGTGCAAGGTCATTAGTTTCACAAGAAAAGCAATATACGCTTCTCCCTATTACATAGGCGGCAATCCGATCAATCGTGTAACTGAGATCAGGGATCTTGGTTTGACCCTGAATTCGCGGTTCACTTTTAAAGACCATATTCTAACAATTTGTAAGAAAGCACACCGAACTCTGGGGTTTATTATGAGAACGTCTTATGCTTTTGCTGACTCAAAAGTAGCATTGATCCTGTATAACGCATACGTACGCAGTGTGTTAGAATTCGGAGCGATTGTATGGGATCCTCGCGAGTCTATATATATCGAAATGATAGAAAAGATTCAGCGAAAGTTTGCAAGATTTATTTATAAAAAGTTGTACAATGTTTATCCGTATCTGTTCCCTTCTATGTTCGTATTTGGAATGACCGGATTTGACAGCCTTGTACTGAGGCGTAAACTAATGCTCATAATGCATTACCATGCGGTTTTGAACGGTGGGGTTGACAACTTGACAGTTGTGTCTCGTATGGGTCTGTTTGTCCCAGACCGATATCTGCGTGGTGGTGGTGCCACGCTGCAGAGGCGCGTACGTCCGTTATTCGCGACTCTTCCGTCGCGCACCTGCAGCGGCGCACATGCACCCACGGTTAGGGCGACCTCTTTGCTTAACCAATTGCTCGCACTGCAGTCGCGTGCCGACGTATTCGGAGACAGTTCGAAGCAATTTTTCAAATATGTCGTATTATTCCTAAATGAATATTTATGTAAAGCAGAATAATAATATAAATTGTATTATATAAATTATTATTATTACATTTCTTTGACTAGCATATAAGTGTTTTGGCTCATGCTGTGAACTTATTATGTAATTATTATAATAAATAAATAAATAAATAAATAAATAAATAAATGTCGAAGAACAGGGAAAATGATCGAATTCGCCTTTTCTTTCATTGCGCTGCTGGCACCTATTCAGCCTGGATACGGTCGCCACAGGAAGAAAAGTCCTCAGGTTCACTACTGAGCACAGTGTATTGCGAAAAATAGACTATTGAAAACACAATCGCGCTAGTTAGCCATTTTTTGAAGCACACAGTTCAGTGTCATAGGTTCGACTATCGTCTTTTTTTTGTTGCCAACTCATTGACCAGTGAAAGAGACGACAGCAGCAAAGTGCGCATGTTGGAGGAGGATGGAGGATACAAAGGAAGGAAGTCCTCGCTAGTGCTAAGGTCTACCCTATATCATTTTTGATAAATGTCCAATACAAAAAAAAGAAAATATGAAATCCAACACTATAAGTAATTGTACAAACGCTGTCGTTCAGACATATATATTCATTGACATACATAAGTAACATAACTTTTTTGTAATAATATAAAGCCGATCTCAAAATTTCGTGGAATTACATCTATGTGCCAAGTTTTTCCATATATTTCAGTTCCATAGTTTGCCACCCTTACGCTCAGGCCACACAGAAGCGATCGCGGGAGCGTTATATATATATATTTAGAAGTCAACCAATTTAGGAGGCAACAAACACCTTAAAAACCGGCTATCTGCATATTGACCAGTTTTTAAATTGGCTTATAGAACGATCATGGCGGTCCATTGGTAACGTGGATTGGTGCTCACGAAGTGCTGATCGGGGTCGCCTCGGTATTCCGGATATCCCACGAGTTAGAATGTATCGGTCCATACCTTTACACGAGCACACAATGCAATGGGCAGTTCTTACAATGCGTAATCGATGATAACACAGAGCACGAGCATGATACTGATGACGACGACTCGTAAGTAACATGACTTATTTATGATACCAAGTGGCGAGACGAATAATTCGTGCACCTGGTGGTAAGCGACACGCCTTTCCTAAATGTTGCAGGGCCACTCAGAGTTGAGTTGAGGACCACTCACACTAGGCTTTTAAGTGATCATGGGAGTAATATTATCCGGGTCTGAAACACTTCCGCATATTATGAACATTTTGATGCAAACGGTGGGGTCTTGGGCGGTTAAGTTTGATTAGCTAGTTATTTTTAAATTTTTTTATGACGGGAAAAACAAATCGTGCGCCTGGTGGTAAGCGACACGCCTGTCCATAACACTTATAATGCAAATCAGAGTTTTAAATCGCAAACATCCGAGGCGCACTACCACTGCGCCCATCGCCCTGAGACATAAGTTGACAAGTACCACGTGCCTGTAACCTTACCATCACGCTTACCCCACATTACTCGTTCGCGACAGAAATAGGTAAGGTGGTAAGGTAACATCTCTTGCCAGGTATATTGTTTGTCTAGCCTCTCAAACCTGTGATCACTCATTATCGGGATCGAAATAGGTAGAAATTTTTCACCTAAAGTTCGAGGAACATAGACAGAAATTGGAAACTGCATTAGGACAATATTTTTTAGGTCCTGGACCTGTTCGGGATTCGGGAAATCACTTAAGTACTTTAAAAATTGACGTAATTAAAATAAAATGTGTATTTTTTGTATTGGACCATACCTTTGGTGTCCCATCGTTACAAAGTGTTAGTCGATCCAGTCTTGCAATCACAATAGACGTAAAAAGTAAAAATACACATTTTTTTTTTTCCTACTAAACTATTAGATTTATGGCAAAATGTGATATGGCAGTATTTAATTAGGACAATAGGATCTCTCGACTGGCATTTTTTTTAGAGAAGTATCGTGGAAAAAATCCAATGTCCGCAATTTCGCAGATCCGACCCACTGTGCGTCGCAAAGTTAAGATAAATATAGTGTACCTTTTTTTTTTTTTTTTTTACGGGGGGGAAGCACTTAGACAAGACCTTGACGTAATTGGGGACACCCAATGACGTCAATTTTTAAAATTCTTATGTGATTTCCCGAATCCGAAAAGGTCCAGGACCTAAAAAATATTGTAATAAGGCAATCTCCATTTTCCGTCTATGTTCCTTGAAGTTTAGGTAAAAAAAACTCTACCTATTCCGATCCCTGCTCATTATCGTTGCCTTATTTGTGTTTCGGTAGGGAAACAAAACATGAGATTTGCTTCAGTTTAATTGGTACAGTCGATACCCTCACTTAGGTATCCACTATTTGTATTGTACGTACTACAAATAGTGAATACTTAAGTGAGGGCACCGATCCTGCTTTGGCGTTATACGAAATTTCGGAATACAAGCAAACTGTGAAAGTACAGTGCTAAGCCAAGGACACACACATAAACAACCACAAATTACACCCAAACTCACGAGGGAAATGAATGTAGGCCATGAAATATTTCTCCCAGCCCGGGAATTGAACCCAGGACTCTGCGTGGCAACCCAGCACGGTAACCGTACGGCCACGGAGGCAGTCAATGTATGTGCTGTAGCATTCTACGATATTTTGGCATATCTAGCAATTTGACTCTTTCAGACGCCGAAAACAAAAAGATGTTTGCAACATGGCTCCAGCTGAAAGGGGATTCGATATCATTGAGCGAAGAATTTCATGGAAACATCATCCTGATGGGTAAATAAATATACAAATTGCACTCTATTATAATAAGAGGCCACATCTGTAAAATTACTACTTTTCAGGAGGGAGACTTAAAGATTTTAAAGATTCTACGCAAGAAATTAATCGATAACTTTATTAAATGAACGTAGGACAACAAAAAGGATCCAATGCACATTGACTGGATATATTTCGAGATATGGTAGTTTGAAGTTTAAAAATGTTTCTCACTCTTGTTTTATTTTGAAAACTTATAATGTCATGTAACTCCAGACATATTTATTTATATTTATACGTCGAATTTTTTTTTGCTGATCTGAGATTAGACTTTAGGAACCGTTGGTACATATAACTAATTTTTTGATAATTTTGTGGATTGAATCCTTTTTGCTTAACTCAACGTCCAAATTATCCGGGTCGAAGTAATTTTTTCTAAGTAATTTTACAAAAAAATAATTGAATATCAATTCAATAAAAAAAATTATTAGAGTTAATAGCGACATCTCTAGCCAGGGCTGATAGCTGTAAAGCTATCTAACTGGGTGACGAAATATTTTCATAGATTTCTCATAGATGGCGCAAATGCAAAAAGATTTAAAAAATAAAAACCTTCAACAAGCATGTAAAAAAATTCGTAAGGTCCGCTACATAGAGCATATAGGACTGGAGGCGTCATCGATAGGCAATCCCCTCTGTCCAGGTACAAGCACAAAACAACTATCGCACATTATTGTGCGAGTGTTTATACACTACTTTCAAATCGATTTTTTTTTTCATTTCCATTATCGAATTCACCGCTTCAAGTACTCCACCAAACATGTCGTCTTGCGCTGTACAAACTTGCAAAAAATCTCTGCTGCATCCAGTCTAGCCAAGGGTGGAATTACATTCCATTCACAAGCCTATTTTTTACATTAATTGCTAATTTTCTATTTTATGACATTTTTTCACAATGATCACATTGATTCAATTTATTAATTACATAAAAAATACTTGAAAATAATCGAACATTTGACTTAAACATGTTTATGAAGTTCCCTATTTACTAACAGGCAACTATAGACAAAAAAATGCAGTACTTCATAGACGCTGTTTTTTCATTATAGAGAAGCGACGCGCTCTTTTAGCTCCTATTTTTATCGACAGATTATATAAAGAAGTTTATTCAAATTGATTTCTCCATCGTATTGTATATTAAATAATAATGTAATAAATTATAATAAAAATAAATTGTAATTGTTTAATATAAAACATCATAAATCATGCCGTACTGTCAGAAAAAAATAAAAATAAAAAGTACATATACGAGTACATATATATAATACACATAAATTACAAAAGCAATAAAAATAATCAAATAACTAACTGTCCTTATCCTACATAAGACATGCGCAAAAGACAAAAAGAGACCCGTTACGTCAATTTCAATTTTCGAACCACAAGCGATTGAAATATTTAGATTTAGAACAAAGAAACTATAGAGTTGATTTATTGTGAATCTTATTTTTAAAATGACTTTTTATTAAATGTTAGTAATAAATTAGTAACAAAATATTGTTGTATTCGTTTTACTATTTGAAGTTATCAATCAGAAGTCCGAAAATACATTTGCCCGAAGTAATAATGTTTGCTCGAATTTTTGTAATCCCAAATGTACTTTTTTAGGTTATTTTAGGAATATTACAAAACAAACAAACTTAACCTTTTCTTTGTGATAAGCAACCAAAATCCCCTGAAAGCAAAGCGGTTTTGTTATAAATCGGTTTTCGAGATTATGAAACTTTGAGTTTACTTCTAGTTGGAATCTAGAAATTCGAATCATCGATACATTTCTTACAGCACGTCATAACTACTAACATAGTGACACAGCTATTTTCACATTTAAAATATTTGTATGTACCTATATATCTGCACAACTCTTATTGCTTGAAGTGAATTCGTATAAAATTCAACATAATACTATAAAATTAATTAATATTGATATTAAGACTACTCTATAACTCTTGTGTTCAAGTAGTTTTGACTATAAGCTAAATATGGTGCATTTTATTATTTCCAGTAGAAGCTGAACATGGATAATTTTTGGGCCTTTAAATTGTGGCAAACAAAATTAAGCAATACTGCAATGATTTTACAGTTTAAATTAATGTTGTAGTTTTTTTAATATTTCCATACATGTCACTACGTTTGTAGAGGTTAACTCCGGCCACGCTTGTCATTGGCTCCAACGCTGACCGCGAAAAGCTATAAAATGAAAAAAAAAAGTACGGAAATTTTTTCGCGGTTTTTGGATTAGACTCTGGATTATATTTATTATCATCTATTTCTTGGTAAGTCAATGGGCAATCTCCACTGGCAAATACAAGTAAAGCAATACCACTGTTACACTACACACAAAATTGGAAAAAGAAATTCACTACATCCAATCAAGCCAAGGGTGGAATTACGTTTTTCATATACATGATTAACCAGTACGTAATACATATCGACACCGTCACGTCGATAACTTTCCGCCTCTAGTATATTCATGAGAATCGATTTATTTTTATAGGCCTGTTCTGTGTACGGACATGACATGAATGTGTGTTTTAGCTGTGTATTTGTAAAAATATGCTAGTGTTGTAGACTTTTGTTTGTGTGAGACCATAGGGACACAATTCAATTATGCATTTGAGTGCACCTGTTTGCTTGTAGTACTAGCCCTCCGCCCCTCAAAAAGCGGCAGAAAGTTTTGTTCGTGAAATAACGCTAATAGAGCCTCCCGTCCTATATGCTGTAAGGTCCGCTAGTTCGTACCGTGGCTTTGTTGACAAAGCGTCTGGCACGGATTGCTGAAAGACGCTGGTTTGAATCCTGCCAGGTCAAAGGATTTTTTTCTAAGTGTTTTCTTGGTATTAATCATTGTAAAAAACTAGTGGAGTAATTTCAGAAAATAATTGAATATCATAGTGGTCAAACTTCGTGACATTCAATAACTTAAAAATTACGTATTTTATATCGAAATAGTTATTTGAAATATTACATAGGCGTATGAATACATATATATACAATAAAATTTGGTATTTGGTAAAATTGAACAAGACAGCTTTCCATTGTCTAAATAATCACGTGACTACCTTGGACGGCATTTATGATACGGTTTTGAGCGCCAGGTGAACGAATTTTTTTTAAGCCATCTTAATTAGGTGTTTTTGTGGTAGGCCACTATTCTAGAAAACTATGAAAGTTTTTGAATAGGATTGTAGTTATGTATTAGGATTATAGACTAGACATTTTATCATCAACATTTGGGCAAATATGCAAAAATGTAAATTGAACTACAACCCTTTTTTAAAATGTTTACTGTTTTTTGGACACACTAAAATTTGTAGATATAACATAAAGGAGAAAATAACACTACATTATTTTTGTACTTTCCAGACCCGCCGAGAATGAACTGAAAGAAGAAATCTTTGAACGGCCACAAATACCATTACATAACTTGTATAACCGTTTTTAGTCAACGACTAGTCAAAGTGATAATGGTAGTAATAGTGTTCAAAGAGCAGGAAAAACCGGGGCATCGGTGAAATAAAAACCGTGACGTCACTAATAGTATCAGATTTGATTATGTAATATAAGGTGCGCGACAGCACTCTTTTACTTTTGTCTATAGTTTCTTCTTTTATATTTTGTTATCTTTTAAAATATTTACATCAAGTATTTTATACAACCGATTTTCATAAAAATATAAGTTACACTCTTTTGTAGGACCATTTGTGGTCCTTTTCAACTGTTTTGTTAAACCAATGAAGTATTAAAATGCAGGTTTCTATATATGTTATTTTTAATAATGCTTGTAACCCACAGTTAATTGCGACCGGTTGCCAAGTGGGCTTTTCAGGTAATTAATCTATAAGCTATGTTGATGGGGCTTCCTAGAGATGGCCAAGTAGGCCTGCAGAAACAACTGAGCTATCGATGTAAGCATAGCACCTGCGGACACTCGCATACGTGTTACGCATGTATACGCATACTGAGCACGATTGCATCGCGCATAATCCACTCTACAGCGATGGTTACTACAAAGAATCTCGCAACTGAAGCACAATGCACCAGTCAACTCGTACGATTAAAGCTATATCTGGCTTTGAAGCAGCTGGTGCTTGAGCGGAGCACAGCCGAGATTGAATTACAAGACGAGCTAGCTAGGAAGCTTGGCATCTTTTCCAAGGTGAGGCGTTACTTCACACCGGAACAGTTGCTTCAGCTGTACCAAGCACAAGTCCGGTCGTGTATGAGTACTACTACCACTTATGGGAAGGCTTGGCCAAATACCAACTGGCCACCTTGGATTCAATAGACAAGCGTGCTAAGAGGCTTGTAGGTGAGTTGGAATTAGTAGAGGCGAAGCTGCAGAGCATTAAACACCGCTGTAGAGTTGCCAGCTTATCGGTATTCTACAGGATATGTCATAGAGAGTGTGCGATGGAGGTGGAATTGCATAAATTTTTCTTCCATCATCGGGGGACTAGACGTGGGCTGAGGTTCCACCCGTATGTTGTGGATATTCCGCGGAATCGCACGAAGCGTTTCGCTTCCACGTTTGTATGGCCAGCGGCTAGGGAGTGGAATTTCCTGCCTGCAGACTTGTTCCCCGAAAACTATAATTTGGACCTTTTCAATGGGAGAGTGAATAGGCATTATTTGGATGTGCATGCTACACCACATCACGTACATCCTCGATCTCATCGTTCTCTTCCATCAGGTGAGATGGAGGTCAAATGCGCACTTATTTTTTATAAAAACAAAAAAACAAGAAACTTGGACAGGCGTTTTGAATAGCCGGAGCACGGACGTGGCAATTCGCGCCCTGCCTAAAGTCAAATGCGACAACAGAGACTTCTCCATTTGCGTCACACGTGTGTAACTAATCGTGTGTTGAAGTAATCAAACCATTAAATAAAACTTATTATTTACATTCGCCGGATTATTTGGAACACTAATTACCAAGCTTCACCCATTGTTACGTAGTCGATGGCTTAATATTGCAGAGGCATGCTGTTGCAATCTAACAATTTAGCACGTCTATAGTCAAATTATTGTTAGTTTTATCGCGAGAAGTAGACCTGTAGATAAAGTACAACACGTCTATAGAAATGTTGTAGGTGCCGCGGGAGTGCATCCATGCTGTATCAGATTTGTGCTCGTCCCCAAACATGACATTAAATGTGGTAGCAAAGATAAAATATAATTTCTAGGCCAGGTTGAAGTGTGGACACGTCAACATGCATAGGGTCATGAGAGACAAAATCATGGAGATTGAGTAGATTGCGTGCTCTGCTTGTAATTCAAACAGCCGTACCATTCATTGATTTTAAAATAAACACTTCTCAATCATACCCAGTACAGAGAGCTCGCTTTTTAAAAACCTACGGTAAAGTGCAATCAATCAGTCAGTTCTCATGATTTAAACCAATACCCATACCCAGCAGATTTGTCCCTGAGTTGTACTGTAATGATGCTCCTCCTACGCTTGTCATAGGGATTGACAATTGGCATTTATCTATTGCGAAAGCCATCAATAAAGGTACGAATTCGCAACCGGTAGCAATTTAAACGGCATTGGGTTGGATTATACTTGGGTTTACCAATAGTTAACATAACGCAGATACAGTGCATCGAATCTTTGTGTCATGCACTACCCACTGAAATTTTGAGCTCTAGGTCCAAGCTCGAAGAGCTTATAAAACGTAATATAAGGTAGATACCATTTGGTAGTAACAAACAAAAATCTAACGAAACTTGAGGTCGAACTGCTCGCCAACTTCGACCTCGCTTTGAAGTTGACTTGTGCTGGAATGAATGAAGTCTTTGCAGCTCTCTTGGCCGATGGCGTAGAGCCGTGAGATTAGAATAGGATAGAAATCATTTATTCCTTAAATAATCAACATAGTACACATGCATTTTATAATAATAATACTGATATTCATAGTAATAATAACATAAGGATTCGAAGCTAAATACATATAATATATAGAGTACAAAGCGTGTGTATAGTGCTGCCAAGAAAACTGTGACCCTTTCAGTTTGTTGTCGTCTCACCTTCAAGTGCTATGACGCTGATTTTCTGTGGATCAGCACACAATTGACACGGAACATAGTAGCAGACACTAAAGGCATTGAATGACACTAGTACATAATTATATTAATTTAAACACAAAACATGAACAGTAAATTCCATTAAGACACAATTAATGTAGTTACCATTTAATAGGTACCTTGTTATGTGCAACAAATTACAATACGATTGTATTGAAATTAATATGATAAAATAGGATCGTGTGTGTATTTGTTTTATAAAATTGTAAAATAAGGTTTAATTAATTGAGAAGTTTCATTACAATTGGACAAACTAACAATATTAAAGTAAAACGCATATGTCCTCGGCACATCAACAACTACGATAGATATTTTTGAAGATTTAGCAGATACTCTTTGAGCAATTTTTTGAATACAAATAATGATTGGCGGAAGTATTATTAGCGGACCATTTCAGGCGACGCTGTGTCGTGGAATGCTTGCCGACTCTAGCTCCACGACGTGTGTGTTGTTCATTGGGGACCCCATTCTCGTCGCTGATGTAAACTCCTCGAGAGGAACCTGGCACCAGGTTGTCATAACCGGTTTGTTAGTTGGCCGTGATGGAGCCTTATCTACGTGTGGTGGACGTACGGACCGCTGAAGAGATGAGTCGCTCCTACGTCGACCCCATACATTTTTTTAATTTTATATAAACAAAAGGAGAAGTACACGACAGCACCATCCTTTTTATATTCAAACTGCTTTTGGTGATGAAGCACCATGCAAGACGACTATTTATAGCTGGTTTGTAGAATTGAAACGCGGTCGTGTGAATCTCAGTGACGAATTTCGTAATGGTCGTCCGTCCATCTGCTGTGAACAACAAAAACATCGATGCTGTGCGCCGTACGGTCAAAACAGACAGGCAAGTGACGTACCATGAGATTCGGGCATCTCTCGGCATAGGCATGAGTCAAATACAATCAATACTATACAAAGATTTGGGTGTTAAAAAGCTGTGCTCTCGGTCCCACATAATTTGACTGAGGCTCAAAAAAACGGATCGCGTCACTTGGTGCAATGCCACGCCTACCAGATTCAACGAAGGGGCGTCCAATTTAGTGTGGGACATAGTAACAGGTATAGTTACCTGTTACTATGTCCACACTAAATTTTGCATGGATTTATAGTTTCGATCCCAAAACAAAGCAGCAATCGAGCGCATGGGTCTTTCGAGATGAGCCGAAACCAACCAAAGTGGCGCGTGTGCAAAGTGCCTCTAAGCGGATGATCGCTTCTTTTTTTAATAAAACTGGACACGTGGCTACTGTTGCTTTGGAGAATCGCTGTGCCGTGAATAGTGATTGGTACACGACCATTTCTTTGACGGAAGTTATTGACTCCGTAAAAATAACTGTAAACGCCGTATCATTTGCACCACGGTAATGCCAGTTCTCACACGGCCAGACAGACAAATGAATTTTTGAAGGTGAACAACGTTGACCATATGAGCCATCCCGCGTACAGTCCCGACCTGGCACCTTGTGACTTTTATTCATTTCCAAAAATTAAGAACCAGTTACACGGTCAACGATTTTCATCACCTGAAGAGGCTGTCGAAGAGTATGAAAAATATGTTTCAGAGATTATCACGGAGGAGTGGCATAAATGTTTTCCGAATTGGTACATTCGTATGAGAAAGTGCATTAACGCTAACGGAAAATATTTTGAGAAACAATAAATTAATTTCTGACCATTTATAGTATTTTTTCTTATTCATTCCGGAAACTTACAGTGCGTCTTACGTGTACGGTGTTAGATAGAAGTAGATAGAGATATATTTATTTGTAAGCATACACGGTAAATACAGTTTACATATTTAAGATTAGACTTATGATTCTGCGTGTTGCGCCAGTAACTGGCATACAAATATTAATAGCAAATATTATACATTGTTCACAAGTATTACATATAGTCTTATTACATAAATAATTAAACCATATCCTATTACATTATAAAATTAAATTTTGTTCATTAAATAATATAATTAAAGAAAAATCATGATTTAATAAAAAAAAGGAACGCATGTCAAAGCAATAAACATGCAAACGGTCACAGGCTTCAAAATTTAAATAATAATAATAATAAATAACGCACACACTCAACATAGCCCCGCACTAGGGAAACCCTGTGTCGCGGATGCCATGGACACACACATAGACAACCACAAATTACACCCAAACTCACGAGAGAAATAAATGTACGCCATACAAACATTCTCCCGGCCCGAGAATCGAACCTGAGACCTCTGCGTGGCAGTACGGCATGGTAACCGTTCGGCCACAGAGGCAGTCAAAAACTCATTTACATTATAAAAACAATTTGTCACACGCAATGCAAATAGTAGTTTCTTAAATCTATACATAGATAAAAATTTTATATCGTCAGGTAATTCGTCAGGTAAAATTATATAATTTTACATGTATAACATGTGTTATAGCAATTCCTTTGAAAACATCTAGTAGTGTGTACCTATATGTCGGGCCAAACGATAGGGATATCGGGTTAAAAAAGGAACATTTTTTGAAGTAAATAAATAAGTATGTGTTTTGACAAAAATACATATCTCGAATATATATAAGGAAGGAATGGACAATATTCTTAATACATTTTGCACCAAAAATTCATATTTATCACTTAATCCTTCACCTCGAAGGATTTTTTTATCATAACCAGACAAAAATCGTGCTTGTTCCATCGGTCACAGCCAGTTGAAAAAGATATATATGTATATTATTATTATATAGTCTTTCCCACTTAGAACTTAGAAAACGGACTTGATATTGTACATGTTTTGCTTTAACACATAATTGTTGCCAGTTGTGACTATTAGACGGCCCCGTTGATTAGTGTAAATCTTTGAATAAGAATAGTACTCAAGGGGTAGCGCTATTTTGTTGTTACTGAAAAGTAACGACTAAAAAAGAATTTCAATTAATTCGAAAACTAGGATATTTAAATCATATGAATAAAAGGTGCTCAAGATTCATAAAGCCTTTTCCTAAAATCATAATAACGTTAAAATACAAAAAAAAACAGTTTGTTGCTTTTAAAATCACAACGCTTCGTGTAAATGGAAATCTTAATTAATTGCAAACGGAGATTGATTTTTGAACGAGTGTTTTAGATAATTATTTTTTCATTCGAGCATGCAATCTGAAAAAATATTCAGTCAAATAATACATTTGAATATTTGTCGTATTCAATGAAGTGAACGATATGAATTCAAGTTATGTACTTATTTAAGCTATGCACAGTGGGTTTTTTATTATTAACTAATTGTCACAGTAAGTAAATTACATACACACACAAAAACACAACCACATAAGTAAAGTTTCATCGCACACCGCTTACTTACTTAAGTACATCGGTGGCGTCATTACGCCAGAGTAAGTAAGAACCCACTTTGGGTCATTACCTAAAGTGGGTTCTGAGCCTGCTCCTTACAGCCACTAGCACCGATATCCTTTTGGTCTTTCTGGACTTCATCGCTCCAGCGGCACCTAGGACGCCCAACCGGGCTGTGTCCGTTCGGTCATCCCAAATCACCGCGACAGGATCCTAGCCCATTCTCTCCACATCGCTAGATGACATTAAACCGTTTTTGTGTTTACCCTAGAGGAGTAACTACGATACCGCACCACAACCACATACGTTTCTCAACATCATTGACAACCCCATCAAAGTCTTTACGATACAGGTCAACCAGACGCAACACACTCCACGTGAGATTATCGTTCTTGCGCAGTTTCTCACCTTGCCTTTCTGGCGCAAGCGTCCGGTAGCGTCTTGAGCGGAGGTTGCCGCCAAACTCAGTGTCCGCCTGGCCCACTACTTAAATTTTTATAAGGGTAGCCTTCAGCTCGCCTGCTATCTGGTGGCGCCATCAGTCATGATCATCAAAGGCCAACTGCAAAATGAATAATCATTAAAGAATAAATTGGTCAGAAGTTGAATAATATTTCTCATGGAACTCCCGTGTTCTATTTTCGGTTTAATTAATTTAGGTCATAAAGTTTTGTTCTGTTCTCTTAATCTAAAATGAAGAATCAGATTCTTGGAGACCAGGTAATTGGTGTTTCTACTGTTTCTTGGTAAGAAAAACTAAAACAACAAAAACGCTTCAGAAAAAGAGCTTTTTTTTGTTGTTAATTAAGTTGGTTATATTTATTCTCTGCATATATATATAATTTAGTTTAGACAGCTGCAGATATATATATATATATATATATATATCTGCAGCTGTCTAAACTCTTCTAATAACTTTTGTCTTGTTTGTTTTTGCATTGTACTATTTGGATTAAACATTAGATTGTTTCAGTAAGTCACAATGTTCAATATGGTACCCCAATAACAATAGAAAAAAGATATATGGTGAGTTTCTTTTAGCATTAATTTGCCTACTTTACTATGTTGGCCTGAAGAGAGTTGAAAACGGATTCTACGACATAATTGCGAATAATGAAGAATTCTACATTTTGTTTGGCTTTTGTTGTAAATTAATATGGTGTTTTGTCCGTCCTCGAATGACTTTTCTGGCAGTCAAACCAGAACATGTGTAATCATAAACCAAACGTTCTCTGAACTGCCTCTGTGGCCGAACGGTTACCATACTGGACTGCCGCGCAGAGGTTCCGGGTTCGTTTCCCGGGCCGGGAGAAATATTTATATGGCCTACATTTATTTTTCTTCTCTCGTTGTCTTAGTGTGTCTGTGGCACCTGCGATACAAGGATTTTTTTATAATATCAAGTGATGGGACTAGCAAGTCGTTACCCTAGTGCGGGGCTATGAATGTGTGCGAGTTATTTTTTTATTAATTTTTTACACCTCAATGTTATCTTGCTGATACTACCGAAAAGCACTTCGAAAATTTTATAATTTTTCAACCGATTCTTTAACAATGAGCAATAAACACAGGAGACGTACGACTTGAAAAAAAACATTATAATCTTCGTTATATGTCATCCCTTCATTTATTTTGTTACAAATACCGCACAGCAATACAAGTCAGCAAATTACAATTGGGTACGGCTTCGGAATATGCTTCGGAATTCTTTACTTAAGTTTACTTTATTATATATTTGATATATCAGAACAGAACAGTGCAGAGCTCAGTAGTGGATTCCCAAGTACTATAGCCAGGATTTTTTAAGGCGAGAGTGATCAGGCATTAGTGAACAAAATATAAAGTCGCCTAAAAGAAAGATTGAACTTTCCTCGTCCTTTCACATCTTCACTTACCTAAAGCTTAGTGCAGATTATTTGCAACGTAATATGCAATGCAACGCGGACATCTACGTACTCAAAGTGTTTGTCGAAAGGCCTACAATCGACAGACGACGAACCAATCGACGAACACATTAAAATATGAAATGGCATACCCCATAAATGTTGCAACGCATGTTACATTGCCTGTAGTGTTGCAAATAATTTATACCCGGCTATCGCAAAGATCTGAGGGGCACTGCCACTGCGCCTGTCACCCTGAGATATAAGTTGACAACTCCCATGTGCCTGTTATTTCACCAAAACTATAAACAAACGTACGAGCATATACAGTTTTTTTTTTTTATTTAGTAACAATTAAGGTGGTTATCTACCGACGAAGAGAAACGAGAATTTAAAAAAAAATTGAAATCTCGCCAGCCTTTTTCCACCAAAAATGCGAGCCATCGCGACCTCGCGCAAGTTCTCGCTGTGGTTGTAGAGAGTGAAAATTCATTGCTGTTCGTCTAGCAATAAACACACGACAAAAGTAACATGTTCCGTAAATTATTGTTATAAAAATATATTAACGGGAAAAGAATCAGATGAAGCAATTTTTTCTTAATCTCAAATCGTACGTACACCACAATCTCGCTATTGCTATTATTAGCTACCGATCGCTCGAAAATCGAGTTTACTTTGCAGAGTATAATACTCCATGTAGGCAGCACTACAGTACTATTTTACATCAATAAATATTTCAATTCCATACAAAGCCTATCTCCGTCAATCCAGACCATTCTCAAGATGTGCTAGGAGAGAATAGAAATTTTGCCACACAAATTTGAATCCTAGTCTCGTCACGTCTCGCCAGTGGTGGAAAAGCACCTTTAGACTCTAATAAGGCTCAATTAATATAGCCACGGTACGGAATAGAAGTGAATTTTTATACTAAAATTATACATAGCATTATGAACTATATGTTAATTGTATAACGTACATATACTAGATACGGTAGCTTTAGCTTATTAGGTGACATGTACCACACGCAAAATAGGCGCCTTGACGTCGAGTTGCGGACACCAGCCCGTTACACCAAGTAGGTGACATGTGGTATTGCTTAACATGCACAACTTTTACGTTTCGTCATTTGATATAAAAAAAAGAATCTAAGGCCACATTCTAGACCACTTTTTTATTATTATTTTACAGACGTAAGTAATAACTGAACTAACCACTTGTGTATAGGTGTATCTGACAAGAGCTGAGCTGTCTCCGGTTCAATATGACAATTGGATTTGCGGTGGAGCAATAGTGTCAGAATGGCTAATCGTAACTTCGGCTGCATGCGTTGAAGACGTCCAATTCTTGTACGCAATTGCTGGGTACAAGAAATATATACAACCAGGATCAAACGTCTTTAAAGCAGATGAATGTATAGAGCATTCAAAGAAAAAAATTGTTAATATTTGTGTACCATCAAGTAAGTGCTGGCAGAAGTACATTTTTTACATTATTAAGCTAATAGGTGATAATAAATAATAACATTCACAGAACAATAAATACAGTAGAAGCGTTTAGTGAGCGTGACACATGCGCCAACAGTACACGGAGTTCGACATACTTGAGCTCAGTCCACTATATTCGCTTTGTATGTCATGGTCGTATCAATTATCTCACGCAAAACCTAGAAAATTGGGGAAAAACGCCTTATTTGGCTACTTTGGAATGCAAAAAATATAGACGCACCTGTAATATTATCCGTGGTAGTGTTTCGTATTATCGTTAAGTCTTATTTTGTTTAATTTTAATAAATTTTCCATTTTCTGTTTATCGTAACAGATTTTTGGTTATTTAATTGGGTAAAGTTTAATTTGTTATTTCTTTTTAAATTAAAAACTATTACTAATCATTATCAAGATTTCATAGTGTTTAATATATGATACTGAGTTTTAGCGACAGCAGTTCTGATAGTTCTTTCGTTGTTTTTTTTTTCGTGATTAAATCATTTATTTATCTCTACACTTTACTTATATTACACGTAGAGTTAAATATCGTACTGTAGCAAAATGGTGGACACGAATAAGTACGGGGTCAAGAGCACGTCATACTTGACATTTAACATTTAAATCCAACTCTATACCGCTTTCGATAAAGTGTGAAGCTTGCCGTGCTTTTGACTGTACATCGCTGTAGTGTTAATTCTGCAAAAACAATTTATTAATTTATTATTTTATTATTTTAATTTATTATTAATGTATTAGCGTTATAATAAAAACGCATAACAATCTGTAAGCGTCATTCCTTGAATTGTACTCTGTTTTAGGATACAAGTTTGACTATGGAATTACGGAACACTGGGCTGACATAGATATAGCTGTAGTTGAAGTAGAGTCAGCATACGATTTCAAAAACCCTATACATGGCAGATGTTCATGGATTCCTAATGCTATTAACATAAGCTATGATCCACGTCATAGTCAACCAGACACGGATGCAATGGTGTTAGGATGGGGATCTACACGTGTTTGGCGAAAAGTATGGCTGTTAAAATATTATTTAACTATTTTATCATAAGCATAAGTTACTTATATGTGCAAAACACAGGTTCTATATAAGTCGCCATGTACCTATAAAATAAATATATTTATGTCCGGTCAGGGGTTTGGCATACAAACATATTGAAGGTATATTATTTTAATAGCACTAGAGCTCCTTGTGTAACTGCCACCTTACCTATTTGTGCCACCAAGCGGTGTGAGCATTACTGCGTTCCGGCTTGGAAGGGTATGAGTGCTGATGAAATTACAGGCACATGGGAATAGTGATGCTCAAAGTGGCACTGCAAATGTTATGGATAGGCATGTCGCTTACCACCAGGTGCACGACTTGTTCGTCCCGTCACCTGGCATTATAAAAAAAATATTTATATACATTTACTCATATGCACTTCAATAGACTAAACCAGATGTACCATGTTTTTTTTATAGTACCATAATTATGGGCGCGCACATTATGGATTTAATAAGTCCAACCCGCTCGGGTTTTAACCAGGTTTTTACCCAAAGCGCAGGTTTTAACATATTTCAGCCCAAAATTGCGGATAGAAACGGCGAATACGGAATTTGGTATAATTTCATACTTGGACGTAGTGGGACGGTCTCTTACTAGATGGACAGGTGACCTACGTCCTGATTTTGATTCAAATAGGAATCGATCCGATCGGGCAGTCTCGAAATCAGATGGATTTCAGAGCGAGAAGATGAACCTGATTCCTACTATATCTTTCTAATTTGTGAGCTGAATCAACTATTAGAACTGTCAAAAGTTTCCGATCGGCCAGTTGTGAATTGCAATCGTGCGCCTCGACTCGAAAAAGATGCAGTTTCCGATCGGGAGAGGCATTCCAAATCAAGCTGCTGGTAGTCGGCGTGTAACCGATGGATGCACGTCGCGTCCGACCGACTAGTCTGGCATCTTTGGGGAAGGCCTATGTTCAGCAGTAGACGTCTTCCGGATAATATGATGATAATGATAATTAGTGTTTATTGGCAGAAATAGGTATGGTGGCAATATTTCTCTTAGGGAATTCCTTCAAAATAATAAATATAATAAACTGCTAAATATGTCTCCAAATGGTGTTTATGAGTGTTAAAAAATTGTTACACGTCCTTCTAGTACGGGACCGCCTCACTGAACTCCTTCCAGGCGCACGTCAGCTATCACTCGATTGATCAACTTTAGTTATTAATTTCTATATTTATGTCTGTTGAAACATACCAAGTACAGTGCCTTGGAACCGATGTACGATTTTGTGCCAATTGTAGTCGAGACTGCGGGGACTTGAGGTGCGGAGGCCAAAGAGCTCATCGGGGAGTTGGGTCGTCGGCTTAGAGATAGAGGTTGTGATCCACGCTCTGGATCTTACTTGGTGCAATAAATTGCATTGGACATTCAGCGCGGTAATGCTGCAAGTGTTATGAGGACGTTTGAACCAACTAAGATCCTCCTCCTGAGACTTAGCAAACTGTAATAGGAAAAGCGCTAAACGCCCAGTGCACTTTAAAATGTGCTTATACTAAATACAACAACCACATGTTTCAGACCCAAGCAGGCATGCTCTCAGTTTTGTACGAAAAACGTATTTTTATAGATACGCCATTGACATATAAAATGTATAGCCTTATCATGCTGGGCCGTGGTCCTTAGGCCACTCAGAGGTCTTGAGTTTGATTCCGTGGTCGGGAGAAATATTTGTATGGCCTGCATTTATTTCTCTCGTGAGTGTGGGTGTAATTTGTGGTTGTCTATGTGTGTATACATAGCACCCTCGATTCAGGGTTTTCCAAGTGCGGGGCTATGTTGAGTGAGTGCGTTATTATTATTGCATAATTACCGTTTGACAGCAGAAATAGGTAAGGTGGCAGTACTTCCCTGGGCGAACTAGTATTGTGGTAGGCTCTGTGCCGACTGGATAGCGACCACAGTACACACGGCGGAAAACCCTCCACAGTGAAACGCTTTTGCGAATCGCGTTCAGGGATCAGTTGGTGTACATCCAGTGCATTTGGCCAGACCGGCAAAATGATAGTGACGGAGTGAAGATATTTGTGTTTTCCATCCGTTACTCTCATCTCTGGACTGTATTCGCACTTTCCATCAGGCGCGGTGCAGTCATTTTGTCGAGTCGCAATAAAAAAAAAAAAAAAAAAAAAAAAAAAAAACTGTTTTTTTTATAATATCAAGTGACGAGGCAAACAAGATCATGCGCCTGATGGTAAGCTACATGCCTGTCCATAATAGTTGCAGTGCCACTCAGAGCTTTAAATCGCAAAGATATGAGGGGCACCTCCACTGCGCCTGTCACCCAGAAACATAAGTTGACAAGTCCCATGTACGTGTAATTTCACCACTCTTTCATAAGAAGCTCTACTGCCACTGAATAATAATATACAATATCAGAGTAAACTTCGGTTGTGTTGAACCGTTCCCTTTATTTTTAATTTTCAGCCCAATGATACAAAAGACTACAACACAGAAACCTTGAAATATGCTCCAGTACGCATTGCAAAAAAGACTAAGTGCATGGAAGCTTACGAAGACATACCTAAACTATTACATACAATTGAGAAATATATGATTTGTACCATCAACCCTGGCAACATAGATGATAAAGGAAACATAATCGTTCCACCCATTCCAATAGTTGATACGCGTGCAACTGAGGACGCCACATTGCGATCTGTAGACGTATGTAAATAATCCACTAATATCCATACTATCTATTACAAATACACGAAAAAGTTTGGATACTTTTTAATCAAATTTGTATTGAATTGATATTCAATTATTTTTTTGTGAAATTACTCCACTAGTTTGTTATAATTATTAATACGAAGCTCGAACACTTAGAAAACATTCCGTCGATCCGGCCGGATTCGTAGCGACGTTTTCTAGCAAACCCTGTCAGACGCTATGCCAACTAAGCCACGGAATGAACCAGCGGACCTCACGAATTTTTCCATGTGCTTGTTTGTCGGATCTTTGTATTTGGTTTTCAATGACTTTTTAGCCGTAGCGCCATCTATGAGAAATCTATGAAAGTATTTCATCACCCAGTTAGGTAACTTAAATCAATAACACCGAAACTGCGATGAAATTTGACACAAAATTTTTAACTGCCTCTGTGGCCAAACGGTTGCCATGCTGGGCTGCCTCGCAGAAGTCCTGGGTTCGATTCCCGGGCCGGGAGAAATATTTGTAAGGCCTACATTTATTTATCTCGTGTGTTTGGATGTAACTTGGGGTTGTTTATATATGTTAGTCCATGGCACCCGCGGTACAGGATCTACCTAGGCGGGACTATGAGTATGTGCATTATTTATTCATACTCAAATATATTTTATTTATTTATTTTAGAGGACTAACATACATGCAATATAATAAAACACTATTTCTAACTAATCTACACGAATTGCGCTTGTCGGCGACGTGTTGCGCAATCTGGTGTCAGGTAACCGGCCGCGGAATCGCCGACACATGACACCCTTCGGCCAAAATTCTTCTTTCATGAAGGTCGACAGATGTTCAGTCGATACTATCACCACAAACGATTTGAAATTCACGTTGTGGCGGGAGTCCAACCGCTTGACCCTCAGGGTGTATTTGGCTTTTCTGATGTACTCCACTATCTCCTCAGACTTCATGAAGTAATGCAGCCGCGAAATATAATGATCTGGACCCCAATTCTGCTAACTTTTGAAACCACCAGTCATTGCAATTTCATTAGACTCGCACTGAGATTTTTTACATTTAGGATAATATTTGTTATTCTACTAAAATCCAGTTTCATTTGGCAGATGAGTCTCGACATAGCATCAGTAGAATGGCAGTGACATTATTTACTCATTCAACCACTATATTCCGTCCAACCATTTATTTAACTTTTAACAGCTCGAATTCTAATCAATTAGTGGTGTCCTATTGCATTTCCGATTCCATTTTTTTATAACAATCGATTTTATATATGAAAAGGTTTAAATCGTGAATTTGGGCCGGGTCAAAAAAGAAGATATTATCTGATTGGGATCGTAGTGTTGCGTTTGACAATTTGTGTACTCAAGAATTAATAATTTTAATATTAATGAGGATTCACGTGATGATTCCCGTTCATACAGAGAAGAATCCGACGATTCATTATAACAATAAAAATTTACTATAATTATTTATAATTTATTTCATTTAATTATAATTTATTAAATAGGTATCAAAATTTGTCAACTTGAATAATCTTCGTTACATAATCTGTTGACTCTGTATACATTGGAGCTAAAGGGCACGTCGTTTCACTAAAAATAATATAGTCCAGGAATTATTGCAATTTTTGTCCATAGATGTCTTAGAGGATGGAAAAAATCTACCTTATCTACAGAATAAACGTCCCCACCTAAACCAAAAATGTCCACCACAAATGGTGGATTTAGTGTTGTACCATAATCATAGATATAGCAATATCGACATGCAAGTGAATGCCTTGAATGTTGAAACTGTTGTTAGCGTGTTTTATGTTTGCAAATTTTTGTAGTTTACTGTAATTAAAGTGTGATTAATACTAGACAATTATTACTAGGCAAGTAATGAGCCATTTTAATGAAAATTAAATATAAAGTTATTTACCAATAAATGTAACGATGGAATTGCATTTCCATATAATCTAGTTACATTCAAAGTTCTATTTAAATTTGAATGGAGCGAACAAACGAAGATGGTATTGGATCCGATGTTTATGTTCGGCAGTCCTATAATTTCTAACCGTTCTTTCTTTCTTTTTTCATTTGTAGGTAAACTTTAAAAATAATAAAAATCAAATAATAAAAACCTCGTAGTGAATTGTTTCAATAACACAATATCGATAATATATTATATGCTTACAAGAACAACACTATCTCAAAATAGTCGTTATCAACCAATCATCAAAATATACTAAACAAACTATACAGGCAATCTAAAGTAACCAAAGCAAAATTCGGCAAGACTTATGAATAAACTATTCAAATGAGTCTAATTACATGAAATATTTCGGCTATTGTATGATTTATAGGCAAAAAAATAACACATTCCGGTGTAATCTAACATTCGGTTGATTTCCGCTTTTTCTACTGCCGCATCTCTTAATGCTATAGTGACGCACTTTTATCAATACTTAATTGTTCTCATTGTCAATATTTTTGTCCATTTCATTACAATTCCTGCGAATAATTTATTAAAACATTTGGCCAAACATTGGTTTTGACATTTGATGTACTTCCCTTTGACAACCGGATACGGATGTCAAATGGTACTCCAATAATGGTAAAATGAGGACAGTTGGCATTTAAGATGACGTTACGTATTTTCGATTCCCGTGTTTGAAATAAATCAATGTGGTGCTATCTCTTCTGGCTTACGACTGCACGCTGTAGTTAAACAAAGACAATAAAATATTTATGTTTTCACCTTCTAAATGCATCATATACATGTAACGTCTGATTTATATATGTCAATGTAACATGTCCTTTAGTTTCCATAGTCTAAGATGGTTGTATGTCATTAATTACGGAACTTCGTAGGCATACATATGTCAAAAGTTTAATAAATGGTTGGACAGAGTATAACGGTCAATATTGTCTTAGTAAAACTACCATAGAAATTACTATACATATCTTAATTTCTATCTCGTTTTAACAGCAATCTTAGATTCTATGTTTCAATGTTTCAATGGTTCTTCAAATTAAATGTTTTTTTATGTCAAATAATTAGTAGACTACATCATCGACGTGCCATTGATCAGCCATTGAAAAGCAGAATATCAAAAAATTGCAAAGGTAGTTGAATATGTAGCTCAAAGTCTACTCTTAACTTTGAGCGAATATCAAACATACAAAATCCTAAAACATTAAAAACATTGTAATGTTCAATAATACTTAGGATTATGTTTCTGTACGTGAGAGGTAAAGAACCTTCAGCGCCTTTGCACACTGCATCCGACTCGTATTCTTTCGGAATCCGAGACTATTCAGATCTAGAAAACCCAGACCCACTTTGAATGTCCCTCGTTTAGAGATAAAATTATCCCTGTGACATTTCGGAATGCAATTTTTCGGATTCGGAAAGGGCCCTGTACTCCTGCCATTAACCTTTTACGATCAAACTAGGCTGTACCAATGTCTTCTTTCGAAATAAAGGGCAACAGTGGACATTCCATTCGGATGATGTTAAGTGGATAGACGTGGTAGCGCTATTTTGCTTGTGGTGTGTACAGGACTTTATTCGTGCTAGCGGTGCACGGATGCACCTACTCAATTTTTGTTTTAGCGCTATGCTTAGATACACAAGCTCCTCCATCAATCTTAGCATCCTCCTGGGTTTGTTAAAGACTTCGGAGAGCGACCTGGTACGTATGATGGATACAGATTATTTTTTTAAGACAACTTAATTGAATGAAATTCGGTGGGAATTAGCGTATAGGCCAGTTGAGAAAGAGGTACTGTGAGCAATTTCTCATCAGATCAATAGAGAATTTAGCAACAAACAAATTATGGAATACTCGTGTACCTTCATCTTAATTGTATTTTGTAATTTTTAGCGTATGTTACGACAGAACCTTCAGGACAATTATTATTACGATGGCTTAAGAAAAAGTAATTTCTATGGGCGCTTCACAATAGACCGGGATAATATTACTGCTCGAAAAACCAATTCAGAATATATTGAAATGAAACAACCCAGAGCGATTCAAATCGATCAAAACATTACCCGTTTTTCTGCGAGAAGAAATGGTATATGTCAGGTAAAGTTTCTTAGAAATAGCATTGAGTTTAGGATTGATATCTTAAGACTTAACATACATACTATTGTAAATATTATTAAATGAAGCCGGTTTGACTTCATGTGTCTCCTGCAGAGGCCGTGTGTCGCATCGGACTCGCACTTTATACGATGAGCTTTTCAGTGAATTAATAACATCTTGACGAAACCGTGTAAAGTCCCCCAACATTGGACCAGTGTGGTGGACTACGTCTTAAACCCTTGCCGAGGAGGAGACCCGTACCCAGTAGCGGGACATATACATGGGTTGATGATGATAATGATGATATTACTTTCATAATAATATCACAGTCTAACTAGTGATAAAATTATATTTATTATTTAACACGCATGCAAAGGGAAAGCAATCACGCATCAATGAAATCTCTGAGTAAAGAACAGCTCATTACCCGATAAACTTAGGCCAAATAAGTGTGAAAATTTATTACTGTCCACTGCTCCAAACTTTTAAACGTAGGTGGATACTAACATTGTATGCTCCAAGCCCAGTTGGGGGGCTCCGATGTAGGCGGCGTTCGTGAGCTCGCATGTAGCTTATGCATCCAATCTCCTGGGCGAAGGTCCAGTGGTAATAAGCTGTGAGCAGACCATTTTCAAAATTATAACTGATTTCCACAGATGGTCGGTTCAAGCGTAACGTACTAACAAAGAGCTGTGTAAATAGACTAAAGAGCATCAGTGCCCGTAAAGTAATGAGATAAAAGTATTTGCTTTCAGAATGATCACGGTGGTCCTCTTGTAACATGGGTTGGGAGTGAGGTACGCCTCATTGGCACAGCGTCAGTTTTTCTAGTGAATTCAAATAACGATTGCGTTGGACCGTTTCTATATACGAGTACTCAATGCAGTGGAGCGTTTCTTGCCTGCGTTTTAGGACCTGAAAAAATTGACCCAGAGTCATCAGAACCACGAAGCCACAAAAAACGCAGGTAATAAATATGTAAAAATGGGCTAGAACCATCATTTTGGAACAGACCGTGAAAATGATGGCACGAAGGTCTAAATGGTTTACACGATAGGTTGCAACACGAATAGTGCTGCAATCAGATTCAAGTTTACGATCTTCTATATAAGCAGCACATGAGTCGAAAAGACTCGGGTGACGCAGGTGAGAATTCAAATCTAGGACCTCCTGTATAGGAGACAAACATGCTTCCAACTGCTTTTTTTGTTGATTTTTAGACAAGGTGAGGGATCTGTATTGGATTGGCATATATTGGATAGTGAATGCAATGAACCACTTGCTAAACTTGGTATACAAATTATAAGAAGAAAAGTATCGTGGATGAACCATCCGGACGGGTAATTATGAATTCGTTACAAAAATATTATTATCGGACGCGTGTACCTTACCATTGGAACCAAACATAAATTTTAACACCTGTACAAACAGGCTGCGCTATTGTTCATTGTTTCAATTCCTTGTACATTTGACTATTAACATTATTTTTTATAATTATTTATTAGTACAAAGATCGAACACAAAGAAAAATTCCTTCGATACGGCTGCGCTCGAACCAGCGACCTCGCCAAACCAGGGCTAACGCTCTCCTATCTGAGCTACGGAACGAACCAGTAAATCTTATGAATTTCTCTAAATGCTTGTTGCAAATCTTGTTTAGGGTTTTTTAGAAGTTAAAGGTTAGTGATATAGCTTTGTATGTTTCCTTTTAAATATCATAGTCTGAAAACAGCAGTTTCCAAATTTCGTAATTTCCAACCAAAAGACCTAACTTTATGCAGTTTTGTTGTTGAAAATCAAATCCAATACAAATTGTATATATATGTGTACCATATTATTTAAATAAACAACAAATTATGAAATAATGAACAAATTCGCGCGAACTGGTTTTTCTTCAATTCCATGACATTGCGGTGATAAAAATGTTTCTCAACACCTTTCACAGTTTGTAAAACATCAATTTTTTTTTAACAGACCAGCGGCAAATGAATTGCCGTTCGATTTATTCGAACGACCACAAGTACCACTCAACAACTTTAATAAGAAAAAACTAAAATAAATTATAAATAACGTAATCTTTTTATACAATTATTATGTGAATAAAAGAAACTAGTATTGATTTCTTTTTGAATTTTTCCTATCCATTTTAAAAATGATTATGTCATTTTTTATCAGTTTTTCTTTCTATTGATTCATCTGAGATGTAAATTGAGACTTTTTTATGATACTAAATAACGGTACGAACGAATCGTGGATAAGCCTGGACAGTTGCAGTGTCACTCGAGAGCTTTAAACCTGAAAGAGCTAAGGAACACTGTCAGTGCACCCGTCACCCTGAGAAATAAAGTTGACAAGTAACGTGTGCCTGTAACTTTACTAGCGAAACACAGTAATGCTCACATTCCTAAATATGGTGGCAGCACTTCCAAACAAACTCTCTCACAAGGAGCTCTAATGCTGCCACAAACTATGGACTATGAAAGCTATGGTCCCTGTACCGAAAAGTGCTATGCTTTATTTGATTTTTAATTCGGGACTTAATCACGTATAAAACATATTTTATTTTATTTAATAATAATAATAATAACGCACACACTCAACATAGCCCCACACTAGGGAAACCCTGAGTCGCGGGTGCCATGGACACACACATAGACAACCACAAATTACACCCAAACTCACGAGAGAAATAAATGTAGGCCATACAAATATTTCTCCCGGTTTGGGAATCGAACCTGGGGCCTCTGCGTGGCAGTCCGGCATGGTAACCGTACGGCCACGGATTTACCTCGACGTTTCGGACATATTGCAACGTCTATGGTCTCGAAGGGACTGAAGAGGCGGGTGTCAGCATCTTCTAGCCGTGCGAGTTTTTCTAACTACCCGCACTTGATCTTGATTATTTATTTGTGCTCTAGGGTTCTCACTAGACCGACACACAATACTCACGACATCGGGCGATACTTGATGTCGTTTACACTTGCTGATAACTGGATCCCACGATGATGAAAGCTTAAAACCCTCTTCTCGGTTGGAATTATGATGTTTTTTAATTTCAATAGCTTCACGTACGATTCTACTATAGTGATGACGTTCTGTAGAAAGGATCTTGGGATTATGAAGCTCAATCCAGTGGTTTGGTCCTGATTCCAGCAAATACTCGGCTATTGCAGACTTATTGAGCTGACGGTTCTTAACAGCCGCGATGTGTTCTTAAACTCTTTCCGCTATGGTGCGTTTTGTCTGCCCAATATAGGAACTCCCACAACTGCAATCAATCTTGTAAACGCCCGGAGATTGAAAGGGGATTACATCCTTAGGTTATCTGACATGCCCCGTGACCTTAGATAACGGCGTAAACACAGTTTTTATAGAGTACTTGTTTAGTACTGTACCGATTTTGTCCATTATTCCTTTCAAGTAAGGCATGAACACTTACCTTAAAACGTCAGGACGTTTCTCTTTAGCTTTCCGTCGTGGTTGCCGTCTGTTCACTCTGTTCCGTTCGTGTATACTATGCTATTCTATTACTATTTCGCATTGTGCTATGCATCATCAGTAGACTTCAACTTACAACACGAACATCAATCTCCAGACAATAAACTGAATTTTCGGTTGTTATCGTAACGGGGTATAGAGCTGAATCTTAAAATGGTTACACGCGGCGACATTTTGCAAGGATGCAAACGCGCGTTACAAAAGCTGCACTTGCGATTTATAGGCGAATGCATCTTTGCAAACACGCGATTGCATCTATGCAAACATGCGATTGCATCGATACAAACGCGCGATTGCATCTATGCTGAATCATTATGTATGAAAAATTTGTATAGGTTTATACCATCGAGTATATAATCAGAAATAGAGACGAAATAAGGGCCATCTATCCCTGGCAGCTCATCAGGCAAATATACCTTATATCACTTTTCAATATCAAATCTGCGCTGAAATCACTAATTAGAAAGCTGTAATAGTACAGCACCAACAACTGACCTGTGTACGTCTCCGTACATTCCAAAAATATTCTGTACTAAATGTAATAAAGATAATATCTCCAACAATGGGAGGCTGTTCCGTTCGTTGGTGTGGGAAAAACAGCAAAACATCAATTTACAAAACAAACGGAATCACGTTTCATTGGTAATTAAACATGAAATACGTAATTTTTCAATTTCCGTCCATTATAATAAAGCTCAAGTAAAACTGGTCGATTTGAAGTGAAACAATTGACGACACCCGTCAATTAATAAATACATTATAAGTAAACAAATTAGTTAATTGATTTAAAACGTGCATAAAAACGCACGCGCGTGTAAAGGTAGACGATTAGCAACTTCATCGCTACTGCATCGCGTTTGCATCGTTGCTAAAGGCCACCGTGTGTAACCGCTCTTAAGCGTCAAGCTTAACGTGTACTTAACCCTCTACATAATGTTGAATTATATATCTAGTACCTATTTTAAGTATATTAATAATGTACCAGACCACCACACCAATAAACGGGGCTCAAACTAGGGAAGTCTTTGCACAATGAGTACCACAGCAAAGAATTCACTCCGGGCCTTACCCAGAAAATCCAGAATAGACCTAGAAATGCTCTTTTTCCAAATTGGTCCTACCGAGAATTGAATTACATCCAGCGTTCACAGTGCAAATCGTTGGACCACTGAAGACTGTCGTCGAAGCATATTTTAGGGATCAAACATTTACGTATTACGTTCGATGTAGCACGAACGTCTTTATGGGCGCCTTCAAAGTAGATGCTTATAGAAGCACTGCAGTGGTGAGGCGGGCGCTTATCTGTGGCACTTCAGCCATTTGTAGTTCACTAATTAAATCACTGCAAAAGTGGCGGGCGCGTGATACGACTTTTTTTATAATGTCAAATGACGGCACGAACAAGCCGTGTACTTGATGGTAAGCTACACGCCAGTCCATAACAATTACAGTGCTACTCAGAGTTTTAAAACGCAAAGATCGAGGTGCACTGCCACTGCGCCCGTCACCCTGAGACATAAGTTGACATGTTCCATGTGGCTGTAATTTCACCAGCACCCTTACCCTTCAAAACCAGAACACAGTAATGCTGACATTACTGCTTGGCGGGAGAGATAGATACAGTGGCAGTACTTCCCTGGACGAACTCTTTCACAAGGAGAGCTCTAGTGCTACTAAAACTTCTAAATAGTGCGCTGTAGCGCTTCTATAAGCGTCTTATTTGGAGATCCCTTACAGATGACCTGTAGACATAGCACATCTAAGATTTTTAAATACGGATTTTTAATGCTGCGACGATGTGGTACGTCGCTGAACTCACACCTGAACGGCATCTAAACGTTCAAGAGCCTTAAAAGTCTTGTCAAAGTTTGACTGGCAATTATTTCAACATTTACAAAGTTAATTTAGTTTTCCACTCAGCCTTGTAATTAAGAAAACGCACAGACTCGCGAAAATAATGTGAATGAAGACTTGAATCATGGCTTTGTTTTATCTTTATACCGTCACTATATTGTTACTGATTAATTGCGATAGTAAGTAACTATTTTCAAACAGTAAAGAGTTTTCTGAAGTGGAAATACTTAGATCAAAATACTTTGTGTTTACCTTAAACTCATTATGCGGTTCGTTCAACGCTTTTGGTATGAGTAAAGTTATTTGTCTTCCTAAATTATCTTCTCCAGATATGGATTCATATTACATAGGGTATAGTGTATTTTTTGCATTAATGTTAACAAATCGATATCGTACACGAGCGTAATTTTGTGAGTTGTGAGTTTGAGGGTCGTATTCTAGAACTCTACTCAATGCTCAAGTCAGGACTTGACTATGATTCAAAGCACTCGAAATCATACTCAAGTCCCTGCCATTAGGGTCGTATTTCCAGTGCTTGTATTGCCAGTACAATCCTGACTTGAGCATTGAATAGAGTTCTAGAATACGACCCGTAGTTTACGTCCGACTGAATTTAAATTGAGTCGCCAGACGAACGTATTTTATAAAATTGCTTTTAAGGATATTAGTGTTATAAAGTGTAATGGATACATTAAAAATTGTGTACATTTATGAAGCATTAGAAGATAATGTTAAAAAATAAGCTGGGCACATCCGACCAATATGATAAGATTAAAGTATGGGCAGTTTCAGTTAATAATAATAATAATTTATTGCACAAATCAATGACACATGAAACACAAGTTACTTTTTAAACACAAGTTTAAGTTCAGACGATACAAGTTAAACACAAGTTTAAGTTCAGACGATAGCTTCCACAGTTTGCCTGCCCTTGATGAGCTGCTGCATAACACCTTCTCAGAAGTTCCTAAGTATTTCAATGTAGTACACATCAACGCGCAGAGTATTCCAGCACATTATGCGGACATGCTAGCTACGCTTGACAACAAAAATATCCACGCTATTCTTGTGTCAGAGACATTTTTAAATCCTAGCCTTTCTTCTACTTCTGTCTGTCTTCCAGGTTTCCAACTGATTCGCAATGACCGTGCTAGTTCTTCACATGGTCGGGTAGCCATTTATCTTCGTAGCCATATTCCTTTTGCAATCCTCAGTACTTCACCTCAACCCCCTCCACCTGATACTGCAGAACATCTGTTTCTGGAAGTTACTTTGTCTCATCATAAACTACTTCTGGGAGTTTACTATTGCCCATCTCTAAGAATTGACTACTTTTCCGCTCTTGAAAAGCTCCTTGAAGACTTTGCTCCTTCATATGATCATACCATTTTGATGGGTGATTTTAATACTTGCCTTCATAAAAATGATTCACGTTCGAGCAGTCTTCGTTCTGTTATAAATTCCTGTAACTTACATATTCTTCCATCTAACGCTACGCATCATTTTCCTAACTGTACTCCCTCTCTTCTGGACCTCATAGCAGTCTCTTCTCCCGAACTTGTCACCAAGCATGGTCAATTCACGGCTGATGCCTTTTCCTATCACGACCTCGTGTACCTGTCGTATAGGGTGCGCGTGCCCAAGGCTAAGCCTAAAATTCTCCTACAACGTAATTTTGGAGCCATGGACTTAGATCGATTGCGTGAAGACGCGAGTAGAGTTGACTGGTCAGTAGTGGATAGTGTTGGTTCGGTGGATGAACAGGTCGAGTTATTTACATCGCTACTGACTCACCTTTATGATGTACATGCACCAGTTCGACCCGTTCGGATCAGGCACCTTCCTGCACCGTGGCTGAGTAGTGACCTTCGAAGTTATATGGAGAAGAAGAATCGTGCGAAAACCAGATACAAAATTGAACCATCTGATGCGAATTGCAAAAAATATCACCGAATCAGAAATCGCTGCAACGCCACATCCACACATCCATCGAAAATGGTAACCCCACTAAAATTTGGAATTTCCTTAAGTCGCTTGGAGTTGGTAAATCTCATAGTAATAATTCTTCTTTAGACCTGAATCTAGATACCCTTAACAATCACTTTTCATCTGCGCCTGTCTTTGACTGTTCAGTCAAGGACAACACTTTGCTATATCTTTCATCTTTACCAACTCCTGACTATTCATCCTTTGTTCTTAATCAATTTACTGACTGTGATGTTAAGAAAAACGTTTTAGCTATCGCTTCCAATGCTGTAGGCAGTGATTGCATTAGTCGTAATATGATCATTCCGCTCCTCGATCTCCTCACTCCCGTCATAACTAAAATTCTTAATAAATCTGTCTCTACCTGTGTTTTCCCCTCTGCCTGGAAAGACGCTTATGTCATTCCATTACCAAAAAAAACCAAACCAAACTTCCCTTCAGACTACCGTCCTATTTCAATTCTTCCTTTCCTGTCGAAAGTCCTAGAAAAGCTTGTTCACTGTCAGTTGACTAATTTCGTAAACAGGAACAACCTTTTCAATCCTCTCCAGTCTGGTTTCCGCATTGGTCATAGTACGACTACTGCACTCACGAAAATCACTGATGACATCCGTTTGGGTATGGAAAATCAACAATTGACTGTGCTGACACTCCTTGACTTCAGTAATGCCTTCAATTGTGTTGACTTTGACCTATTATTGGAGGCATTGCGTATTCTTAACATATCTCCAGCAGTTATTGATTGGTTTCGAAGCTACCTCTGTGGACGTCGGCAGTGTGTACGCAATGAGAATTCTTTCTCTACGTGGTGCGATATTTCCGCCGGTGTCCCGCAGGGTGGCGTCCTTTCTCCTCTCTTATTTTCTTTGTTTATTAACTCTATCACACAATCCCTCACTTCTTCTTATCATCTTTATGCTGATGACCTCCAGATTTACACCCAGTCGTCTATTCAAGACTTACCACGTGCCATTAGTACTACCAATGTGGACCTTGAATCCATTCGTCAATGGAGTCAGTCCTTTGGCCTTAAAGTTAATCCATCCAAAACACAATCGATTATTATAGGTAGCACTTGGTTCAATTCTCGTCTAAATCTAGCCTCCTTACACCCTGTGGTTTTCGGTGGTGTCTGTATTCCTTATTTGGATACAGTCAGGAATTTGGGGGTAATTTTTGATAAATGTCTGACTTGGAAGCCGCAAGTTGCTGAGGTTAGCAGGAAGGTGTTTGGTGCGCATTTCTCTCTGAGAAGGCTTAAAAACTTTTTGCCGACTAAAACCAAAATTACTCTGGCCCAGAGCATTCTCCACCCGATACTGGACTATGCAGATGTTTGCTACCCAGATTTGTCAGTAACTCTGCTCAATAAATTGGAACGGCTCCAAAATATGTGTGTTAGGTTCATCTTCGGACTACGTAAATTTGACCATGTCTCCCAATTTCGCGCACAAATTAAATGGCTGCCCATCCATCGGCGTAGAGATCTTCATATTCTTTCACTTCTCTATTCAATTCTGTTCTATCCCTTTACACCTTCTTATCTTAAAGATCGCTTTACTTTCCACTCTTCTACACTCTGTCGTCCCCTTCGCTCCTCTGATACTCTCTTACTTAACTTGCCCTCTCATACCTCTAACTTTTATTCCAACTCTTTTACCATTTCTGCGATAAGATTGTGGAATTCTCTCCCTGAATCGATTCGACGATCCCCTTCTCTTGATTCCTTCAAACAACGTGTCAAAGATCACTTCCTCAACTCCTAAATTTCGTCTGTCCTCTACTATCCTTTCATTTATTTCCTACATTTGTACTTCATTTTTCTTTTTCTATTAAAAGTATATAAGCATTTAATATTATTGTGTATTTATTGTTATGTATGTATTAATAATATTATTGTTATTTGTATGTATATGTATATTAATCTATGGATATGTATATATTTTTATTATTACTTATTATGTAGTGTACTTATGATGATATTCTTTGGTAGCACCCCTTTTGCATATCCGAAATGTCTATCCTAAGGTTGCCTGGAAGAAATTGCTACATAGCAATAAGGCCGCCTGTTGCACGTTGACTTACTACTACTATTATACTTAAGCTATTGTATTGTATTTTAATTGTAATTTTATGTGCAATAAAGAATGTTTCATTCATTCATTCATTCATTCAAGTTACTAGTAAAAAGGACATATACAAATGTGAGCTTGACTCTAGAAGAGATCTCTTCCAGCCAACCCTAGCTGTGGTGTAAAATGAAGTCTACGGGACTAATTATTGCACAATAAAATTAAATTGAAATGTTAATAAAACATATAAATGATAATATGCATATGAGAGACATACACACCTATATGAACTTTATATACATAAAATACATACATATGCAGAGTATATATACGTATATTATAATCTAAACAATTTACTAGTTTATATATATGTTACCGATTATCTATCTAACTCGTTCGATAGGAAGTGCTCTTTTAATTTGTGTTTGAAAGACCACCGATGGACTGTCACGAATGGCAGCAGGCAGTTTATTCAACATACGAGTTGCACTTACCGTAAAAGAGTTGTGGAAGAATTTCGAGTTGGATTTTGGATACACTACTTATATGAAAATTTTTGTGAACAACCAAATCAAATTGTATGTTTCTTTCACCATTCTCTCCATCCGCACGTTAGTTATGATTACATCCTTGGTCGAGTAGCTTGCGCACCGGTTTTCATGGTGTCACCATCACCACAAGAAAAATTAACTTTTCTATATTGTCTCGCGTCTTGGTATTTGTGGTACCATCGTTGTTTCCGATTTCCTTAACACAAATGCTTTAGCTACTTAGTTTGTATATGATGCTGTGTTTCTTTAATTTTCTTTTATAGATAAGATACATCAACAGTTATTCATTACATTGTAATTTTACAATAGTTTTGTACTTATATACTAGTCTACATATTACAGACAAACATAACATTTAATGTGATAAAATAGTAACAAGCAACAAAGAGAATAATAAAGAACTTAACAGAAAAGCGATTCGAGAATGTCATTTTTGAAAACATTACGGGAAGAATGAAAAATGTCTATATCTATCCGAGCGTTAATTTGGTTGTAAGTGGAGGATAATCTAAGTAGTGGACTATGCAGAGCTAGGTTAGTCCGGCTTCGTGGTACACTAAATGTTTTGGTTGTTCTATGACGGAGATATTTATAAGACACGTCAATATTTATTTGATTCAGAATTTTGCAACATTTTATTGTATTATTTATTATAGCTACCACCAAAGACAAGGTCAAATAATATTCGGCGATCTCTAAGAGTATTAATTCTGAAGTACTGCAATCTATGAACATATGGATGTGTACGTGATATACCTGACGAGAAAAAGTTACATTTATAATACTTAAGTTAGACCGTGAGTCAGTAGATAACCCAATTTGCGTCGTTGTGTGGCACAAACCAGACTTTTACATGAAACTATAGTGCAGCCAAAACTACGCGACTCAAAAAACGTGACTCACAAACCACAAGGTTACGTTGTGTCACCCGAAAGTTCTATATCGTATTTGAAATCAGTCACCCGATTTGTACAGAAAGTTGTCGAAGAACAAACAAGATTTTGAATATAGAATCAAAAATCAAAGAAGTCTTTGCTATTGCATATCTTTCTTTTTTTCTTTCAAGCAAACTAACATACGACACTTTAGCCGTGGCCACGGAACATGTAAAGAACCCGAAACGTTGGTTTGTTTGAAAAGACAAATATGCACAATTTTAGGTCCAGACAAAAAATGTCTCATTTCTGGGATTTTATTGATATTGATTTTAGTTTCCGAGATTACACGCAAGTTATTGGAAAATAGGATTATGACTTCATATTGAATAAATTGAAGTTTAAACAGTAATGTCTTAATACCCAAGGCTTTCATTGTATAAAGTTCAATATAGGGCCACAAGCAATACCTTGTGGGACTCTTTCAACTACCCTTAAAACCCTTATAAGAAACAATTTAGCAATATTTTTTTTGTCACACCTAAAATACTAAGAAAGTAACGTGTACTTTTTTTTATTAAAGATCTTTTCTTCATTCTATTTACCGACGCAGAGCGATTAAAATTATGATTATCAAAAATACATTTCAGTTATCACGGGAATAATCCATCCTAATAGAACCAATAGAGAAAAACGTTATATGGTAAGTGGTTTCAGAAATGTAAAGATTGATAATAAGGAGTATTATAATACAAATTCAATTTATAAAAATATAGTTTGATTTAAAGTTATTTTGACATCAAAGTATGATATATGGTACTTCACTATCAAATTTGAATGCAGAAAACCGACCTCTGCAACGAAACTTTCGACAGTGGATTTTCATAATAGCTTAATTAGAATTGCATCCGCATCCGTACCTGTTTGTATGATATTTAGGGCTGCGATCAAACCGCAGACAGTACTAACTTCCCAGTCTGTAATTATCATGTAATTTCACCTATTAAATATTTTCATTGTATTCTCAAGGTGTATCTCACAAAAGCACTACAATCAGAACAGGCATATGACAATTGGATATGTGGTGGTGCAATTGTGTCCCCTGACTTTATATTGACATCCGCTGCCTGCGTAAAAGACGTACAGTTCATGTATGCAATTTCTGGATATGAAAGATACGTCAAATCTGGCACAAGAACATTTAATAATGATCCTTGTATAATGCACAGTAAGAAGAAAATTGTTTTCACTTGCGTACCAAAAGGTATGTACTTCTCATACAATCAGCTGTTTTAGTAGCAATGGAGCTCCATGTAAAAGTGTTTGTCTATGGAAGAACTATCATCTTGCCTACTTCTGCCTCCAATCAGTAATGTTATGTAAATACATTACTGCATTCTGGTTCAAACTACAGGCACATGACTTATAAATTTATTGTCTCAGGGTGACGAGCACAGAGGCGGTGCCTCTCAAATCTTTGCGATTGAAAGCTTCGAGTGGTTCAGCAACTGTGTGACATGCGTGATACTTACCACTAGGTACACGACTGGTTTGTCCTGTATCCCGATATCATAAAAAGAAATTTAAGCCGGTTTCGACTACATTCAAGATGTTAGTTTTAAAATCTAGAATAAACTCTTTAAGATTCCAGCTATCAGAAGTAGCTAATATTACAGAAATATTATACAAGCTCACTTCAGTCACATGCAAGAACCCATATCTTAGATAAGAAATTACAATTTTGCAGATGTGCTTATTATAATATTTTATATAGTTAACATGTACTTATAAGAAATAAAACATTGTCATCATCATATCCACATATAACAATGTTGACAAACTAAAAAATATGTACTGAGATATTTCTTTCACTATTTCTAATTTAAAGAACAGATTCATTGAGTCCAAATTCGCTTGTGTCGTAATACCAAATAGCCTTTACCTTTATCACAATATCCTTCATAATCCTATTTATCCAAGTTTCCTATGTTAACAGTTCAATTACTTCTGATTGCTTTACTTCTGATTTGCTTATCAAAACCCCCGAATGAACATAAAAACTCACGTACGAGCACTCGTATCCTTCCCATTCTAATTTCTTTTTCTATTCCATCTTCATTCACGCCGTATGCTTCTTCCGCGCCTTGATCATATTGTTCAGGTACAAAATATGACCTAGGTCAATTGTAATTAATTTAATTGTAAAAAGGTGTACCTGTTGTGTTTTTCATTTTTTATTATAACTTTTTGTGCTTATCCTGTGTACAATTGATTAAAACACTATTTTGCATGGATCAAAAGTTGGTATATTTGTTTCTCGTGTACATTTAGATGCGAAAAAATTAATTTCTTCATTTCCATTATGCAACAATTGCGAAAACCTAGGAACTCATTATAAACAACTTTTGTTTTAGAATACAATTTCGACTACGCCAAATTCGAGAATTGGGCTAACATAGATATAGCTTTAGCGAAAGTGGAATCACCCTACAATTTTGAGAAAGAAATATCATCATCCTGTACCTGGGTACCACTGACGATTGAAATAAGCTATAATTTTAAACACATGGAACCAGGAACTGATGCATATGTACTTGGATGGGGAAGTTCCTCCACTTGGAGAAGTGTATGTTAATTGCACATTTCACCGTTTTTCACTATAAATTCACCTTGATTCAACAAATTCGTCCATGTCACTTTAAGATAACAATACGTTCCCTTGGTATAATAAATCCACATGTGATCATACGTCAGAAGTGCTTTTGTCACACGAAAGTTATAAAATACTACGAACTACATGAAATAAATTGTGTACGCTAAATGTTAAAGGTCTCCTATTTAAGCAATAAAGTTATCAGCTAATTTCATTCGTGGATTCTATAATATAGATATAATAACAACTTTCCAGGAAAGAGGTATATTATACCTCTCTCCTGGAAAGTTGTTATTATACCATATATATAGGTATATTATACCAAGAGTGCGATATCATGTATCTCAGGATCTCAAATCCAATTACAATGTCGAATAGTAACACCACGTGCCCCTCACGAATTTATAAATAAGCATGCCAAACTCAGTACGTCTTGGCGGTAAGTCTAAGAACACGACAATTTCGCCGTGTTTCTCATGGTCTCACTCTACAGATATGATCTCCGTTGGCGAAATTACGATCCGTAAAGTGGAAAATCTGCTCTCTTTAGTCTGAGTGCATACACGTTCCGTAGTCTTGCAGAGTATACAGGCAAGGTCTGCTCCACTGCCATTCCAGATTCATTCAAAATGATTACACCTATATATTACATCCTATATGGAGCAATGGATGAAACTAAATCAGTTCATTTTCCGGATTTATTACCTAGTGCTAACACTGCAGCACTGCAGTTTTTTTTGGACAACCTTTTTTTACCTTTCCTCTAAACATGCTTATGAGTATATGTATAAGTACCTTAATAATACCTTTCGTTAAATTTCAGGTCAATGACACGAACGATTACAATACAGATTTTTTACAATATTCGCCAGTATTAATTCAAAGTAAACAACAATGTAAAAAATACTATCAGGCGTTGCCATCATTATTGGAAGTAATAGATAAATATATGATATGTTCTATGGGTGGCGGTAATTTAGATGACGTTGGCAGGATTATAAATAAAACACCTCCGTCCGGAAATGGGTGTTTACCTAATATGAATATGGTTGGTAAAACATTCACTAGTCTTAATTTATCGATTGGTAGATTAAATCGATTACGAAAGTCCAGACAGTAGATTAGATACAGGGAGCATTTAATCAGCAAATCCACCTTCCCCAACGCAATGAAAATAGCAAGTGTTCGACACGACATATGCGTACCAAATCCACCAAAAGAAATAGAACAGCAAATTTTTAAAACAGTCTAGTTCCGGTAGATACAGTCAACTGCAGCACGCTCAATTTTGTACTTAAATTTTAGTTTACACGTACGTAGCATTGTACTCTAAAAACGCTTTTTTCGACTTGGATATAGATATCATGAATGAAGCCGTGATAGCCTAATGGATTTGACCTACCGCCTCTCAAGCAGAGGCCGTGGGTTCGAATCTCGGGTTTGCACCTCTAAGTTTTTCATTAGTTGTGCGAGCTTTTCAGTGAAGGAAAACATCGTGGTGAAACCTGCATGTCAAAAAGGTTCACAACTCTTCGAAAACGTGTGAAGTCCCCAATTCGAATTGGGCCAGCTTGGCGGATTATGGCCTAAAACTTCGCATGAGAGGAGACCCAGCCACAGTAGAGCTCCTTGTGAAAGATTTCGTCCAGGGTAATACTACCACCTTAACTATTGCTGCCGCCAAGCAGTAATGTTAGCATTACTACGTTACTATTTAGAAAGGTAAGGGTGCTGGTAAAATTATAGGCACATGACTTGTCTACTTATGTCTCAGGGTGACGGGCGCAGTGGCAGTTCCCCTCAGAACTTTGCCATTTAAAGCTCTGAATGGCACTGCAACTGTTATAGACAGGCGTGTAGTTTACCATCAAGCGCACGACTTGTTTGTCCCGTCACATGATATTATAAAAAAGACCCGTGCCCAGCAGTGGGACGTATAAATGGGTTGTTCATGAATGATGAATAGATATCACAGGAATGCTCCATTAAATCAAGTTATTTAAGTGCCTTGACTGTTAACAGAATTCGACTATCAATTAAAGACATAACAATGACGAATAGATTTTCAAGTACATTGATTTATTTGAAAATGTACATTTCATAATTTCCATTTGCATTTCCAGTGCACTCCAGGTGAGGTAGATTCTTATTACGATACAAAACCTGATAGTTATGCCTATATACATCATCAAGCAAGAAAAAGTATGCCCGGCGATGACCCAAATATCAATTCAATTAATGAATCTAGTGCGATGTATAGTTCCTACAGTTACACATTTACGCACATGAATCTCAATGATAAAGTCAATCACTCTAGATCTGAGAAAAATATTCAAAATGAAGATAACATAGTAAACAATTCTCCATTCGTAACCATTCCTACAAGGCGACATGGAATCTGTCAGGTAAATTTGACTATTGCTGAGTGAAGACAAAACTTTAATAGGTTTCTTACAAGGTGGCAAAACTCAATACAAGGATCTGCAGCAACTACATAGGGATATTCAGGACTGCCGACTTTGTCTGTATGTCAGTTGGGAGAACGGTAGCCCCGGTTTGGCAAACAGCCGTTTGTTCGAGTTTAATCGGATCGAAGGAATTTATCTTTGTGTTGTTCAATCGAGTATTTTTTACAAACAAATAAAGACAAGAAAAACATCATGAGAAAATAGTCAGAGAAAACTTCACTTTTTACTAACTTTAAACCACTGACTTACGTAGTCCGAGAGAATGCTATTATGTTATATCTCTTAACGTACAATAACAAGCCTCAAGGACCATATCCATGAATATGATTTGTTAATTTGATTTCTTTACAGAACGACCATGGCGGCCCATTAATTACATGGGTGGGTGGCAAGGAGATCCTTATTGGGGTAGCCTCAGTGTTTTTGTTGCGAAACAAATCTTGTATAGGGCCTTACCTCTACACCAGCACAAATTGCAACGGTGCATTTCTTAGCTGCATCCTTAAAACTGCCGAAAAGGAATACAGGTAGGTAGCCTTTGGTAAGTTGTTATTAGCGTTCATCGATATCACATGTCTGCTTTTTACTTACTGTGTCTTTTTGGAATTGGAGAGACGCTTCGGTGTCGGGCGACCAAAATGGAAATTTGGTTTGAATTTTGGTTCAACGGCTTAGCGATTGTCAACTGCTAGTTATGCACAACGGAAACTGAGCGTGCCAACAGCTCCGGTACCTATCTGGATAATAGGGAAGGTGCCGTACGTGTAACCGGGGTCACTCAACCAAAGCACTAGAGTTTTAACAACCGGTTGAAGGCTGTATAAATATACTGAACTGGGGTCAGGACCTAACTGATAAGGTCCCCTGTACATGCTTGCTTGAACAGGTTTTAACACTCTTCCCGTATAACCTTTAATCAAACCGTAGTAGAAAGATATGGAACTGGCGTGCTGTGTCTCCTTCCGTACCCCGAAAACCACAAGACGTGAATAACCGAACGCGTTCTCTTCTTTTTCACTGATGATACCAAGAGCCGTTAGTGTATAAACTTTTGTCCGACAATGCAAATTTAAAAACTGGAGAACGTAATATTATCTTTTATATCGAGTTCTTTGGATTTCGCAATTGTTACATATAAGAAATGACAATATTTTTCTTTTATATATTTACATTTGTAATTTGTATATTTAGATCTGAACAATTGTTTAATTGGCAAAATTTTTTTATTTCATTGTTTTGTGCAAATCTCTAAATACAACATTTTACTTGAGGCTATCAGCGCAACAATGATATAAACCACATTTAATTTTTGTCCAAATTGTTACTATGTTACGAAAGTACATAATTATTATACATTTGGATGCTACTTTCATTTAAAAATGTAATATTTATTATATTGGTCTTATAAATTTGACTAATTTTAATTCGCATCATTATCTTCTATATGCATTTCATGGGGTTCCGCTGAATTATAATAATGTTGTCGATTTGTTATACTAGTTTAGATATTAAGAACAGTAACAGTTCAGGTTCGGTACTTCAAGTCTTGAACATTTGTGCAATTTAGTTTACTTTTCATTGCTTATAATTAGGTACAGGTGAGTAACGTGATAAGTCTCACAAAACTCCACGGAGACATGTGAAGACCCTATTCCATATTAAATCAGCATAGACAACCCTAGAGAAAAATCTTGACCAGTAATGAGATGTATATGAGTTTACAGTTAGGATCATAGTCTAACTAGCCATAATCATTCAGTTTAAGATACCTTGACGAAGACGGCATACCAAAGCCGTACAATGCCAACGTACCAGAGTGGTTCAATCCTGCAGTCTGCAGCATGACACCTCGCCAACGCGGATTTGATATTGATAGAAGAACAATTTCGTGGATTGGCCATCCGGATGGGTGAGTTTCTGACAGCTTATGGTATTCGCTTACTTACACTGTATCCATATATGTATTAAGAAAAACAGAACAAATTATACAGGCGGGTAGCGCGCCGACGTGGTGCACCTTTTTCGAGTGTTTCCACATTGAGGCGTGCAGTGTATGTGAGTGAACATCCTATAATCTTGTTAGCCATAAGCTTTTAAAAAGTTTGATTGAACATTTGAACTTGTAAAACCTTAACAATATTTTCCTTTACTTGACCTTTACAAATAAAATATACATAAGGTGGCTCATTATTGTGTAATAAAAATATTATATGGTCGGTGTTTTGTAGAAAAGGCGAAAGTGCCATTTCAAAAATTTTTCAAGGAAGCATGCATTTGTTTTTTTACGACTGTTTTAAAATATTTAAATCCTGTTTTAAATTCAATTTTAAAACTTAAACTTAATCAAAACCAAAATGAAATTTTACAACAGGATGTAAATATGTTAAAATAGTCCCTAAAACATGATCCCTTGAAAAATTTTTTTCGCGCTAATATAAACATTTTTGGCGCTTTCCGACTATACGCTTTCCTACGATGTAGTCATAAATATTGGCAATATGGTACTGGTAGTGGTGATATAGAGGCACTTTGCTAAACTTCATTTATTTCAAGCGACCTACATATAAATATTTTTTTCAACACATAAATGCCCTCAGAAGATTATTTCGCATGAAAAATAAATGCATACAACTAAATATATTTTTTCAGTCCAGCGGCCAACGAGTTGGTGCCAGAGGTAGAGTTTTTCGAAAGGCAACAGATTCCACTATATAATTTTACCAAATATTCGATGAACAACTGAAAATCCTGTCTTCGACAGCGAATATAGGACATTCAACGACTGTAAATTAAAACATTAAATATATATTTATTTTTTTATTCCTGAATTTTATTTCTTTACTATTAGATATAGTCGTGGTAACCTAATCGTTAGACCTACCGCCTCTCAAGCAGATGGACGTGGGTTCAAATACCGAGCTTGCACCTCTGGGAGTAGCCATAGGCAATAAGGGTTTAGTCAATCACCGCCCAAAAGCGAGCTGCGAAATTTCGATCACAGAGCTTCGGGCGGTGTCTCCAACCAGCCGATGTCAGAAATTTTGATTCAGAGTTACTGAACACGTCAATACCGTTAATCCAATTAAGAGATTCCGTCAAGGCTAGAGCCTCGTAGAATGGTGACCGCCTTAGTGCATCCTTACTGAGGTCAAGTGTTATGGAAAAAAAAATCAATTGTAAAGTTTTGTGAAAAAATTAAAATATAAAAACGGCTACGTTCCAGTAAAGAATCGACATTTCACATAACTACGTAATAAATACGTTTTTGGATTTTTTTTATATTTTTTTTAATGAAAACACAGCTACGCGTTTTATCTTATCTCAGCACTAGGGAAACCACGGGCAAACCCTGCGTCGCGGGTGCCTTGAACACACACATAGACAACTACTTATTACACCCAAACTCACGAGAGAAATATAGGCCAAATACTTCTTCCGACCTAGAAATCGAACGTGGGACCTCTGCGTGGCAGACCAGGATGGTAACCATTCGATCACGGAGGCAACAAGCAGCGTTAGAGACTCCGTGTCGCTGTAGAACGCTACAGTACCAAAATCGTTGGGGACACCATGTGTATCTTCGACACGTAAGGGGTTGAACAAGATTTGAAATTCCACAAAGAATGTCTGAGCGTAATCGTTTGCCTGTACAGAAAGACATACAAGCTCTATGAAACTCTGATTGATTTTTGCGTTGAAGCAAATAATTAAAAATACGCACAATGGTAACTATACGCACAGTAATAGCAAATCCATGATAACAATGTGAAAGTTGAAAATAGAAAATCATGGTCTTGCTTATTTTAAAAATCGTATGTGGATTGTTATTATACATTATACATTGTCCGAGTATGTACCTACCTAAGTTACTTTAAAAATAACATTTTTATTAAAGTTTGTGATAATTATGATGTGTGATGCGTAATATATAAAAAAATATGAATTGTTCAAATGTGCATTGCTTACCTATTCTGTTAAATGTTGCAAAAAGCATAGTAAACAAATGCAGTGACTCTTAAAGACTAAATACAATTCAATTCATTTAAAAACTAAATAAATTACATAATTACCTTTTTTTGAAGTCAGTTAAAAAAGGACGTCTGTGAATCTTAGCTGGTTCAAATAACACTGGCAGCATTACCACGCTGAGTGGTGAACGAAATTTGTTGCACCAAGAAAGATCCAGAGCGTGGATCACTGCCTCTATCTCTAACCCAACTCCCAAGACCCAACTCCCTGATGAATTCTCTGGCCTCCGCACGCCAAGTCCCCGTACTTTTAAACACACTCAAAGTTTTTTTTTTACCTGGACTCAAAGTAAAGAATTTCCTGTACTTTGAGTGAGCAACGGCATACCCAGAACACCCAGACCAGTTCGGAAAATTTCATTTCTCGTAGTGGTCTTGTAGTTGCCGTGGTAACCTAATGGTTTGACCTAGCCTCTAACGCAGAATGCGGATTTAATCCGGCCTCGTATCTGAATTTATTTTTTTTTCTTTTCATTTTATTAAGAAAATCAACAGTCTATTGCAAGTGAAATAAATAATACTAGTCAGTTTAGTAGCAGTAGAGCTCCTTGTGAAAGAGCTCATCTAGGGAAGTACTGCCACCTTACCTATTTCTGCCGCCAAGCAGTAATATCAGCATTACTGTGTTCCGGTTTTGAAGGGTAAGGGTGCTGGTCAAATTGCAGGCACATGGGACTTGTCAACTTATGTCTCAAGGTATCGGGCGCAGTGGCAGTGCCCCTCAGATCTCGAGTTCTTAGGTTTTCGCGATTGTTACACATAGGAAATGAAACTATTTTTCCGAGTTTAAGTCGCGTATTTATTTACGAAACATTGGTTTGTTTAAAAAAAAAACAAATATACGCGATTTTTATTATAAAAAGAATTATTTACAAAAATTTAATTTTGCCGAAGACGTGTTCGGATTGGATAAAGAGTGCTGGTGAAAATATAAATAAAATACAGGCACTTGAACTTATCAACTTAAAATCGTAATGTAATGATGCAAGATCGTGATGCAAGTGCAGTTCCACTCACATCTATAGAATCTAAAGCCTTAACTATCACAGCAACTATTACAGGTAGCCATATTGTTTACCACCAAGTGCACGATTTTTTTTACCCTTTAAGTAAAAATAAGTATGACCATCAAAATAACCACAACGATTAAATGAAATGAAATAAATTGGTAATTTTTACTAAAGCTGGTCAAAGATATTAAGCAAATATTACACAACATCACATACATTGCTCTGATCCCAAAGTAAGTAGCTAAAGCACTTGTGTTGTGGAAATCAGAAACAACGACGGTACCACAAACACCCAGACCCGAGACGATATAGAAATTTAGGAGGATCGAACCCGAGACCTCAGTGATGGCGACAACATGAAAACCGGTGTACAAGCCACTCGACCACGGAGGTCGTCAAATCATACAAAGATCTACTGTAAGCACATTTGCGCATTAGTTCCGAATCCGAGAAATAACGGTCCGAATTGTCACAGGTGCCCGAAGTGTCATTTTATCTCTAGGTGTACAAGCATCTAGTCGTATTTTCTCGGATTCTAATCGGATTTAGTGCACAAGCGACATTAGAAGTGGGTCTGAGTTTTGAAGATTTGCCTCCGAAACTGCCTCCGTGGCTGAACAGTTACCATGGCGGACTGCCACGCAGAGGTCCCAAGTTCGATTCCCGGTCCGGGAGAAATATTCATATGGCCTACATTTATTTGTCTCGTGAGTTTGGGTGTAATTTATGGTTGTCTATGTGTGTGACCCGCGACACAGGGTTTCCCTAGTGCGGGGCTATGTTGGGTGTGTACGTTATTATTATTATTATTTGTATAAAGGTGCAGCGCTTAATTTTTAACAAATTTCAGTAACTATCAGCCAACGAAGAATAGTGCACGGTAATTTCACCACCGCTGAGAAAAGATATATGGTAAGGTACTTTGTAAACAATAACTATACAGTACAATACAACAGCCAGTTACACCGAGTACCAAGTAATACAGGGCGTACCGTAAACTGGGGTTACTTTGAGTCTGTGGGCGACATTGATAAAAACTTCTATTTGGTAGTTAATCACATTTTTTGCAGAAATTGAACGCGCTGAAATTTGTTTGTTTTATACAATATTGGTAACACTGATAATTGACGCAGTGTCACATAGAACATGCAAGTGTTAGGGTCGGCTATTTTCAAGCTAAATTATTGTCAAGGTGAGTAAGCTTATTTTCCTTGTTTTTTTTGACTTCTGCAAAACTTTGTATACATTTCTTTTGTTTAATTATTTTAAGGTTTTGTTTGCTTTGTGGTGTACAGTACATCGAAAAGCTTTAACAAAAATAACCTACATTTCTAACCTTAAAACTGCGCACGGGGCTGGGGACTTCTTTGCACGGGGTGTTATTGATATACCCCATGGGGTTAAATTGATCAATCGATCAAAGTGAACCCTTTATTTAACGCAAATGCCATTTTGTGCTATTTTTGTTTTATTTTCGGTTGCGGTAATTTTTTTCTGCTTATTGTTCTTTCAGAAACATGCCTCGCACCTACAAAAGGATTGCTGGAACACGTAATTATAAAAACTACTCGAAAGATCAGCTTAATAACGCATTAGGCGATGTTGTACAAAATGATGCTGCTTCGAAATTGTATAAAATTCCTTTTGGAACAATTTACAATAAATATAAAGGACGGTTCAGAAGGAAGCCAGGAGGGCCACCAGAATTCTTCAGAATCGGAGGAGAAAGCGCTCCTTAAAGCTGCTGCCAAATTTTCTGATTGGGGTTATCCCTTAACGTTGTTGGATTTCAGATTCTTAGACACGGGCGCCACGTCAACAAATTTAAGAATAATCTTCCTGAGGCTGATTGGGCTTATTCTTTGCTGAAACGACACAGAAACGATTACTCACAAAGAGTCACAGCAAATGTAAAAAGGGCGAGAGCAGAAATATCAAAATAATCATTAAAACAGTATTTTTATCACTTGAGCCCTTTAGTACAAGACCTGCGTCCATCAAATATTTCCGATTTACGATAAGTCGAACTTAGGCGACGATCCAGGTAAAAAGCAAGGTGTTTACCGACGTGGCGTCAAGTATCCCGAGAAAGTGGTAAATTACTCCATAAGCTCCACTTCAATGATGATTTGTGGATCCGCAGATGGGGTGCTGCTACTACCGTACTTGATTTATAAAAGTCTTCACCTATACGACACTTGGATAGAAGGAGGGCCATGTGACTCACCATGCTGCCAAAAACGTTGCTGCTCCCATGGCGCCCGATTTAATAGAACTGTAAGTGCCTGGATAGACACTGTAACCTTTCGAGACTGGTTCCAAAGCTGCTTCTTACCCCACGCAAAAATATTACCGGGGCGAAGGGTTTTTATCGGAGACAATCTGTTTTCGCATTTAGATATAGACGTCTTGAAGCAATGCGAAGAAAACGAAATAGATATTGTTTGCTTGGTTCTCTACACATTTGTGTCAGCCTCTCGATGTCGCCTTTTCAGGCCTATGAAGGCCGTGTGGCGTGCAATTCTTACCGAGTGGAAATCGCAAAACATAAAACTAACAACGGTTCCGAAAGATACATTTCTGCGATTACTTGCTAAAGCCTTAAATAAAATGGATTCTGTGCAAGCTAAACCAAATTCGCCATTTTCCAACGTTTCTTCAGGTATCAAACGCAATATGTTAAGCGCTTTTAAAGCCACAGAGATTTTACCTTTTAACAGTGAAGAAGTATTTAAAAAATTGCCAGATAGTACAAACAATCAAGATCACGAAAAACAGGTTGAGAGCGTCTTGACGAACTACTTGCGTGAACAGAGATGTGGTACTGTTTCTACCTCAAGAACTAATAAAAAGAGGCGACTAAATGTTACTCCAGGAGCAAGTATCTCTACGAAACCAGCAGATAACGAAACAGAATTCTGACAGGGATGATGAAGGTCACCTATCTGAGACAGAAGTAGATCAAGAAAATGAAACAGAAAAAGCAGAAGGGGTTTCAGAAAATGAAGAGGAAAACGTTCTTAAAGTTGGCAAATTTGTTTTGACTAATTTTTTTATTGCTCGGGGAAAAAAGACATACAAATATGTATGTCGTATCATAAACATGAGACCATGGATCGCCGTACAGGGATTTAAGTCCATAAATTCCAGAAAAAATTCAGAGTAGTGCGAAATTGACAGAGATTATATCATTTCCATCCTACCTGAACCTAAGAAGATTGTTGATGATGTCGAAGGTGTGATCGTCGAATTTTATTATGACTTAGACATTTTTGAATTTTGTATTTATTCACATTTTATTAGCTAATATCCGTATTATTTTTGATACTTTTTCTACATTTGACATTTAGATTGATTTTATTATATTGTACCTGAAGACTTGTTAGATTTAGAATTATTGTTAATTAATTATTGGCAATAATGTACAAGACTAGCGCTGTGAATTATTAGATCCCGAATCGTTATAGTTAGTTATTATAATAAAGAACTGATTACCAATAACATGTTGTTTTGAGCACTTATCTACGAAGGTACCCCAAAACACAAATTTGTTAATAATTCACGATTTATTCATTCGATTTTTTTTCTCATTCTTCGTCTTATTTATGGGGCTACTTTCGAAAACTATAATAAAAATAGGGGACAAAAAAGTGACCCCAATTGACGTTTATCTTTAATCACTGTAAATTCTGTAATTATCTCAAAAACTATATAATATTATTTCATTAATTTTGGAGATTTGTTAGTACATTTATTATACAGATATATTTGTTGCAGATTTTTACAGTGCATATTTTAGATTTTACAACTTTTTAAATTTAAAAGTTGATTAAATTAACCCCAGTTTACGGTATCATGGCTATGGAACGTGGTGAAAAAGTAGTGTAAATCAAGGTTGGAAGTGATAGTTATCATTTATAATTACCATGATAATTACGTTGGAAAATATACCTAAATAATTATAAATCAAGATGTAAAATTAATGGGAACAACAAAATTCTATCACAAGCAGTGTCGTGCCATACACTGTCACAGAACACTGGGACACCATAATATTAAATATATTATTTATAAAAAATCAATTTTTGACCCTTTCACACACATTCTTCTTATGGCTCGTTTACATTAGGTCGACACCAGGGGGCCGGGGAACACCTAGTTACGCGATGAGTTTGTTGAAGGTTTCAAATGATTTGTTATGCTGCAAACACGCTATTATGTATTTTTGCGTCGACTTCATAGTCACCTATATATTAATTTATTTTAGGTATATCTCGTAAAAGCTGAACACTCAGATAAGAAGTATGATAACTGGATTTGTGGTGGAGCGATAGTGCACCGTGCTTTCATTTTGACTTCAGCAGCATGTGTTGAAGACGTCACATACATGTACGCAATTGCCGGCTACGTCAATTATATTCACCCTAGGTCGCATTATATGGACGAGTGCATAGAGAAATCCAAGAAGAAGATTGTTTTCTCATGTGTACCCAAAAGTATGTATTACCTTATAGTATACATTGAACGTCATGTGACGTACTTGTTCAGGGTGTCCCACGGCTATGCCACACGGAGGGAAACTACCTTAAATATCGTAGATATAAAAAATTATTGAAAGAAGACTCTTTTCTGATTTTAAAAGCAATTCGAACTGCATTCAAAGATTTTTAAATAATCGCCTGTCTGGACCGGGAACCGAACCCGCTAAATGTAAAAAAACACCTGTAACTTTACTATACTGATCGAAAGCCTCAATCATTAGGATTGTTTTCTTCAATAACATAGCAGTTTAAATAAAAGGAAGACCATGAAATTTACCATTTAATTAAAATAATTAGGTCCATTTGACTTATAATCAATTTAAGTTATCAAATGCTCAAAATGTGTCCCATTCTGTAGTGTAAAAATTCTTGCTCTTTTGATATTTTCACTTCCCGTTGATTTATTTATCTTTTCTTCGTGAATGTTTAAAAAAATACGTCTAAATTAAGTTTGTAATACCTGCACATTTCCTGAACATAATTTAAAATCAAATGGTAAATTTCAAGGTTTTGCTTTTATTTAAGATGATATATTACTTAGACGAAAACAACTTTATGATTGTAGCTTTCGGTCAGTTTAGTAAAATTACCGGTGTTTGTTTTTTTTACATTTTGTGGGTTCGATTCTCGCTTCAGACAAGCTATTGTTTAAAAATCTTTGAATTCAGGTGGAATTGGTTACAAAATCAAAATGAAGTCTTCTTTCAGTAAAATTTTCTATCTATGGTATTTAAGGTACTTTCCCTCCAAGTGGCATAGCGGTGAGACGTTGACTTTGGTCAAAAAGCCGCCATCCTGAAATGGAACTTTTCCAGTTAACATAATTTTAGCACATGATTGATAATATAATATTTCAATTATATTACAAAGAAAAAATTTACTTCTTACATTTCACATTAAAGAGGAATTAATTGATACCTACTGCCATATACATAATATTAACTACTTCCAAGCTATTGATCAGCGCCATCTGGATATAAGACGAAACTTTGACCATTTTTTTCAGAGCTAGCGCTCAGTTACACGACGCGAAAGTTTACGCGTGGATGCCGCGCGGCGGCCGCCCATTTGCCGCGCTTTCACGTACATTAATGGCGAATCTGAATTCTATTTACTAGGCAACAACATTTAAATTCCTCTGAATAGTACAAACGCACGGTCGCCGCGCGGCCTCCGTGTAATCAAAGACAAGCTAGACTCGCCCACGTGCCCGGGATAATTTAATCGGGAGGATCATTTAAGTTAAAACGTTAATGCTAAACAAATAGAGCGTACTTTGCCATGACCGCGCGGCGTGAGCGCGATGGAATTCGTATCGAATAAATGCGCCCTTCCGATCCAGTATGGAGATTAACAGTTCTCTTAAGTAACTGGTTCAAGCTTAAAGAGTGTGGTACTCTCTGTGGTAATCAATATTCTCTTTCTAGACTACAACTTTTCATACGAGAGATTTGAAGATTGGGCTCGCATAGACATAGCACTAGTAAAAGTTGAATCTCCATATGATTTTGAAACTCCCATATCTCCCGAGTGCTCATGGGTTCCAAACTTAATTAATATTAGCTACGATGGGAGGGATATGGAAGAAGGCAAGGACGCCATGGCGCTAGGTTGGGGCAGCAGCGGTAAATGGCGTTCCGTAAGTTTTGTAACAAATTTACAGGTTTACTTTAAATTTACTTCGTTTAAACAAACAATTAGGACAAGCTTGCCAAGAGGCTTGTAGGTGACACGTATTTAGTAGAGGCAAAACTGCATAGCCTTGAACACCGCTATAAAGCCGCCGACTTATCGGTATTCTACAGGATATATCAAGGAGAGTGTGCGATGAATTGCATGATTTAACTTCGCCTTCCCCATTCCTTCATCGTGGGACTAGAAGGGAAGGCTAGGGTTCCACGCCTATGTTGTGGATATTCCAAAGACTATCGAAACACGAAGCACTTCGCTTCCACATTTATGTGGCGAACAGCAAAGGAGTGAAATTCCCTGCCTGCGCACTTCTTCCCCGAACGTTATAACTTGGACCTTTTCAACGCGAGAGTGACTAGACTATTTAAGTGAGCCAGGTGGGATGGAGATCAAATGCGCACCCATTTTCTTATAAAAAAACAATTTCGGTACATTTTAAAAGTCTAACGGTTTGACGTCCCGCCTCTCAAGCAGAGGCCGTGGGTTCGAATCCACACTCGCACTTCTGAGTTGCTCGAAATTTTAGTGCAAAATTTAATTTAAAATGTACTCCTTTCATTTACTTTAATTTGGTATGCACCCCGAATCTAAATTAAGATTATTTTCACATTCATATTTAGAAAAAGGACAGCAATGACTATAATAACGAACACCTGATGTACAGTCCTGTACGAATACAAAATAAATCACAATGTATGAAATATTACAAGAAAATACCAGCACTACTTAATGTAATAGACAAATATATGATTTGTACCATGGGAAGTGGCAATATAGATGATGAAGGACATGAAATCACAAAAGTACCACCGACTGCAGATGGTTGTATAGGTGAACCAGATCAGGTAAGAAAAAATAACTAGTTGTTTTATTATTCATTTGTAAAAGCACGAGGATCAAATTGAGACCCACGCATGTTCTAATAGAAATTTATAATACAATTCGAGCTAGATCATAATCCAAAATTATCTGCCTACAATATAATGTATGACCATGTTACCAACATCTAGATTAAAAAACATACTATTTGAATTGCTTGTCACAAATTGTTTTTATAATGTACATTTTTGACATTTAAATATTGAAATCTGCTTTCGACCCTCTTTGTATTTATTGTTTTGACACCATTGACTTACAATTATATGGACGTCGGGTCCGCGCTAAAAAGTGTCCGAACTTATAGGGCATTAAAATCGTATACAGAGCGTCATTCACGCTTTAGTCTTCGTTTGTTCCACTGACAGCGAAGCAAGCAAAATTAGACAGTACTGCGATGACATTTCAATTTAAATTCAACGTTTTAGCTTTTTCATGTTCCTTTATATGTCACTACGTTTAAATAGGTTGACTTGGTACATTTTTTTCGTGGTTTGTGTATTAGACCCGTCGTCCATTTATTTGTAAGTCAATGTTTGACACGCTTTCCTCCTTTTATTAAATCATAGTATTTTTTTGGTTATATTACTCAATTAATAAAATCCAATTAATATAATACGACTTTTAAAGTATATGCGAACATTGTATACTTTGCTATTCATATTTGTACGCCAATTGCCTATGAAAAAAAATTATGTAAGCTGTATTTACTTTATTAGTATTCAATTATTAGTTGCCTATCAGTATTCAAATACAAAATTAAAATTAAATAAGCATTTATAGATAAATGAGTAGGACATATTAACCATGACAATTCCATCCATTTATTTAGTAGCAGTAGAAATGTGTCTAATGATAATTGCAGTGAAAGAGTTCTCCAGGGAAGTACTGCCACCTAGGCTGTCGCCTAGCAGTAATGTCAGCATTACTGCGTTCCGGTTTTGTAGGGTAAAGGTGCTGATGAAATTACAGGCACATGGGACTTGTCAACTTATGTCTCAGGGACGCAGTGGCAATACCCTTCAGACCTTTGCGATTTAAAGCTCTGAGTGGCATTGCAACTAATATGGACAGGCGTGTAGCTTACCATCAGGTGCACGACTTGCTCGTCCCGCCACTTATTTACTATATAAAAAAAAGTTTTAATTTTGTAGGGTAAGGGTGCTGGTGAAAGCACATGGGACTTGTCAACTTATGTCCCAAGGTGACGGGCGCAGCGATTGTGCCTTTGATCTTTGATTTAAACTTCTGAGTGGCACTGCAACTGTTATGGACAGGTGTGTCCCGTCACTGGTGGGTGATATAAAAAACTACTATTCATGCGATATATAAAGGGAGAAATAGTCAGACCCCCGCTCCCTCTCCATTTCGATCGAGTACGATTACAACGTAGATATATATAGATTTTACGCCGGTCATATTCACCAACGGCGAGGAGGCAAAATATAGCAAACCCAAAAACAAACGAGAAAATTATTTTGTTTTTTTTTTTTCATACAATATTTTCAGTGTAATAACGAAATGCACCATGTAATTCGAAGTTCATATCGAAAAAACGCACAAAACTTCAACAATAGCAGTAGTAATGTCACTTTATCTGAGGAGCCCTTATTAGCCACGTATGGTTATAATTTACCATTACACGAGATACATAATGGGTCAATACAGAAACCGTTCCGGAGACAAGTAGAATTTATGCCTATAAAAAGAAATGGCATATGTCAGGTAAGATGGAACATTTTTGATTATTGCTAAGAGATACTAATTCAGTCTCTGGCACAGTTATGGGAATTTTGAAACCCATGATTATTTTGTCGGTGTTTGTAGAAATGGCAATATAATCGAAAAAATCGTAAAAATATTTCAGGGGTGCATGTTTTAGGTTTAAACGACTTTTAAAATATTTACGTACTGTTTTAAAATTCAATTTTGGGTGTAATAAAGTCCACGTTTTAAAGTTTAATTTAAAACAGGACGTAAATATTTTAAAACAATCGAAAACCCAAATCATGGTCCCATGAGACAATGTTTCTACAAAACACAGATGATTTGTAAAATACTGACTACCTCGCATGTTTATATATTACTAACATCATAAACAACAACTCTTGTTCGAAAACTTTTTACAAAACATAGTAAAATCACTAAAAATAAACTTTCAAGTTTTTATTGGACTATGACACTTTTAAGATCTGTATTTGGTAATAAGGTAGGAGTAAATAAATAAAAAATAAAATGTTTCTTTACTTAGGTATACATCCATTAATAAATTTAACATTACTTCTTACGTTACTTTAAATTACATAACAATTAAATTGACTTTTATTAACATTACAAAATTATTATTAATAATGAAATAAATAATGAAGAATGAAATTAAATTGAATTTACATTACAAATAATTTTAAGTAATTTGTTTATGTTTTAAACATGTATTGTTTGCTTAAAAAGTAAGACGTCTCGCAGACTGTATTTACAATAACATTGGCCGAATCACTCACTCTCGTAAGAAAAGACCAATGTCTCTTTCGTATTATGGCGAAAAATCATATACTCTATTAATAGCAAACATGCCAGACGCACTACACCGCCATGGAAGGCGCAGCATGTGCATTGTTTTGCATCGGATAGGTATTTACGCTAGCGAGCACTTTATTTTGTTACCGCACAAAGTTATCACCGTTCATAATGATCTATTTAAATATTTTTATTTTTGTATGTAAGTAAAATTTGATGAATGTTTAAAAGTCATGGAACAAAAGTTGTTCCATTTCAAGCGTTGTTTATTATTTAAACACTGTATAGACGTTGTAGCGGGTAAAGAAATTCAAATGCCAAATTAATGATGGAGCTGCCGTTATGGGTAAATTTTCGTTGTGTCGTCGTGTTTCGTTTCGTTTCGTTGCGTTGTAAAAAATCATATTTTTTCTCATTTAATGAGTTCGCAATTGCTTAGTCTTTATTGTAATAGGTATAAGTCGTAATTATAATTGTTAGCGTTTCCAAAGAGTGTGTCTATTGGGTTCTATGTTAACGTTTGATGGAAGATATGAAAGTGACATTGAAAGGAGAACGCAGGGAATCAGGTGAATGGTGCCTTGCATGCCTTCATGGGCAGCCTGAAAGTGTCTAAAAAGGCACTACTGACTGTGCATAGGTGCTTGTTTCTACACTAATGTATGGTAGTGAATGTTGGGTTTGGCAGAAGAAGCACGAAAGTCGATTTAATGTTGTAGAATTGAGAGCTTTGAGAAGTATGGCTGGAGTAACTCTGATGGGTAAATTATGGAACAGCGTGATAAGAAATCGTGGCAGCGTGGAAGAAGATGTAGTGAGAAAGATAGAGAAAGAGATGCTTAGATATTACAATAAATAAATAATATTATAATAAAATAATAATAACCATAATAACAACAATAATAACAACAACAACAACAACAACAACACCGGCACCGGCACCGGCACCAGCACCGGCACCAACACCAGCACCAGCACCAGCACCAGCAGCACCAGCAGCAGCACCAGCACCAGCACCAGCACCAGCACCAGCACCAGCACCAGCACCAGCACCAGCACCAGCACCTGCACCAGCACCAGCAAGATTACCAGAACCAGCACCAGCACCAGTGCCAGCGCCAGCGCCAACGCCGCCGCCGCCGCCGCCGCCGCCGACGCCGACGCCGACGCCGACTCCGACGCCGACGCCGACGCCGACGCCGACGCCGACGCCGACGCCGACACCGACACCGACACCGACACCAACACCAACACCAACATCAACAACAACAACAACAACAACAACAACAACAACAATTGAGGCCATACTAAAGAAGGATCGTGCGATCGACGAGCGTGTATGAAAGCACTGATGCGTGTTGATGAGGCGAAAAAGGTCCTTGGAAGACTGTTGTCTCTGCCAACCCCGATGGGAAAAAGGCGTGAGGTACAAACCCTATGTGCATAGCTAAGTAGGTCTGTCACTAAAGTCGAGTCAAAAATATCATCCTCGTTTTGATAGCTAGGAACGGCGATAAAACATAAGTTAATAATATTGTTCAAATAAGATAACAAACAAATAATTATTTAATTTATCTCCTCTATAAACACGAACGTGTTGATTCGGGTCAAAGAAATAGTATTAAAGCAAAATAAAATTAATAAAAAATTTAAAATAAAATTTATATTTGCATTAAAGTTACGACAGTTTGTAAACTGCCTCCGTGACCGAACGGTTACCAGGCCGGACTGCCACGCAGAGGTCCCAGGTTCGATTCCCGGGCCGGGAGAAATGTTTGTATAGCCTACATTTATTTCTCTCGTGAGTTTGGGTGTAATTTGTGGTTGTCTATATGTGTGTCCATGGCACCCGCGACACAGGGTTTCCCTAGTGCGGGGCTATGTTGAGTGTGTGCGTTATTTAAAAAAAAAAAAAAAAGTTTGTGGTTATTATACGGTTATGTTCTAAGGCTCTCTTTTTAACCTAGTGAAATTAAAATACTTCACAAAAACGTTCATTATTCTTATTTTTAAATATATGAATACTCGTAACGTTCCGTTACAATGTGTTACAATACTAAAATGATCTATCAAAATGATGGTAATATCTCGGCTCGACTGTAAGGGCGCCCATCTATTGGGCCACTAGAGGCGGCCACTAAATGCAACCACAAGTTACGAACGAGATTTTTTAATATATTATTTTGTATGGCATCGGCGCAAACTGAACGTTCGAGTCTAAGCCACAAGCTACGGGACAGGCTAGCGCTCGCTTCTTGCATCCCTCGCCCCCCGCGCACACTCGGCCACAGTCGCCGGATTCTCCCTGCCCGCCATTGGTGTCGTTTTAACGATTTAGCCGCTAGATCTAGGGAATTTTATGAATGTTTACTCAGCAAAAATTTGGTTTTAACGAGAACGAAATATTTTTTGGCCCGTATTAATGTCATTTCAATGAAAATTACAAATAAAGTTATACTCGTATGTGCTGTTTTCATGTCTTACACTGGAAACGCCAATGTCTAATTCAGTAAAATGAACGATTGCGATTGGTAGACCCATCTTAGTGGCTAGGCTCAGCTACTAGTGCTCGCGTTTAGTGTCTAGTGGCCCACTGGGCAGAGATACTAAACGATAAGTGAATGATTTTCAGAATGACCACGGTGGCCCTCTTGTCACCTGGGTGGGTGCTAAAGAAATAGTAATTGGTACAGCTTCCTTTTATTTGGTACGAAAAGGATTATGCGTTGGACCATTTCTTTTTACCAGTACTAAAGAAAATGGGGTATTCATAAGTTGCATATTGACCAAGTATGTCGATGACGATGTTGCAGAGTAAGTATACATCATCATAGTTTGAGTCTACTTAACTTTTTTAAATTATTTCTTGCATGGACACCATTATTCGTTCATTATGTGCCAAGTTTTATTGAATTCAACTAACGGAAAGTGGGTAAAATTCAATCATCCAGATTCATCCCCTAATCTGCCACCAGTAACAACGGAATAATATTCCGTTGTTATTTGAAGAACATATATTATATCTTCTTCAAATTTGAATGGAACCTCTATTGCGGGATCCCCTTTTCAACTAAAAAAGAATCATCAAATTCAATTTCCACTTATCAAATTAATCACGTAACATACACCCAAAAAAACACAGACAAATTCAGACCTACTCCTTTTATCAAGTTGGTTAAAAAGCAGTCGTTCCATAGTAAATGTTACGTACTTGCACCAAATGTAACTTTTGTATTACGATAGAAAATTGAGGGAATTTTCAGCTTCCGCTTACATTATTGTGTTTATTATTAAGTTTGGAGAAGCTTATGTTGTTAATTGATTTTGGTAACACCTGCCCTTAATAAAAGCTCCTTTGAATACCGTGTAAGCTCTATTAAATTAATTCAAGGGGTAAAGAAGAATATGGAGGAATTAATACGCCAGTCTTGTTTGACTTGGACATTTGCGATCTACCACCAGATCAAGTAGGTTTCGAAATAGTACAGCGACGAATTTCATGGCCGGACGACTTAAATAAAAACAAGTGAGTTTATACATTTATTTATAATTGGATAAATCACTGGATAATGACAAATGACTGGATAAATCGGGCACAAGATCGCCAAAAGTGGAAAAAGAAGAAACAGGCCTACATCCCAGACTGGATCAAAAAAAAGGCCGCCACGATGTCCAACCACGAAATACGAAACAATGATAGAAGACCGTGATTTGACGTAAGTATTTATGGATACCTTACTCCGGAACGTCAAATGACAGGTTTCGTACCGAATTTTGATATTGCTTTCATCGTAAAACTGACATGTAGTACGTATGAGCTTCGTTGCGGACGCAGTCCCGTAGTATCGTATTTCGTGGTACACCTCCTGGATCCGAACTTATAAGGTGCCTGTGCTTGCATAAGTATACAGTGCCTTCCCCGTATAACGAGAAGGTTGATAGGTTAGGTCACTATAAACAAAACTTATGCAGAAAGACTCGCCTACGCCTCACGCGCAATCGTGCGCTATCGCGTGTGATTGCTCGTGTTCGTTTTTGTTACAAAGGAAAGAGCGTCCTTGTAAAGGCTAATAGCGCAAGATAGACCGCGTGAAACTGGCGCGTGTGGCTCTTCAGTAGTGCGGTCTACGCGCGGTCTTTCCCTTTTCCTTCCAACGACTTGACACAAGCGCTCAATCGCGCACGATTGCTGTATCACGCGCGATAGAGTGTCTGTGTAAATCCCGCTATTACAGACGCAGGTTTCGGCTGCCTTTCCACCAGGGATATGCGACGTAGCAAGGCGGTGTGCGAAGAAAAAATCCACCAATAGGATTACTTTGTTTTCGTAGCGTCGCTTTACGGAGCTCCGGTAGAAAAGGGTTAAGGGAGCTAAGTATTTGTATACAAAATAGCGAGAGATATGTACGAAGAATGACTGCAAAACGGTGAAGGAAACTAGAGCTACTAAAAGTATGACACTAACACTGCTCACCCTACCACACCGTACCCCGCCGGCGCATAGCTGAAAAGAGTCCGAAACGTAAACGTAACTCCTAGCACCGCGCCGCTACACATCCTCGCACCGCCTCGCTACCTCGCACATCACTGGTGGAAAGGCAGCCTTAACCCTGTCAGATCGAAGCAATTTTTCTTTGTGTTTGATCTTTGTATTAATATTTATAGGTAATAATAGTTTGTCTTGCATAGCGAAAATCTTACGAATTTGATTTTATTGTTATTAATAGAACATATTTGCTTTTAGTTCCCGTGGAAAGCAAAATGAACCAGTAGAAGATTTGATTGAAAGGGCACAGGCGCTGATCAGTCCATTTAATTAACAACAAACGGCACCAAAGGGAAGAAATAGAACACTATTATTTAAGTATAATATTAAAAAAATGATTTTTTTTTTAATAATCACCTACAAAATCATCCTCCATTTGTCTACCGATGTAATAACTACTACAACCCTAGCTGTAGTTGTTTGTACCATAAACTATTAAAGAACATAGACATGCCCAAATTAAATTGAGACTATCCGCGCAAAAGTGGTGTAACTCATATTAATTTAAGATAATATGATACTAAAGTAAATATTTATTTTATATTTGTATGCTATTTTCATGTATAAACAATATTTAATGATTAAATTTTGTTCATACATGACAATAGCATCCAAATATAAAATAATTATTTACTTTAGTAATATTTTTGACAAAATATTAGGTAAATGTGGGTTTCATTTAAATATTTTACCTTTTTTTCAGCATTGCATCAAAGTTCTGCGTAACTTGTGATTTACAATACAATACAATACTATAACTGCACACACTCATAGCCCCATACTAGGGAAACCCTATATCGCGGATGCCATACCCACACAACCATAAATTACACCCAAACTCACGAGATAAATAAATGTAGGTCATAGAAATTCCGGCCCGGGAATTTAACCCAGGAGCTCTGCGTCGCAGTCCAACATGATAACCGTTCGGCCACAGAGGCAGTTGCATATAATACACACTATCCGACGTCTTAAAACATTTTTCACAAGGAATGTGTACGCATTTTTGCAGTCGAGTCAAAAACGGAATAAATTTATTCTCCTAAGAATTTAATTATTTATTCAGATGCTGTTTTAACATATAAATTTTCATACATTATGTTATACCATTACGTACTTAACCAATTACGAAAAAAAAAATTCATTTAAAAAGAAAATAGAAACTAAAATACTAAATAAAAATACATAACAAAAAACTCTAAGAAATTATAAAACAAAACAAAACCCCTTAAACTCAACCCTTAAAACAGTTGTGACATTCCGTTTGAACTCGTATAAAGTGGAGAAGTCGAGTGAAGAATCAGGAACTACATTGAAAGCGCTAAACGCCCAATGTATGTACATAAAAATGTATTATCAAATATATAATTACATGCTTCAGACCCAAGCAATGATGCCCTCAGTTTTAAATGAAAAACATATTTTTTTAGACACCCTATGGTCGTATAGAACATAAATAGGTAAACTTGAATGCGATATTGTCATTATAATGTACACCGGGCGTTTACGTGATCACCATAGTCTTTTTCTATATTTTTGACTATTCAAAAATTAACATGCTTGGGTTGCATGACGTAACATTCTTACACTAACGTCGCAGTACATTCATGAAATGTTATTTGTGTTAAGAAAAATATAATTTTTTTTATGAAAAATAGTGACAGACATAACATTAATACGAGGAATAAAAATAAACTAGCTGGTCTTGACAGTCGTCTTCACAAAGTCTCAAATTCATTTAAGAGGCAATGTATACGCTTCTATATTAAGATTCCGATTGATATTCAAAATTTGCCATTTACGAGGTAAACCTACAGTGAAACAAAAACTAAATATATACATTATACTAAAGGTTATTATTATACTCCGTCCAACCATTTATTTCACTTTTGACATATGCATGCCTCTGAAGTACAACAAAAAATGCAATACTTCCTGGACTCTTTTAGTTTTTAATTTTCGTGAAGCGACACAAATTGTACATAACTATAATAAAGTGGTATTATTTATTGTAATGAATCGTCGGATCATTCTCCAAATGAACAGGAATCGTCACTTGAATCTTCATTAACATTAATTATTAATTCTTGAGTACACAAATTGTCAAAGGCAACATCACGACGCCAATCAGACAATGTCTTCTTTTTTGATTTACTGCGTACTTAGACGACAAAAATCCGTGGTAGTAACCCGTTTAGCTCTTGCAGGCAGTCTCGATCTAAGGTGTTTAAATTAAATTGTAATGATAAATGTATTCATGCAATGAGCGACTCCTAGAATTTCTTGCTCATTCTTCGCAGGGGAAACTGCCTTACGAATGAGCAGTAGAGTTTAATCAGATTTCAAGTGTAATTTTCTTAAATATGAAATGAAGATTATTTGAATGAATGGATGAATGAATGAATGAAATGAATGAATGAATGGACGAATGAATGAATGAAATGAATGAATGAAATGAATGAATGAAATGAATGAATGGAATGAAATGAATGAATGAAATATTCTTTATTGCACATAAAATTACAATTAAAATACAATACAATAGCTTAAGTATAATAGTAGAAGTAAGTCAATGTGCAACAGGCGGCCTTATTGCTATGTAGCAATGTCTTCCAGGCAACCTTAGGATAGACATTTCGGATATGCAAAAGGGGTGCAACCAAAGAATATCATCATAAGTACACTACATAATAAGTAATAATAAAAATATATACATATCCATAGATAGATAAACATATAGATAGATATTTGACTTTGATGACTGAACGGAAAGTGGTCATGTGGTCTTGGATAATTACTGAGCCACTTCAGCACGGCAGAGCGCTATCAACTCGTGAAAAAATTTTGTAGTTGATTTCAATTTCTTTTTCAGGATTTTTCGAAGTAATTAAAAAAAGCTCTACGTGTATTTTTCTAATTTGAATTCCTTTACTACACTGGCACAATTAAGAGAGTTTATACCGCCGTACAGATCAAATAGCATATAGCATCATTTCTGAAGTATGCTGTTTGTATACGAAATCATTAATTTACCCGTAGATCGAGTAAAGCTGTTTTCAGCTACAAGTTGAAATTTCTTAGAAACATGTGCCGATAACTTTGTTAATTTTTCTGTTCATTCAGGCGTATAATTGAAAAATAGTTTCAGTGAAGAGAACTCTTACAGTTGTACGTTTTTGTAAGTTATCACAAATGGAATAATGCAATTTTACAATTTAATTTGCCTTATAAGTTTATTAACAAATTTTCCGAGTAAGTACATCTATTTTGCAGGACTTTCAATTTTATTTAGTTAACAATCAATATTTTGCTGGCAGTTTGAAATTTGACATATTCCGAAGTTCCGTAATTATTGATTTACAACCCTAGACAACAAAACGCAATACTTCGTGGACTCTTTTATATTTTAATTTTTGCGAAGTGACGTGCTCGCCAGCTCCGCAATTATTATTATATTATATTTATCGAGCCTACAAATTATGTAACGGAGATTATGCAAATTGATAAATTTAGGTACCTGTATAAGAAATTATAATGAAATTAAATAAATTATACTACGCTTTTCTAAGTTATCACAAATGGAATATTGAAATTTTATGATTTAATTTGCATGAGTAAGTACATCTATTTTGCTGGACTTTCAATTAAATATTTAGCTAACAATTAATATTTTGCTGGTAGTTTGAAATTTCTCATGATAATGTATATAGTTTAGACAATTTATAGACAATTTTTCTGCAAAATCACAACTTTTCTGGAGAGATTTAAAGATACCGCGAAAGAAATTAGTCGATCTTTTTTTTATTTAAACAGGAGAGTTACAAAAATTCACATATAACATAAAATGAATGTATCTCTTTATTAACCTCAAATTTTTCAAAAAACCGAAATATCCTTTTCATCACACTTGCTCGTAATCAGTGTCATGGCATGCAGGCAAAGTCGACCGTAATATCCTATATTATGCACACGGGCTTTTTCATTATATTATCGCTCTATGGATTTTTCACGGTAAGATTAAGCAACGAGTTTTTATGCTCGAAAAATCTGAACGTACATTTCGCATAAACTTAAAGTATAAATAAAACTAAGCATTTGCAATTTAACTATATTTTACTAAATTTATTTTGCGAATTCAAATTCTGCAGTATTTTTAGAATTTGGAAATGATTTATTTTATATTTAATACTGGCTTTATTACACATAGGTGTGAATTGTAGGTATATCTCTATTTTTAAAAAAGTCGCCGGTTTCAATAACTTCAATTTTTTTTTTATATAAATATTAGACTTCATTGCTCTGATCCCAAATTAAGTATCTAAAGTTCTTGTGTTATGGAAATCGGAAACAACGAAGGTACCATAAACACCCAGAACCGAGACAATAATTATAGAAAAGTTAATTATCTACATTGAATCGGCTGCCGGGGATCAAACACCACAAAGGTCAAGTGGTATGAATGCCTGCATCTCCACTTTTCTTTATTAAGTAATAAACTCTCATTTCAGCAATTAAAAATCAACGAAGAATAGTACATGGTAACTTTACAACAACACCCAAAAGGTACATGGTAAGTACAGTTTTGCTTTGGATTTAAACCTGTTACTCTATTATTCAAAATGTACCATCGATAAAGACTGTGTAATTTGAATTTTACTTACCAAATTAATGTCACGTATTTACTACTTACTATCTGTCGGAATATAACCAAACTCAACCGATTTAGCGATGAACTAAATCCTACCCCAGATGGAAGAATAGCGTAAGTGGATTTACATCAAAAACATTTATTGCTCCATTAGATACATTTATATATAACAAACATTAGTATTATAACCCACGTCCTCTCCAATTCTCGTAACTCTATCGACTAATATTGTAAATAAAGGTACAAGAATTGGAGAGGATTTTTGACGTAACTCCACACGTGCTTCCATGAGGGGTGCGAAATAAGAAACGTTCGTGGATTGATAATTAGCCTATTAACTCTTTGTTATCAATTCGTCCAAACTGCGGTGAAATAATAGCGGCAGTTGATTGCAATTAATTCGTTTAACCACTTTTCTTAATAATCACTTCGAAAGTACAAAAGACAAATCATCTTAGAGAAAATGGATTTTAAATATCAAAAGCCAGGCAAATCGAATCGCTGATGTTTTGTAGATTTATTAATAATTGACATGGTTTGAGGGAAAGAAAATAAAACCACTGCGTATAAAACAAGAAATAAATGTGTTTCGTAATTTAAGACAAGTTAATTAACAATATGGCACTGACATTTGTAATTTAACATATTTTACACAACAATAATTTTATACATCGCCATAATTATATATATATGAAGGATATTTTGCAGTTGGCCTGTGATGGCCTTGACTGCGCCACCGTTAAAGGGCGAGCTGAAGGCTCATAACCTGTTTACAGCCACACGGGTGTTTTTATAGTCGTGAACAAATAAGTGGCGTAGTGAAAAGTGGTAGGGGCGAACGAATGTCTGACAAACAACTATATTTCTTTGTAAAATTATGAATTAAAAGTTGATCTCCCACATGTTTGTAGCACACCTTACGTTTATGATCATTGTAGTATACTAATTTCACTTTATCCAATCGTTTGGTCAACGCATGCGCTTCGTTTCGACACATTACTTCGATATGCTACACTTCGAGCAAGCACGAGGCACGGTTTAAAATTGCTACATCGTTTTTATTTGTAAACCAATTTGAATTATACGAACACTAACAGCCTTACTTATAAACACTTTTTAACTTCAAATAACGCTTTAAACAATGTTTTAAAAATCTTATCTACGATCATTAAGTAATGCGAAATGATTGATTAATTTCTTGTTTAAAAAGCTGTCAACTTAAACACGTTAGGAACCTTGTTTAACTCGCTAACTAACAATGGCTGGCTGGCTGATGGCTGACATTAATCAGCTGTTAGCAGGTTAGGCGACTAACCACAGACATATATCTTGATAGATGCCGCAAGTGTACGTACTTCGCGTGCTCAAAGTAAGTGAAGTTCACTTAGGGTCCTATTCCAGAACTCTACTCAAAGCTCAAGTCAGGACTTGAGTATTGCAGTGAGCACTGAAAATCTTACTCAAGTCCTTGCCATTAGGGTCGTATTTTCAGTGCTTGAAATCATACTCAAGTCTGTTCAAGTCCTGACTTGAGCATTGAGTAGAGTTCTAGAATACGACCCTTAGTTGCCGCTGCTACACTTAAGAACGCGCTCGACTGTTATCGTAGACAAACACCAGTCGAAAACGTGAAAAATGCGTAATTGTGCCATTATAAACTGTAAAAGCACCATAAATGTGGGTAAACGGGTGAACAGAGACGTTTCCTTCCACGGGCAAGTGATTTTGTAATAAAAAGATGCATAATTTATTTTAAAAACAATTATTTTGGTTTTGTATGAATTTCGAGAAAACAAATATGCAACCGAGTGTATGCCTCATGTTTGTAATACATTGCGGCTTTTACTTGGTGCGATATATTTGTAATCCTTTATAAATACGTCATGAATATCGAACGAACGCACTTTTGTATAATGCAGTTTCGTGGTACAGGCGCTTGTAGATTTCTTTAGCCAAATTTAACATTTAGTGATGTATACGTTAGGTAACACTGTTCTCGATTCTGATCGATTTTGAAAACAAAGGGACGAAAATTATTATGACCTTAGCAATATTATAAAAATATTCTCTCTTTTATTATAACGTTTTGTTTTTTTTTTTCAGTTTTGTAGTATCTATGATGAGCAGTATCTGTAATTTCGATAATTTTTGCAGCACATTTACTCTAATGTCCGAATATAGTGAGCAAATAATTACATACATGGCCGGCGTACTACATAAGTACGAGTAATTCAAAAAAATATATAATGCTAGAATTAACAGTGCGCTGTCTTTACAAAAACCTGGAGTTGGTCATACATATGAATTCGTTGCTTTCGAGGACTAAGGTGGTCTAGTTTATCCCACCTAAGATGCTATCCAAATATGCAGAGTAGCAGAGTTAGAAATCAGAGAAATAATAAACAAATCACAAAAATTTCACACGAGGCCGTCATTAAGTAAACCTCCATTACCATATTTTGTCAGCAGTAACACTTTCATTTTTCTTGCCATTCATCAATTTGATCAATTATCAACAGAAAACCGTATAGTAAAATTAATTAAGGTAGTCACAAATTCATATATTGTCGTGCGTTTTTATTATTTAAGTTAACCGATAAGATCTTCAATTACAAAAAGATGTTATAAATAAGCTCATTTTATTGGAAGGACAATAATTTTAAAATTTGAAGTCGATTAAAAATTAAAGTCTTAATTTTTTTTAAGTAATCAACATTTTTAAAAACAAGTAGTTTGTACTAAGGACTTAACTATCTTATTCTAATATTTTTCTACTATATTAATATTACGACTACTTGTAATCAACAAATACTTGAACAAAAATTATTCTATTTAAAATCGATTAATTGAATGGAATACGCGTGTTTCCGCGTATTCCATTCAACCAATCGATTTAGAGCGAGTGGAAGGAGGGTATCATCACTAAATGTTCTTGTGACGTCATAGTGGGTACAAAAAATATGGCATGCTTGGTTTTCATACAAATTGCTGTACTTCCGGCGTCTATCTAGATATACGTCTGTGCGATTAACACACTGCACCGCCCCCGCGACGGTGCGCGGGACGCGGAATCACGCGCGCAGTAGCGGAGACCCAGGGGGTCTACTCTCGTTCTCCGTCTGACATCCATCCGAAACAATTACTGTCAAATAAATAATATTCGATAAAGTTAAAAGACAAGTATCCAGTATGAAGTTTTATTCGCATCATGCGTCTTTTCATTTAGTCGGATGTCGGACGGAGATCGAGAGTCGACCCCCTGCGTCAACGCGTGGTTTAATCTGCGCGGAGGCAGGCGATCTAGCGGCCCCGCGCTACTTAGTACTCGCTACGTAGTTGATCGCCGTAGTGATTGTACATGTAGCTGAAATCCTTCTTTGAATAAAATTGGTTAACAATATAGAATTCATTCAGGACGCTGCAGTTATACTATCTATTTCGTTTTTGTTTACTCAAATAAAAAGACACCGAAGATAACATTCAAGTTCATTACAAAGATTTAAGAAAATATGAAGACTAGTTTTTCAACTACACACGTGTGTCAACGGAATCCTTTGATTATTTGTTACGGAACATCCGAACGACAATTATTAGAATAGACTCAAATTGATTAAGAATCTGCGCGGTAGTGCGGAGCGCAGTGAGCCCATACCCTGGGGTTCGCCGCGCCACTCGGCCCGGGGCGCCACTCGTCCCAGGGCGCGGCAACGCGCAAAGGCTTTTTTCCTGTGTTTGGTCTTTCTATAGCTATTTTTAATGATTTAATCTTCTAACGTTGCCTTGGTAATTATTTTTTCTTCATTAAACATTACTTAAATAAGCAGTGTTAACTTTTTTTATAGGTAATAGAAAGTTAAATAGTGCTTAAAATCTTAAATAATGCTTAACTAAATATTGATTAAAGGAATGTTGAATTGTTTTTTATTAGTAAGGCTGCAATTTTACGCCAAACTTATTTTAATACACTAAGAAAATTACAACTAAATTGACTTAGTCATTGTGGAGATTAGCGTGCACAAACCTACAAATAAACAGATTTTTAAAAGTAATGGTTTAGGTTTATTAAATATATCCTGAGTAATAACATCCAAACTGTAATGTGGATATAATAATATCCAAACAGTATCTATACAGTTTCTTTATGATTTTATTGTGATTAGGTATATCTTACAAAAGCGGAACAATCGCCACTCATATATGACAATTGGATATGTGGTGGAGCAATAGTAAGCCCATTCTTCATCGTAACGTCTGGCGCATGCGTGGAAGACGTGCAGTTCATGTATGCCGTGGCTGGCTACGACAGATACGTAAAACCGAGTTCTAACAACTTTACAAAGGACGATTGCATTAAGTCGTCCAAGAAGAAAGTTGTTTTCACATGTACCCCCAAAAGTACGTAAGTATAATCAACGAATTAGTACAAAATTATTCTTCCTTTGTCTACCTGTACACATACATATTTTTTTCCTTGTCATACATATAATTCAAATATTGACCATGAGCTAAAATAATTTTCTGAACATTGACAAATATGCGAATCAATAGATGGCATTGCGTGTTGCAAAATTATTTATACATGAGGAATGAATGATGGATGAATGACTTTAGAGGTCAGTTTTTATAGTACTTTTGATTCTATTCGAGTTGGAAATTGTATTCTAATTAGCTATTTCTAAAAAATACCTTCTATTTTTCTTTTTATTTAATAGAAACGATTAAAAAATATTATTATTGCTATAAAGGGCACAATTAACTTAAATGTGACTTTTAATACTTATAAATAAAGGGCACGATTGTAGCCAGTTGTGCCATTTTCGTGTTACTTATGAAGTAATTGTAAATTAATTACATAATAACATTTTCGTACATTATTTAGAAAAATCCTTTGCTGTTACGTGTGTTTAACGTCAACTCAATTATGCGTCCCACTTTGCTGCTAGGTCAATGCGTCCCACTGATGGCCATCGGTCTCCTGTCAGGGCCTCTTAAGTCTCGTCGTTAAAATAAATAATGGACTGCCTGTAAAATAAACAGACTGTATACTTGACACATGCCAATTTATCTAAAAGGAACAAAATACAAATTCACCAAGACTTGGCTTTATGGATTTAAAACTTTGCCTGTTCGGAACGGAACGGAGTACTGCCACCTTACCTATTTCTGCTGCCAAGCAGTAGTGTGAGCATTACTGCTTTCCGTTTTCTAAGGATAAGGGAGCTGGTGAAATTACACGCATATGGAACTTGTCAACATATTCAGAGCCTTACATTTTTGTGATTTAAAGCTCTGAGTGGTTCTGCAACTGTTATGAACAGGCGTGTCACGTACCATCAGGCGCACGACTGGTTCGTCCCGTCACTTAGATTTTATTGAAAAAAAAAAAACATTTTTTTACATTACTTTTACAGAATCGGAATAGCTCGGAAAAAATTTGGACGTTAGGAGAAGATCATTCTTCAATAACCTATTTTGCCATGCATTATCCTAAACTACTCTCTTGCACTTAGACATTATATAAAAATCGTTTATTATTAAATACAAAATTAATCTGTAACCCAGTGCAATGTGGTCTGGCACTATTAAATAAAATGTATAGTCTAGTTGCATGAAAATATGGGTCAATTGTGTACAAATAATTTAAATTCTTGTCCCGCGCGGTGGTAAAACGTTCAACCACAGACATGTCATGGACGATAAAAATTTGCATGTATTTGTTTACTGCTGAGCGTACATGCATGTGTTACATCTATCGCAAATTTGTCCGATAAATTTCAGATTCATAAGACGAAGTTTAACTTTGATTAAGCAAAAAAAAAGTAAGTAAGTTTTGCGTATTTACGAAACGAACTGCCCAATTTAAGCAAGAAATTACGAAGTAAACTCAAAGTTTAATTTAATTTCTTGCTTAAATTTAGGCAAAGTTCGTTTTGTAAATGAGAAAAACTTGCTTACCTCAACATTTTTGCTTAATAGAAGCCAAAGTTTGTTTTATAAATCTCAACCATGGACCAATAACTCAAAAGGACAGCTAATTTCCATGCGAGCAGTAGCGGGCCGGTGAGGCGCGGCGGGTAGGGTAGACTTGTCAGGAAAGGATCCGTGTGCTGCATTTTAGTTTAGTCGATATTGCGTCTTAAATTTCACTTGTCATCGACATTGTATGTGAATCAAACTAGATGAGAAGCTAATTGAAAGTGTCAAAAAATTTCCATGTTTATGGGATACATGACTGACAACATACAAATGCAATGAATCCAAAGATGTGAAAAAAAGCGCTGCTCTTTTTTTACCGTACTCTTTTTTGTTACATGACGTATAATCCCTCCAAGAGATTGAATTTGACTGATCGAAACACGGCTCAATGCAGCTCTGGTCTGCTCAGCTCAGCTTCAATGGAAACAATTGCCACTTTTCCCTATCTACTGACCCGAGAGATAAAGTTTTCCGGAGAGACTACGGATTCGACGGCAAGACCAGGGCACAGCGGGCCCCGGACCAAGCCCTCCGCCAGTAATACACCTTTGCGTACTTGGGTATGGATTCACTGGGGTTTGTGGATAACTGCAGAGACGGACATGTTTGTCTGCCCCGGTTGCATGTGGCCGGGGCGCCTGTCTCGTGAGCAGCTGGCGCGTCTTAGTAGCGGTCTAGATGAGGGCCTGAAGCGAGGAGACGCGCGGGGCACGTGATTTGCCCTTTAAGTTGGAAGCTATGTCCGGACATTGTCGCAGGACATTGCGACTGCCATCTCCGGCACTAGCCCGAAGAGCTAGTAGAGGATAAGCTAGATATCCTCCGATCTCTGCAGTCGCTTAGGTTAATGGGAACTGGAGAGACGTCCTTTTTCGGCGTCGGGAAGTGAGCGTGCCTTACAGCTGCGCCACCAATGAGGAGATTTGGTAGTGGACTGAGAGTCGACGGCTTAGCGGTGGCAACCGCTAGTTGTGCAATGCGCAACGGGAAGTGAGCGTACCTACAGCTCCGGTACCTATCTGGAAAATAGGGAGGGTACTGTACGTGCTCCCGAAGCGGCTCACCCGACGCACTAGCCTCTCGAAAAACTGGATGAATTCAAGTGACAGAGGTCTGTAACAACCCTGTACACTGGCTGATTTGGGGTCAGAACCTGAACTTATAAGATTCCTGTGCGCGCACAGGTCATAGTGCTCTTCTCGCATAACCAAGAGGTTGATAGGGAGGGGCACTATAAACACAACTTATGTAGAATGATATGGGACTGCTCTTCTCCGCTCGACTCCAACATGGAAACGCATCCTTAGAGTAGCTATGATAAATTGCTCATCAATGTAAATCAAATTACTTACAAAAATAAGCTATTTTGTACTCGTCGCGACATCTGGTGTAACAGTAAGTACTAAATACCCGACTACGCTGTCTTGCAATGCGACTAGCAGTCCTCTCGACTTATTGGTCCATGATCTCAATCAAAGATTTCGGGAAAATAGCTTAAGATAAAAATCATTATTACAAGATTTATTATTATATTATAAGTAAGGTCCATCGACTATATAATCAGAAATAGAGACGAAATAAAAGCCATACATTACTGGTAACTCATCAGTGATACATCACTTGTAAATATCAACTCTCGTTTGCACTGAAATATAGACAGCGCCAACACCTGACCTGTGTGTACGTCTCCGTATATTCCAAAAATATTCTGTATTTATTGTAATAAAGATAATTATCTCTAACAATGGGGTGCTGTTCCATTCGGTGGTGTGGGGAAAAACAGTAAAACATCTAATTACAAAACAAACGGAATCAGATTTCATCGGTAATTAAATATTAAATACGTAATTTAGCAATTTTCGTCCATTATAATAAAGCTCAAGTTAACTGGTCCATTTGAAGTGAAACAATTGACACTCATTGACGACACCCGTCAATTGTTTCGAATTCGGGCTGACCAACCGGAGCGCTGTTATCATAGTAATCAATCAGAATGGTTTTCAAACAAATTAAATGACATTTCATCTCTATTTCTGGTTATATACTCGATAGTATTATCATCATTATCATCAACCCATTTATACATTACACTGCTGGGGACTGGTCATTTTCCTGGTCGGTTGAGGTCATAATCCGTCACGCTGGCCCATTGCGGATTGGGGGCTTCACTCTTTAATTTTCCGAGAGTTATGAACCTTCATCAACGTGCAGGTTTCGTTACGATGTTTACAGTATTGCTGCTTAATATTTACAAATATATGTAACTTATAAGATCAATTGGTTTATGTCGCTGCTGAACCGTTGCCCTCTTGATGGAGAAAGAACCGTTTTCTCACTAGGTTACTACTCAATCATATCACGTCTATTTGATTCTGAATGTAATATATAAATATGATCGATGAAAAACAAGGTAGGGAAAGACAGGGATAAGTTGCAAAGGTTTTACAAGGAACACCCAGAAATAATATACAGCAAAGAAACATAATATATTAAAATAACCACAACGATCTAACCAACCGATCATCTTCTCTACTATCCTGATTTATTTATTCCTATACAATAAAATAATCCTTACAAGAAACTGAGTCGATCAGCATTGTAAATAATTTTTGTCAACATTATTATTTTTTATGAACAACTCACGATTGACCAGTTGTAATTGACTAGGTATATCAAAAACAATGGCGAACTCCCATACAAATTTTTGTTGACATAATTTGTATGCATCTGTTTTTGAAAACTATGTGTAAATATACAGTTTAAATTCCTGAACAAATTCTGAGAAGTCTGGAATTCAAGATATTCCATATTGAAGTTCAATTAAATTCAATATATTTATTTGCATTCCACAATACACACACACACACACACACACAAGGTGTTATATAGTACAAAGATCACATCATGGACCCTCTCGGGCACAACAAAGTAGAACGGAAGAGTGTAGGTGATCTGTTTTCGAATTTACCTTTTTGCTAAAAGGTTTCGTTCAGGAATTCTTAATGAATTCCTGATATTATAACATTTATTTATTAATAAGTATTTTAGATTTTTTAAAATATTCTATTCTTGCTTTCATTCTTCAGTACATCAGGCAGTTAATAAAATATTTTTTTATGGATATGAGACGTATGGGCTAGAGGAATATGAGTTTTGGAGGTTATGTTTAACATAATTAAATAAATATATTTGGTGTATTATTATATCAAAATAAAGTATAGAAGCCTTAAACTGAGTTAATAGAAACTTAATGGTGCCGTGGGTTTGTGACGTGACCAAAGTTTAGTGGAAAATATTTTTATTTTATTTCACAAAAAATGTCAATAAATATATTAATGAATTTATTTTGTTCAAACTTGTACTGATGACATTCAATTTGAAGACGCTTAAGAATTCATTTGACAATTACTTCGCCATTGTTCTTTGTTTTCACAAAAAACCTAATAGTTTCTAAGACAGTTTTCGTACTTCTCCTTTGGTTTCGGATTTCCCATACTGTCCAAGTTTAAACTATCACACTGCACTTATATCTTAAACACATATATATTATAATGTATAATTTATTACTTCGCGTTAAGACAAAAAATTCATTGGAGATGAAACTATATTTCCGGATTTAAATCGCGTATATTTGTTTTTTCAAACAAAAAGACATTTCGGGCCCTTTACAAGTCCCATGTTCACGGTTGACTGAGGTGGTACAGTCCTCAACCAGTTATGTCTAATATTAATGCAAACCACTCTATTTTTTCACTATAGTTACAAAAGTTATTAATTAAATACCTTATTTTTAATTTTAAAAAGAAACATTCCAATTTACGCTACATTACGTTTTACAAATTATTTTATTGAATGAATTTTTATTAAGTTCAATTTATTATTAATTAATAATGGAAATTAGAATAAATTAAAACATATTAATTAGTAATGCAGTCTTATGTCCATTTGGGATTTATCATCAGAGGAAATACAGATGAAAAATAGTTTCATTTCCTATGTGTAACAATCGCGAAAACCTAAGAAGTGGATACGAAAAATTCAGTTCTCGGCAAATAATGCCACACGCTGTAAAGAAAGTTAAAAAGTAAAAGGTAGGTACGTTTTATACTAGATTGCCCTGGATCGTGAAGACTACTGCCACTTCTCAATCTTGCACAGCTAAATCAACACTATTGATATCGATCTAGTTTTGACAATCTCACCTAAACATTTGCCAACATTAAAACACGAAAAACTTTGTTTTAGAAATCTATTACGTTTAACATTTGAATTATAATATTTAACTATGTGGTTACAAATTTTAGATTACGAATTTGCATATAACGATGTCGACAAATGGTCCAATATAGACATAGCTGTAGTAAAAGTGGAGTCGCCTTATGATTTCGACGGCGAAAAAGCTGCACAAATTTGCAGTTGGGTACCTGGTCCAATTGATATAAGCTTTGACTATAAACACTCGGAACCAGGCAGAGATGCCATGGTACTTGGATGGGGACATTCTGACAAATGGCGAAAGGTAATTCTTTAATAGGTTTTAAGCCCGGCAGCCACTGTGGGGCGAGGGATACTTCCGTAATGCTGCCGTCCGCTAACCAAAACGAAGTTAAGTTTTGTTAAGTGACAAAATACTTTTTGAGATATCATAATGTTGAAATTGTTTAATGATATTTCAGGTATGTATCCGATAAGTCAAACACGTTAACTAAGTTTAACTGTTTTTAAAAAAGAATTTTGTGCTCTATTTTTTGCTATTTAAATCGGATATTTGACCATTTGTCACTTAACCACGTTTTAATTAGTGGAGGGCAGAATAGCAATTATGCCGAGGTATCATTAGGAACGCCGAAGTATGTCGTCGCGACATCGTGCTCGCGCCTAGTCTCCATTCATATCGTGACGTTAAACGTAAAAGCCTACCGAAGCACCCGAAGGCTGCCGAGGCATTCCGGAGGCTGTGGGCTCAGGGGGTCGATTCAGAACCTTGCGATAACTCAGTTATCGTACCATATCTATTCATTTTTATTCACAACATTTGAATCGAACGTCAAAATGTCGTATTCGAAACCGAACCGAAATGACGTCACACCCGTACGATTACTTGAGCCTCTCGACCGGCAAAGACTGCAAACAATATTCAGAACACAGAAAGTTACCGAACGTCCTATTGTTTATAAAGCAAGAATGTAATAAGGAAATCTTTTATTATTTCAAAGAAAGTCTGGATTTTGTTCAATTTTATTAATTTATTTTAATGCAAAAGTAATTCATTCCCTTAGAATAATAACGCATAGAAACCCAGTCCGCACACGCTAAGTGAGGCAAATTGAAGCGCGCCCAATGGGCCTACACGAGCGGGCGGGCCTTCAGTGCTCAAGGTCAACTTGCACCGCGAACAGATCAAGACTTTTAGCTAAAAATGACGAAATGTGCGGTAAATGAGTGTAAAAATACGTCAAACAAACATAAAATAGACACTAACATCACATTCCATAAGGAAATAACGCGTTTCAACTTGTATTTTTATATAAATATTCACTAAAACCGAAAATTAACCTACTACTAAAACTAGCCTACGCGAATTTGATTTTGCCTCACTTGTGACAGTTCGTTTCATATGAAACTATCATTCTATGCGTTATTATTCTAAGTGCATTCCTATATTTTAGGCCTTTAAAGTCTTAAAAATAAAATCATTTATGATCATTTATAATCATTATAAATAAAATCAAAAATAAAATCCTTTTATATAGGATTTCATTTTTCTTATAATCTATATTCGCTGACTAACCCGCAAACGTTGTTGGATAACGATATCGTATCCGAATCCGAATCGTACGTTTAACTCGAATGTTCTGAATAGCTCGGAAAGCGCCCTTCGATTCGAGAACAATATCCAATCGAACGATTCGGTTTAAATATCGAAGAGTTATGAATCGGGGTCCTGAATCGGGGTCCTGAAGCTTATCAGAACTTTGTTTTCGTAGCTACGTATCGATGCCTCAAATGAACACTACGCCAATTTAATTTTTGGCCCCGATCTGTTTTTTATTTTGTTTTTGTTTCTTCATTATTTTTTTTTCACAAAATTTAGGTAACAAACTATTAGTAAGTAAATATGGCTGTTTATAAAAATAACAGAAAATGACCAAAAAATAAAGTTGACGTAGTGTTCATTGGAGGTATCGGTATTATCGTACATTAAGGTTCGTAGTATTATTAGTGTTAGTATTCCTATTCGTCACCTAAAATCCCTAGTCCCTAAAAGTCCCGTCAGTGGGCGCCGGGCCTTAGACCTGACAGTTACACCATATTATATGATGGGAGATATCTTAAAAAACTTTTGTAAACCTTTCCGTCTCTCTGCTTTCCGGTAATTAGTGTCGTCGGTTTCATTTTAATTATAGTTAGGCTCAACTCACACTGGCGCTGAAGCGCGAAGCGTTGCGTCGCGTCCTGTTTTTCAACTACACTGCCTAGTGACGCGCGTCAATGCGCATCGACGCGCGACGACGCTCGCATTAGTGCACCGGTATCGCAGTGTGATCGGCGTCTGACGCCTCACGGCCCCCAAGTGACTCGCAGCGACGAAGCCGCTCGAATGCTACGAAGCGTCGACACTCGATTCCATATTTGCAAAACACAAATGTGTACCATAGTAATGGGAAAATAGAGATAAATATGCTATAGGCGAAAAACATGACGCGTCGCGATGCGTCATGTTTTTCTACTATGCGCCAGTGTGAGTTGAGCCTTAGAGGAACTAAATTAATTAGCTTGATATGATGGTCAAAATCTGCATGTATTATATCGTTGTCGGAACTGTCTCTCACTATAGTAGGTACCAACCTATATAATAAATTTTGTGTAAACACGCTTTGAAATTTAAAAACCCTGGTTTGGATATTTTTGATCCAAGATCATTGATAGAAATAGTAATTCAACTTGTACTACGTATTCCTTTGTCGCTGTTTTATAAGTATTTTACTTATCATCAGCGAATCTTTCTTCTTACTTTGAAAAAGGTGACAGCAGGACTTTCTAATGCAATTTGACTGTTATCTGTTTTGTTGTCCATATAATTAATATACAAATAATCATAGTAAATGAACTATTTTTTCTAGGATCGCGTGTATTTGTTTTTTTTTTCTTTTTTTTTATCATTTCGGTCTCTTTACAAGTCTCGTGGTTCAAAATTAATAATACTGTCTTTTCAGGTCAGAGATAATAAAGACTACAACTCGGAAAAACTAAAATATGCTGCAGTACAATTGCTTAACAAAACGACATGTAAATCTATGTATAAAAATTTGCCAGACATGGCCCCCATAATAGATAAGTATATGATCTGCAGTGACCAACCGGGAGGCATAGACGATGGAGGAAATCAGATACAGAATGAAAAAGTAACGCCACTGCTAAATGGATGTATTCAAAAAATCAACCCTGTCACAGGAAGAATGAACGAAGTAAGGATCATATATCGCACTGCTATTACAATAATGTTGTAACCCAAAATATGTGAAATTCAAGATTATACCATTGCTGAAAGTAAAATTTGATTCTCTACACGTTAATAAAACCGTCGTTAATATATTGTAAGAAATAATGAAAAGATATCTACTAAACTGAAAATAAGACAAACTTTATGTGAGCTACTTCTGGACAAAACAGTCCTTACTCAAAAATATGAAATTATTTTTTTCTTTTCATTCCTAAATATATTTGGCATGTAGGAAATTGTTTAGATACCTATCTGTAGTAAACTTTAACATATCCATATAAATCGTTCACGGGAAGTGAGTAATTCGTTTTTTATCGACATTAAAAACACTCATTTTGAGTACATTATTGTACAAACAGTGCGATCTTAATATCACCAAAATCTAATTAAAAAAAGAATAGTAACGTAGTATAAAATAAAACAAGTACTCTGACTCAGCGCGTCCATGTTTACAATTCACTCGAAATAGAGGGTTGTCACATTATTGTTTGATTTTTAACTATAAATTTTATTCTGAGTGTAATTTGAAAGAAATAAAGCGTTCATCACAGTATTCTCGTGCTACATCGACATAATCTTGATTAAATGCTGAATAACTCTGAATTTGAGGCATTCTTGTTTGAACAACCGTAAACACAACAACAAACACGTCCACTATTTGATGTTATTATTTAAACACCGAGTGGACGCTTCAATTCTGTAATAAATGGCGCGTGTGACAACTGCGCTATGCAACTCGAGTGCACCGTGAGATTATGCGAATGTGTGAGTAAGTACACGGCGCGTGGTGAGCGGCACTGGCCAGTATGCACATATACAAGCGGCGCTGCTAAGTTTGTATGGAGTTAGACTACTTATATAATATAATACTAGGATAGTAATAATACCTTAGAGGATGGCAAAATAATATTGGTTACTATAGTCTAAGAGTAATACATACAGGTTATCTGTGATGCTGAAACTGTTTGCCGGCAACACCTTTGGCGTTAGTTTACGGTATTAACACCGCAAACTCATGGCAGAGAACGTATATGCCACGCACAAGTTTTATTCTTCGTTTCTGTATGATAACTAATTTGGTAGGCACTAACGATAAATTTGTTACTTGTTAACAAAAAAAATTAATGTTAACGAACCCTTAGTTGTGGAATAATACAGTTTTTTCTATTATGGAGAAAACAATAACGTTGACCTCTTATTCTTAACATTTTACCTTGCGCTAGGTTGCGTCTTTATTAAAGTTACAAAATGAGACAATAAATTATGTTTAATGTGAGATATTTAAGGATTTATTTCGCGGCAACTTCGCAAAAATAGAATCCAATTTCATAGTCCGAGCACAGTGCTGATGCGTTTTAGATAGCTGGGATTTGCCTCGGTCCTGAGTTTAATTGTGTTATTTATACGTATATCACTTAAGATGCCTACAGATTTGCTCGATTTTTTTACTATCGACACGTGATGATCTACAAAACAATGTGATATCGATCGTCTGCTTCTTACACATTACTCAATTTTGTTTGATCACATATCGTCTGCTTAAAGGTAAAACCACATAAGTAACATTTCTTCATATAGGTATGGTAAGAAAATCACTATATTTCTGCAGGTGAAACTCAATAACAAAAAAGCTATAAACTCTATGAGTGGTTTTATCTGCAGAAAGATGGTAATTTTCTTACAAGGGGTACATAATTTGGAGATTTTTTGTGGATTTGTGGAATGTCACTTATGTGGTGTTACCTTTCAGCAGACGATATGTTGATCGACAAAAAATACGATATCAATCAGTACTAATCAATAGTTCAGTCATCGAGTATATAACCAGAAATAAAGACGAAATAAGGGCCATATATTCCTGGTAACACATTAGCGATACAGCTCTTATAAATATCAACTCCCGTTTGCACTGAAATATAGACAGGCCAACTACTGACCTGTGTGTACGTCTCCGTATATTCCAAAAAATATTCTGTATTTATTGTAATAAAGATAATATCTATATAATGCCGTTTTGTTCTATTCGGTGGTGTGGGAAAAACAGCAATACATCTAATTACAAAACAAACGGAATGAAATTTCATCGATAATTAAATATTAAATATGTAATTTTGCAATTTTCGTCCATTATAGCAAAGCTCAAGTTAAATGGTCGATTTGAAGTGAAACAGTTGACGACACCCATTGACGACACCCGTCAATTGTTTCGAACTCGGGCTAGCCAATCGGAGCGCAGTTGTCACAGTAATGATATGGCAGAATTTTTTCAAACAAATTAAATAACATTTCGCCTCTATATCTGGTTATATACTCGACGTTTAGGGTGTACCATAGATAATACGATCTTAATTCTGAACTAAAACGAGCGCCTTTGTGGTATAGTCGGGGATAGTCCAAATCCGCGTATGTAATAGTAAAAGACTCTTATCTACACTAAACCGAAATTTTACATGAGAGTAATTTAACGTTACTTGTTAGTCCAGTCGCAGCCATAGGGCTACGACTTTCATTTTTGCACAGCAAGCATTAATTGATGTTGCCTACGGACTGATAACAATATATTTCCACCACACTAATTGTGTGGCAACGACATTTACGCTGATTTCATTTGGCAACTAAATTACCGAAATGGAAACTCATAATCACAATGCTAGTTCCGCGGAATTGCACTATCTCCGACGATATGGTTCATAAAATTATAATTGATAGATTAAACTACAAAAAGTATTACAATATTAATTAGTTCGCTTATGGAGATATATAAAGAAGGTATATGCCAAAGTAATCGTATTATATGTTCCAATACAAAATAATACCTGTAAATAAACTACATTCAAGAACAATAATTAATTTACTTCCAGTGTGTGGACGAATTTGGAGCTGACCAATTTCATCAAGCGTATGACATTGTACGTGGCGTTAGAAGAAGTGACAATTTTAGAACAAATAACAGTAGCAAGAACAACACCAACAGTATGCCGCTTCCCGGCTTTGATTACACAGCATACACCTCTTACGGTTATTTTGGAAATTATTCTCACTTAAGGACACGAAGAGAAAATGATAACTTGACATCCAATCTGACTTTTTCTGAACCCGTAGTCGGACCTACACGAAGACATGGCATATGTCAGGTCAGTCTACGTTATTAGACTAGCCTATATTATCAAATAGAGCAACTATTCTATAGCAAATACTCCAGTCTTCGAGGTAATTGAAGGCAAAATCGTTTGTTGATGTAAGTAGTGAGTATTTAAACGTATGAAATTAAAGAACGTATTCCAAAACGATGTTCAAAGAAGGATGGTGACATCCCGTGTATTTTGTGACCGTGTAGTTTGTGTTTTTGATGACGTGCATTAATGAGACCTATCAATACTTGTGATTTATTATCATAGCATCAAAAAAGCTAATTAAATACAGCCTGTAGAAGCTGGGATTATAAAGTTGATATAGGTTATGCTCATTACATTGTCATCATGTACATATGTATATGTTTGTTCGTAGTAGCAGAAAACACCAAGTTTTCAGTCTGTTCCCAAAAATAGTAAAGAACTTGCTGAATATCCCCAAATCTGCCAAACTTTGCCACATTTAACACAACGTTAACATGTTCTGAATCAAGTGCATTGTGTTCTTGCATTTGTTCTAAAATACATTGTTATACAATTTCTTTATTCCCGATTTCTAAAAATATACAAAAATATATTGATAACTAGGCATAAACTAAAACGTAAAATCATACTAGCAAAGTCCATGAACGGTTCTTCGTTGATTTTATAATTATAATAATAAATATAAATATTATTATATAAATATTATTTATAAATAAATAGTATGTGTATGTTACGCGGTTATTCCTGTTTGTGAACCGATTAAAACCCATTAAACGCCCAAAATCATAGACAAAAAGTATTTACAACTAAATAGTTGTTGTAAATCGAGTTTTGTTAAAATTGGTGATTATTATTACAGAATATTAATTGATTTCTGATCTAAACTATTCGGTTTGTCTTTCAACTGAATTAATTCATCAAATCGATACAAAAAATCGTTAGATCGTACGCACTTGAATCGATCTTTTTAAAAATCGAATCGCAATGGGCATCCTTAGTAGCGAGAACCCACAGAATTGCAAAGTTGCTTTTTTTCGTCTAAAAAAGATTTTTTACGTCGAAATTGTAATAAGTATGGAATTATACTAAACGTTATCAATACTCCGAAATGATATTTTCCACAAATAACGTTTGCTCGAATTTTCATAACCTCGAAAGTAAATTATGAGAGGAATTTTTTTTTTCTTTTAAACCTAACTTAACCTAACCTAAACGTACCTAATCGTGTCTTTGCGATAAACATTCAACATACCTTGAAAGAACAACGGTTTCGTTATAATTCGAGTTTGTGATAAGTTACCTGACTAAATTCCGCATTCGTCGTTCCTGCCCACGATTTTGGGCAGAAATGGGTTAAAACTCAGACGGGTTGATTGGTCTTTCACGCAACACATCGTGTAGCATCGCTCTCAGGTGATTATATTATTGGCGGTACTGCCCCGTCTTTTGACTATTAGAAATACACAAATAGCTATAAAAATTCACTGTAAGTAATGTTTTTCCTCGTTTATGTTTAGAATGACCACGGAGGACCTCTCGTAACTTGGGTCGGATCACAAGAAATTCTTATCGGGGCTGCTTCAGTGTTTCTCGTAAACAATAACTCTTTATGCATTGGACCTTATCTCTATACCAGTACTCAATGCAACGGAGCATTTTTAGGCTGTGTTTTGGAACAAGAATCCACTGAAGAGAACATGTAAGCACCTTGTATTCTTAAAAATACTGACGTAAGGATCAAATTTCTTTGCTACTGTTTGTGGTTGCGATAGAACAATTGAACCAGAGAAAATGGAAATTTACTAATATTGAAATAATGTAACAATCCACACCAATTACCTGGTATTCCGAGGCACTACCAAGAACAAACAGACCAGAACCAATTTAGACTACTTCATTTCCCGAATTGGTACTAGCGGGAATCGAACCCGGAACCTCCACATATAATGCCCAAACATGCAAATTATCAGGCCACTGACGCCCCAGTTCACACGGCAATGCACAGCACGCTTATTTGTAGTATTCGATAAACGTATTTAGTGATATGCGTTTTATGCAATTGCAACTGTTCTATTATAAATTATTATGTATGCGCACCACTGTTTATTCGGTTCGGATTTATATTGCAAAATACGTGCAATGCAATGGCCGTGTGAATGGAAGTCAATCTTCAAAATTCCTTTTCGATGTACCATACTTCCGCTTTCAGCTTTCATTTTAAGTCCAAAACCCATTGCCCATTTATGCCATAGTAACCTAATAGTTTGACCTACCGCTTCTCAAGTAGAGAGGGTCGTAGGCTCGAATCCGACCTTGTGAGTTTTTCGGAATTTACGTGCGAAATTTATTTTGAAATTTACGAGTTTTTCGATGAAGAAAATCGTCGTGAGGAAACCTGGACACATCTGCAAAGCAATTTAATGATATGTGTGAAGTTCCCAATACGTATTGGGCCCGCGTGGGAACTACAGCCCAAGCCCTCTCATTGTGAGAGGAGACCTGTGCCCAGTAGTTAGGCTAACTGTTATATTAAAACATCGTTAGGAGGTTAAACGTCTAAGTTTATGCCAATCGATTAAGAAGAACCACTTTTTGTAAAACTTTCTTGAAATGAAATAAATAAAAAAAATATCTATTTATTTCTTTGAAAAAAGAATACTTCGTAAACCTAGTCGTGGCAACCACAAACTTTTTTTTATAATGTCAAGTGACGGGACGAACAGTCGCGCGCCTGATAGCAGTTGCATTGCCACTCAGAACTTTAAATCGCAAAAATCTGAGTGGTACTGCCACTGCACCCGTCACTCTGAGACATAAGTTGAAAAGTCTCATGTGCCTGTAATTTCACCACAATTAGTTTTATTACCCTTATAAGCATTTTACCTAGCTCGCCTGAAACTAATGAATGAATGAAAACTTTCATATTAAGTTGTGACAAGAACTCGATCCTCACAATATTAGTTGCTATAATAAACATTCCAATGTAATAGAACTATTCATTTTTCTTTTTATTGAAGAACAAACAGTCTGTTACAATTATAAATAAAAAAAACATTAACTTATTACTACACCTATAGTTCCCTGCACTTATAGGTGAACAAGTATTAGGTATAAACCAACGACGAGTAATACTGTATTAAAAATATGTTTTTTGTTACTACATATTCTACTACTACTGTAGTTAACACTATAATACTATAACAATTTATTTTTATTATTTATTGTTTTTATTATACCCATTTCACAGCGCACATTAGCAGTGTATCTGAATTACAAATTACTTGCATTCAAAACGAACTCGCAAGTCGTAATTTCAGTATTAAAAATCAAATTTCTAAATCTACTTTTTTCTAGCATAAGTTGTTATCATTATGTCTTCGGTTTTTTAAGGTCAGGTCGAAGAAATTGGGGAAATAGTTTCGATAGAAGAATTTGTCATCTTCCACCTCAACAGAGAGGATTCGAATTAGTCGAAAGAAGAATCTCCTGGTTGCACCATCCAGATGGGTAAATATATAGACAAACTAGCTGGTGCCTACCCCTGTACTCTTGTTCTCCGTTTGCATCCGTCCGAAACAACTATTGACAAATAGGTAATACTCCCGAACCCGCATTGGGCCAGCGTGGCGGACTACGGCCTAAACCCTCGTTGAAAGGAGATCCGTGCCCAGCAGTGGGACTACTTGACATTGTCTGTTGATTTGGTCGAGTATTACTTACTAGTTGTGATACCTGTTAAGGTATCGGCTGCGGTGAGAAGGTTATTCAAAAATCTGTCACTAGGTGTCAGTAGCGGTTACGAAAGCCGAAAACCAATACAAAGATCTATAACAAAAACACATAGGAGAATTTCGACGACTCGGTAACTGGACCCGTAGCTCAGTTGATAAAGCAATGCTACGGTGCAACATGGACATGGTTTCAAGTCCCACCGGGTCGACGAATTTTATCTGTGTGTTCGATCTTTGTATTCATTATCATAACAAATATATTGGGTTTTGTAAAATGTCATGGAACAAAAGTTGTTGTTTATGATATTAATAACATAGCGTGGTTGTTAGTATTTTAGAAATAACCATATATATATATATATATATATCATCTGTGTCGCGGGTGCCACATACACAACCACAAATTACACCCAAACTCACGAGAGAAAGACCTCTGCGTGGCAGTCCGGCATGGTAGCCGTTCGGCCAAAGAGGCAGTCGAAATGGTATAGTCGTGGGTTTTTATTTCTATCCAATGTTACTTTCGTCCCTACGGACGTGTATAACTAAAGAAATAAATTATTTTTTTGCTTAAGCCTAATCTTTTTCAGGCCTGCAGCCAATGAAATGCCAAAAGAAGATTTATTCGAAAGACCTCAACTTCCACTTAGAAGCTTTAACGACGACAATATTTTTAAACAACAGGAAAACGCACAAGTTGATTTAGAAATCCAATTTTCACAACAGGAACAGAAATAACGTCAACTCGATTAGATATTTTTTGTACAAATATACATTTAATTATTTTACTAGTAATCTATTTTAATTTTGTGGAATAAAGTGTTAGTTACCAAAATTACCTGCACTTGAAGTGACTTCTGTATAAATTGCAATGCAATTGAGGTACTAGGTATCTTTCCCTTTCACTAAGATTTAAGAGCTTTTTTCGGTGTAGCAAATGCAATTCTGTCCTCTGATAAGCTTTGTCTTTATTCTGTTTACACGACGAAAGTAAAGACAAAAAAAATGTTAAGTCACCCGCATTAATAACACAAAAGAGGCTGATCGCTTTCCTCCTTGGAAAAACCTCTTTCAAAAAAGACGAGGCACTCAAGTCTATCTCTATCTAATAACTTGAAGATTTCCCAAACTGTTGGAAGAAACGCGGGCGGGTTAAGTTATCGGAAATATCAACTCCATTTTCAATTTGATGACTCATCAATTCGTCAATTAGACTGTTGTAAACGGGGATCTTGAGTTTAAAGGGCGGTAATTTTTTTCCTGACCATTAATTTATTTCGTTTAAGCGTTTTAGACTCGCGTATTACGTAGGTATCAATTATCTATCTCTCTCTTTCCAACTTTAATCCTGTTTGTAGGGTGGCTCTCTTCGTTGTTTCTCTTCAGGACTTTTCGCCACTTTCACTTTGCTTTAGCGAGCAATTTCCATTTCATGTGATCAGATAATTGACGCATTTGTTTCCCTATTTCACTAGCGGTCGAGCTCCTTGTGAAAGAGTTTGTCCAAAGAAGTACTGCCAAAATACCTATTTCTGCCGCCAAGCAGTAATGTCAGCATTACTGTGTTCTGGTTTTGAAGGGTAAGAGCGCTGGTAAAATTACAGGCACATGGGAGTTGTTAACTTATGTCCCAGGGTGACGGGCGCAGCAGCCCCTCAGAACTTTGCAATTTAAAGCTCTGAGTGGCACTGTAACTGGTATGGGCAGGCGTGTAGCTTACCATCAGGCGCACGACTTGTTCGTCCCTTTACTTGATGTTATCAAAAAAAAGCTGCTCTGAAACTAAATATCATTTGGTGTCTCTTACTTTAAAGTGAAGCCGTACGTCCCATGGTTATTGTTTTGTTATTGAATTTACTTTCGATCTCCATTTCTACGCATATTTATATTTTTTGAAAGGTAATATTGTTTATAGGCTTTATTGTCGCCTAACGCATCGCGAGAATAATATCAAAGACAATTTGTATCAGATATATCGATTTTTTTATCGAATAACAATATTCGTTGAAAACGTATCAAAAGACTTCTTTTATAAAATATGCATTAATATTAAAGATGCCTTCATAATATCCTATATAACGTTTACTTTACAAATAGAATTGATGATAGTAACTACTATTTCCAATTAACAAAAAGATTTATTGAAATATAAATTGCAAATATAAATTACAATTTGTGATAAAATATTTAGAAGTTCGACTTGAGTACCCGAAAAAGATGATGGTCTTCAGGGCTGGAAGGGGTCCGGAGAAGGTTCCGTGTTTATGATTGTTTGAATAAGAATGCTTCAAATTCAAAATTGTTTTGCATTTCATTTCTATAGGAAATGAAACTATTTTTCAGCATTTAAATCGCGTATATTTGTTTTTTCAAACAAACCGACGTTTCGGGCCCTCTATGGGTTACGGTTGATTGTGGGCCCGAAACGTCGTCGGTTTGTTTGAAAAAACAAATATACGCGACTTAAATTCGGAAAAGTAGTTTCATTTCCTATGTGTAACAATCGCGAAAACCTAAAAACTCGATATTTCATTTCTATTTCACAATCGAGTTACCAATCCCCGAGCATGGTATAAAAATATCAATTTAAAAGTACACCATTCGACTAAAGTTATTCCAATATATAGCACGAGAACAGCCCCGTATCATCGACATGTGTTTTGATAATAGTGACTCCTAGTCAACCCTTTGGTTGACTAGGAGTCACTATTGTTTGGTTTGGCGGGAAGGGCACTATAGCTTGTGCAAGCACAGGGACCTTTCAAGTTCAAGTCCTGACCACAAATCAGCCCATGTACATTGATGTTATAGACCGTTGTCCACAGACTTCATCCGTTTGTCAAGAGGCTAATGCGGGTGAGCCGCCCTCAATGACAAGTACGAGCTGTAGGGACGCTCACTTCCCGTTGTGTATTGTACAATTAACGGTCATCACCACTAAGCCGTTGATTCTAAAGTCCACTACCAAATCTCCTTTTTGATGGCGGAGCAGTTGGCATGCTCACCCTCCAACGCCAAAGCGTCTCTCCAGTTCCCAGAAACCTGCGCGGCTGGAGGGACTGAGAGATATCTAGCTCATCCTCTACATCTACAAACTTTAAAATTACGCACGTCTGGCCACATCCTTCTGTTTTAAAATATGAAATATAAACTTCACTGAAAATTCTTGCTTTAATTTTAACAAATAATTAAGCAACTCATCAACTAACACTGTGTTCATCGCAAACTAGTATTGTTAAAAAACTAGTATTACATGAGTACCTAATTAGTCAAAATTTATGGGTTTCTCAAAATTGTGGACGGGCAATTTACATGTAAAGCCGTTATTAGCATAAATTGCAACATTTTTCTTTATTAACGTCGATAGCTTTTGAATAAATTAAAGCCAGTGCGTTGCCTCGAATGATATCCGTAAGCCAGACTAATTGGTTGAGTTTTAGGAGGTGAAATGGCAAAGGCCGTTACATGAGAACTCCCGACTTGTTCATCATAAAAGTAGTGCGTCTGTGTTGACTGATGTTCGCTATTTACTCATTCTATGGCAGTTGTTTGAAAACTAACAAGGACAAGGACTTCTTCAAATCCGCTACCGTTATGATCGAATTAGTCTGCCACTAACTGAGATAATCTCTTTAGTGGTGTGACGATGTTGACCTCCTTTTTATCATCCTCTGTTCTGAGTCCTGGCCACTTATTTTAAAAATTTTGAATCGTTCTCGAATTCCTTTGTCCTTCACTATTCTCATGTTTGTTTGATCCGAAAATTCTTGATACTTGAAGACGTGCCCATAAATCACAAATCACCTTCATTTCCTTATTGTAAATCTTCACGTCGATTACTATTAAAATTGTACAGATAACTGTAACAATAGACCCTTTTGGTGAGTATTGTCTATTATGTTTAATCCTTTTTTATTTTATAATAATTTTCATTGTTTTATAATAAGTGTACCTTGTTTTTCATTTTATACGTTACAGCTTTTCTTCTCCTCTTTTAATATTTCTTACCATCTTGTGAACCGAGCCTTAAGCATTCTTATTTCGGTAAGGCGACTGGGTAGAGTGAGTGTACGGAGTCGTATGAGCAATTTCACCAAAATCTCTGATATCTTACCTAAAATTTCTACTATTCCTTCTCATTACAGCTTCGGTACCTATCTGGAAAATAGGGAGAGTACTGTACGTGCACTCAGCGCGGCTCACCCGAGGCACTAGCCCCTCGAAGAACCGGATGAAGTCAAGTGACAGAGCTCTGTGACAACCCTGTAAACTAGCTGATCTGGGGTCGGAACTTGAACTTTAAGATTCGTGTGCGCGCACAGGTTATAGTGCCCTTCGCATATTACTATAACAGTATACTATAATCAAAACTAACGTAGAAAGATATGGAGCTTATTCCTTCTCATTATCATTTCTTTGTGTAAGCAATTAACTCGTTAATTTCCACTTTTAATTTCTACTAAAGTCAGTTTAGTAACACTGGAAGTAAACACTGTTTAATATAAGACTAAAAAAACGAACCAAAAGAGGGCATAAAAATTCAATTCCAACTGGGACAAAGCAGTATTATGGTTCTGTCTAAAGCAGCTCGAAAATAAGACTGAAAAACCATGTAATCCCCAACCGACCACACGTCAAAGTTTGCGTTAACAAAACCGAGTTCCAGTATTTTTGCCGTTAAAGTTAAATGTTTGGGATTACACTTAACACCTTGAAATTGGGTTACGAGATCAAAGTGTAATTTATTAATGCAGATAACTTGAGCTTCCATTTAGATTCTGTTAGGGGTAGTTTGTTATCACAGGTCTCCTTCTGCTTAGCGTATCGACGTATGTCATAAGCAATAAAAGGAAAGGAAAGGCCAATCGACGATAGTATTCGCCGATTGTTGTCCAGGATGCGCCAAATTTACAGGAAAGTAATGGTTAATCATGCGGGGAGGCTCTTTTCGTGCACCACATCACAACTGACATTCTGTTTTCCTTATGCACAAGGTTGTCTAGAAAGAATTGCTCCTTAACAGTAGGGTTGGCAGTTTTTTTATATCCGTATAACATATTTATGGCGAATGCATTGCAAAAATTGGTATTTTATTATTACAAGTTACAAATATTCAAATCAGTTAATATATAGTTTTTGTCGTTTCCCTCGGATATGTGCGTTTTATTATTATTGTTAATTTTAGCAAATTTTCTTTAAATATCTGAATATTAATTATTACAATGTTAATCTTTGGGGGAGGCCTATGTTCAGCAGTGGATGTCTTCCGGCTGATATGGTGATGATGAAGTGCTGTATTTCATATACATTCAATTCAAGTAATTTTTGTACTTGTTTTTAGTTAATATTTAAGTTACATTTTATAATTTTAGTGTTTACCACACTAGTACTTACGTGCCATCTCATTTTGTAAAAGCGGTTCCAACTGAAAACCAGCGTTACAGCAGGCGAGCTGTAACATGCTGAGTTGCATCTGTTTCAGCTCATAGATATATGTAATCATTAATGTGTTTTATCTGTTTTTCTTGAATTCTCTTAAGCTGAATAAACGTTTCTTTCTTTCTTCTTCTTCTTTCAATATTATTTACAACTACATTATTATTTACAACTACACTATTATTTATAATTCCACTATTATTTACAATTACACTATTGCTGTAATATTAAACAACAAAGTACACATCTGTATCATCAACTATTCCATGCCATGTATTCTCTGTTACCGGATCCACTGAAAATCAGCGTCGTAGTACTTGCACAACACCAAAGCGAGTGGATGACGGTTTCCACAGCAAAGCATGCACACTTTA